AAAGAGCACTTCAGCGCCGGGCTGGTTGACTTGGAAGAAAGCGGCGTGGGACACGCGGAACTTGAGGCCCAACAGCTGTTCATGCACGAAAGGCTCGCCAAACATGGGGACGACTGGATCTTGGGTGTAGCTTTGACCAGCCGGAATTGCCTGTGCTCAGTTCGTTCCAGGAGAATCAGCACAAGCTCGTAAAACGCACGACAAGAGACGATGCAGTGAAAAAAAAAGCATCACCATACCTGGGTCATCAACGTGGTGAGCGGCAGAGTGCGGTCTTGCTTCAGCTTGAGAAAGTATTGATGCAGCTTGTCCAGCTCGGTCTGTGTGGCAGCCGAATCGGCGAACGGTGCGTACTGGACAACAGCGAGAACTGGGGGCGGCGGGGGGGAGGAGGAGCGAGAGAAGAAGGTGAGCAAGCTGACAACAGACTGGACTTTGTAAAAATTACACTTACGCTCGCCAAGAGTAGAGTCGCGGACCAGAATTTGGCGCCAAAAGCCTTCATGAGTCACCTTGTCGTAGCCATCTGCCTTGGACTCTGTGTTCAGGAAGGTCTGGAGGAATTTTGTTCTGAATCGTGAGTTGATTCCAACGCGAAATCAGTCTGGAAGAGTCAAGCCGCGACGTACCTGCATGGCCGACGCCACACGCTTGGCAATGGGAGAGACGTGGAGGCACTCATCGACAGGCTATGGATCAAACGCGAAAAACTGAGTCCCCAATCCTCAACGTGAAAAGCCACCTTTTTTGTGCACCGAAAGTCATTGCTTCGTTTACCGCTACCGCCAGAGAGAAAAAGCCATTCTTGAAGGCACCAAGCAGAAATCCCACCATGTTGCGAGAGCCATCATGACCCATGCCAATCGAAAATTCGCACTTGTTGCGGTACTCGGTCAACACAGGCGACGCTCGGATGGGCTGCATTTCACAAAACAGCGACCCGTCTCTGAGGTTGCAGAAGAAGTGTCCAAGAAATCGAACATCAGCGCGCAATTCAACGACTGTCGTCGATCAATGGAAAAAAGCAAACGAACAACAAAGCCCAACGCACTCTTTCGGCGACCAGTTGTCATTCTTGCCGTGCTTGGCCGTCATGGTGCTGCTGTACTTCTTGACGACGCTCAGCATGTCCGCCTGCTTGAGCGCAAGTTGTTCTTCGTACGGTTTCCTGAACAGAACGAGTTGGCCAAGGTTCAGCACGCAGACCGACCGTTTCAGATCATTTCAGGGGTCAGCCAAGCACCCCTCAAAGACTATTTCACGTACTGCCAATACGGCGTCACATTGTCGTTCAGCATGATTCGAATGGCTTCTGGAGAAGCGGCACGCACGCGCTTCTCGGGGTTGTCTCCCGCAGGCTCCTCTGCTGCACGCTTGCCTTGCCTCTTTGCTCCGCGATCAGATGTGGACTGGAAACAGGTGGAAGGCAATGCAAGAGAATGGCTGGTTGGTGAGCCCCTTTCAACCAAACGAGCGCAAAAACATCCAAGTATTAAAAACAACGGTAGTCGTACAACTCGCTCCACAAAGTCGCTCGTGACTTCCGCAACAAGGGCCGAGTTTTGGAAGGTGCGTCCGTTGAGCACGGAAATGGCGTGATCACGTTCCTCGGGGGTCTGAGCAGCGAGACAAAGAACAAGTCAAGCATCGGGGTGAGCGATCGGAGACCAACACAAACAAGCGACCGATCGCCGTGCATACCGCAAACGTCACGGTGGCAGTTGTATAGACGGGCTTCTTGAACACGGCGATGGGGTTGAGCTTCAGGTTGGAGACGAGCGCCATGACCACGGCTTGCGAAGCGCCCTTGTTCGGGAATCCGCCCAGTTTGAGCCGATAAATGACTTTGCCCGTTTCGGTTTCAGCAGCGGCGGCACCGGATGCTTCGGTGGTTGCAGCAGATTCGATGGCGGCGGGAGCAGTTGAGGAAGCAGCAGCGTGTTGCTGCTCGGGTTCGGCCAGGATGCGCGTGTCGGCGACGGCGGAGGAGGCCTCGGCAGTGCCTGCAGCAGCAGCAGCAGCAGCAGCAGCAAGATCAATGTTCATCGGTTCTGCCATGTTGATTGGCGCGGTTTGTGAAGCGAGTGAGCGAACGGGTGATCCGAATAATGGATGAGCGGGCTGGTTGACAAGGGCAGAATGAAACGGGGCGAGCGTCGAGCGCGTGATCAGACGGAGCACTCGAGTAGCACTACCGCGAGCAGTGCTAGCAGTGGTTGTAGTGGCGGCGGTCGAAGCGGCGCGGGTCGGCTGTAGGAGGCGGAGTGAGAGGAGGAGCGGCTCCACGAGGTCGAAGCGATGAGGTTTCAGCGAGCGGCCAAGCGGACCAGCAGCAGCAGTCGCAGTCGCAGTCGCAGTCGCAGCAGTGGTAGTTAAAGCAGGAGCAGCACCGAGAAGCGCAGAGGAGCGAACAGCAGCAAGTCGAGCCGCAGCAGCAGAGGCAACAACGTTCAGGAGCGTAATTCTCAACGACGCGTTTGCTTCTACTATTGCTGATCGTTGCTTTTTTACCAATGGAAAAGAGCAACTGACGAGCAAAGCAGAATTGCAAAAAACAACACGGGGAAGATAACAAGGAGTGAGGCATCAACAAACAAGGTTGGAATCTGATGCCTATGGAACTGAGCGAACCCGGTCTCACTTCCTGACTGCTCAGAAACAATAATCCAATGCGATTACAATCACAATAGAGTTTGTCAGCTACTGTAGTTGCATTGCATGTGGAACGCAGTTAAATTTACACTTTCGGAGCTCAGTCTTAGAAAAGTTGAACGAACCCGAACAACGCTCTCGTCGTCAGTTGAGTTCAACTCTGCACGCAATACCATTTCATTCATTCAAAACTCTACCTACCGAACTTGCATTTCGTTCCATGCGACCATCACAAGCGAGCACCGATGGTGCGATTCGTGCATCATCGCTGCTTGTGCTGCTGCTGCTCGCGTTGTTGGCTGCGATTGCCAACTCAGCGGCCAGCTCACCACCGTACTCGACCCCGTCGTCATCATCGCTGCCACTCGTCTTGCGCGAGACTGAGAAAGACCAGTGCTTCTGCCAGGTGAGACTGTCCCCCTTCCCCCCTCCCCCATGCCCCCTTCTGTCGTGCAGGAGTGCGACGAGTGCTTTTGTGGTTCCGTCGCACTCACCTTGTTCGGTCAATTCTATCTCTGTGCTCTGTTGCACTCATCATCGTAACCACCTTTGATTATTTTAATTTTATTTGGTCAACAATATTGCCAGCTGAGTGGCAAGGTGGACGACTGCTGCTGCGACGTCGAGACGGTCGACCTGCTCAACAATGGCAGAATCCACGCACAAATCTCCGCGTTGCTCGAAAACCGTTACTTTCAGTTCTTTCGGGTAAGAAGGGACAAAGATCGACACCGCAGCAGCAGCGATGGTCGAATGGTGCAATGATCCTGGAAGGAGTGTCTCACATCAAACAACCTTTTTCGCTTTGTGATTATTCTTAGGTCAATCTCGAACGCACCTGTCCGTTCTGGGCCGATGATGGCATGTGTGCGTCCAAGGACTGCGCTATTGCCCCTTGCAGCGATGTGAGTTTGTTCGTGTTGCACAATGGCTTTTGCTTTCTGCACTCACACTCTGGCTTGTCTCCCTCCGGAACAGAATGAAGTTCCTCAAGGAATTCGGGAGTTCGAAATGGTAACAAATCTCATATACGCACGCTTCACAGTTGTAGTAGGCACAGGGCTGACCTTGCTTGTTCGCCACATCAACTGTCCCTCATGCAGAAACATGGACGAAGTGCCGCGTGCGAATCCATCGAAACAGCAACCATTGGACTGGGCTCGATCGACTCGTCCGTATCACACACGGAAAGTAGCGTGCTGGCCGAGTGGAGCGCGTACGATGATTCGGCAGACACGTTCTGCGAGCTTGACGACGAGAACGATGCTGGATTACAGTACATCAATTTGAAGCGCAATCCTGAACGCTACACGGGCTATATGGGTCCTTCTGCAAATCGTATTTGGCGCGCCATTTACCAGGAAAATTGCTTCTTGGACAACCCTTCGTCGGGCGATGGCGCTGACGGTCGAACGGGCGCTGAATCGAGCGATGGGTACTCCCAGGACCAGATGGCCGCGCTGCTCACCAACGCTGCTGGGTCGCCGATGAGTTCGGGCCCCCGAGATCCCGTCCCCATGCAAGAAATTCTGGGCAACATGTGCATCGAGCGGCGGGTCTTTTACCGGGTCATTTCAGGCCTCCACTCGTCCATCAGCATTCACCTGACGCACCAGTACTTTGATAAAACGCTCCGGCAGTATGTTCCGAATCTAGAGGACTTTGCGCGGCGGTTTGGGCCGACGCACACGGCTGGCGAAGGACCCTCGCGGTTGAAGAATCTGTACTTTACCTACCTGTTGCTGTTGCGAGCTGTGACCAAAGCGCGGTCGGTTTGGCAGGCAGAGAGCTTTTTCACTGGCAATCCAACCGAAGATGCAAGCGTCAAGGCGCAGATCGATCAGCTCGTCTCCACGTCGCTCACATGCCCTAGCACCTTTGACGAGCGAATCATGTTTGCGGGCGATCCAGCCATGGCTCGTATTATGAAGGCAGAATTCCGCGAGCACTTTCGCAATGTCTCACGGATTATGGACTGTGTTGGCTGTGACAAGTGTCGCTTGTGGGGCAAAATTCAGACCCAAGGAATTGCCACCGCGCTCAAGATTTTGTTTTCAGCGCATCTCGATGAGGACGACCAAGCGCCTCTTGACTCCGCCGACCTAACTCCGGATGTCCAAGACGACCCCGCTGCGATCAAACCGCAGCAGCAACAACAGCAGCACCAGCAACAACAGCAGCAACAGCAGCAGCACCAGAAACAGCAACAAACTGCCCGAAGGCGGCTCAACCTGCGGCGATCAGAAATTGTATCACTATTTAACACACTGGGCCGATTGTCTGAAAGTTTGAAGGCCGTCGAAGACTTCCGACTCATGACAAAGGTTGGTCACATTTTGTTGAAGAGTGGTTGCACTTGTACAGGAAACGACGACGGCACTGACCTCTTTGTGACAACCAATCTGTAGGATGCCTTTTCAATCCCATCCCCTGTTCAAGGCGCCGAAACCTGGATGGAAATGCTTGTCTAGAGCCCTAGATTTTGTTGTCATTGATTAAACTATGTTTCTTGCTTTACCTCTTCCTTACTGTTGTTGAAACAAAACAAAGGACATCAGGAAATTGGTCTAATAGCAAGTCGAAATCATGTATTGTTGAGAGCGGCTCGGCACATTATTCATTGAGAGAAGTGGAAGGTGGCGAATTGGCGGACGCAAAGCGCCGGAGCCGTTGCTGGCGCATCACCTCGTCTGGAGTTGGAGTGGAGGGTGTGGCAGCAGGTTCGGTAGCGGCTGTAGCCGGACTGGGACTAGCGGGCTCTGGATCAGCGGCTGCCGAGGGAGACGAAACCGAAGAAGTAGATACTGGTTGTGAAGCAGAGGCCTCTGGAATTTTGAGGGTCGGGGCAGCGGCTGCTGTCCCAGCTATCCCGGAGGACGATGCAGGCGTCGCTAGCGATGCACTCTCGACAGCATTTGATGTTGGAGGAAGCGAAGGCGAGACAGCAGCTTCCGACACAGCAGCAGCTTCCGACACAGCAGCAGCTTCCGGCACTGCAGCAGGCTCCTTGCGGTTTATATCCGCAAACAAGTCGGTAGAGAGTGCAGCACTAGTAGCAGCCAGAGGGCCAGTTGGTGGTGGGGCGGGGCGAGCGGCTGCGGTTGGAGTTGCAAAAAGGCCGCCGGGATGAACCGACGACTGAGAAGAAGGTTGGGCTTGGAACGTACTTGCAGGCGCGGGTGCTGCTGCTACTGCTGGAGGCATGTGTGGCAAAGGTGCCCTGGGAGGAGCAACAGACTCATATAAGGCGAAATTCAACACGAGCGCATCAATGTAGCGCTGCAGCGTTCGAAGATGCTCGAGGCGTGCGAGCAGACTTGTGCGCTCGTTGCCCTCGAGCAATTGAAGATGTTCGGTCGAAAGGTGTTCCAGCTGACTGGCAGGCGGCAAGGTCCCAAGCGGAGTCGCGGCACCCCACATTCCGCCGAAAAGTCCAGGAGCAGGTGCAAAAGGCGGGCCAAACGCACCTCCTGGCAAGTGAGCAAGCGGACCAAACGCGCCAGGATGCAAGGCCTGTTGTGGAGGCAAGAACGGCGATGGTGCGACGAGCGGAGGCGCGCTGAGGTTTGGCGGAGCATGAACGAATGGAGTGAATGCCGGGTGTGTTGGATGAACGATGTGAGGCGTTGCAGATCCGAACTGTCCCAACGGCACTGCAGATGCGGCGGGTGTTGCAGGAACGGCGCCGGACGTGGAGGCGGCGGCGGCAGCAGCAGAAGGAGCAGTGCTCGTGGAAGCTGCAGCCGTAGTAGACGGCTGCGGAGCCAGCCCCTGAGCAGGATTAGCTGCAGCAGAGACTGCACCGGCAGGGCGTGGTACAGCCACATCGGCTGGAGCGCCTGGATGAACGGCGCGCGGTAATGGAGCGGGCGCAGCTTGGGCGTGCGCACCGACGACTCCCGCCGCAGCTGGCCGACCCGGAACAGCACCAGCAGCAGCCGCAGCAGCACCTGGTGGAGCGGCGACGCCGGCTTGTCCAGGGGCTGCGCCCTGTTGCGGTGCTCCCGGCGCACCTGAGAAAGCACGGCACAACGACAATCAACCAAAAAGAGTGAGACATCCAGGCCGACATGCGCACAATCCGGGGAGGGGGAGGAAAAGTTAGCACCAACCTTCCAGAACGGGAGCGCGGCACGTAGGGCAGGTTTGCTGACGCTCGAGCCACGAGCGCAGGCAGTGAAGGTGGAAGACATGGCCGCAAGGCAACCGCTTGGCGGCGGTCATTTCTTCGCGACAAATAATGCAAACATTATCAACAGCAGCCAGCTCCTCGCGCGTGGCATCTGGGTAGCGCTCGTTCATGTTGGCGGTTGCGCGGCGGAAGCGGAAGAAATCACGCATGCGGCGCATGAACGAGCGGAAGGTCATGTACAGGTCGCGGAAGATGTGGATTGGCAAACCGTAGTTTTGCACAATGACAAAGAAGAACATGAGATACAGGATGAGCTTGACAAAGTCTGTTTTGATTTGAGCATCGGGTGAGAAGTGAGACGAACACACTCAAGAGGTACAAACGAAAGAAAACAAAAAGAAAAGAAAAAAGAAAAAAAAAAGGAGGACATGGACTGACCACATGCAAGCTCAAGATAGAACAAGTAGGTCGATTTTTCGTCCCATGGGTTTTCGCGGCGCGACTCGATGCTATGCAGGACGTACTTGACAAACGTCGAGAAGAGCAAAATTCCAAGCACAACGTACTGCGGTGGCAGGTTTCAAGTAGCAAGTGGGCGCAGGGAGGTTGTGAGCATTGCAAAACAAACAACCCACGCATGGTACATGGTGGTGGGAAACCAGGTACCTCAAATCCAAACATGATCTGCATGGTGATGCCTTTGGCAAGCAGCTCTTCGACAGCGTAGAGAATGAACGCAGAGTCCACCGCAGCCAGGAGCAACGTCACAGAGATGATACGCAAATGGAAGAGCTTTGAGATGACTGGGCTTTGTTGCATCTATGGCAAGAGCGGGCGCATCCAAAGTGTGAAGGCACAAAATTCAAGGGGTGGATGAGTTGGGTGGAATCGCACCCTGCTTTCCCATTTCCCCCTCCCCCGCCGCACCCTTGGCCCAAAACCAAACCATACATAATCGACCCTCTCCTGGGCCAGCCAGTGGAACGACTTGACAAACAGAAGCACTGTGAAGAAGGCAACAAAGCGAACGTTGAACTCTTCACGGAAGACGGTCATGACGAGACAGGCCTCCGTCCACGCAAACCACGAGCGTTCGTAGAGATGCTGTTTGAGAGAGATGTGCACACAAACACGGACACGAATACGCAAACGCAGAATGTATCAGCAATCGAAAAAAACGAGCTCAAAAAAAAAAAAAAAAAAAAAAAAAAAAAAGCCCCGTCTTTGCGATTGCGTTTTGCGCCTTACTTCGCTCTCGATCGGACGGATTTGACCAAAGAAGATCTTGCAGAGGATGGCGCCAAAGATGAAGAGGAAGACGAGCAACTGGACAAAGATGAGCTGTCGGAAACAAAAGGGGACAAAAAGAAAAAGGGGGGGGGAAAAAAAAAAAAAAAAAACAGGTCAGTATGAGCTGGCATTGAAAGCGATGATGATCCATCCAACGAACGTTGAGTGCGGTACCGTCATGTAAGGGCTGCTCTTGGACAGTCGAACGACGGAAGGATAGAACTGCCATTGGTGCTCGCGGAAGACGTCGGTCAGCGCGAGTGCTGTAATGGCAGTCACAGCCACACCAACGCGCGCAGACAGAATCGCCATTCAACACCAACAACAACAACAATAAAAGAACTTAGACTGAGTGCAATGAATGGCATGGCACCAAAGCCAAATTGCGAATTGGTCAATCATAATGAAAAAAAAACAAAGGGGGGGGGGACGACATAGTCCCGATTATTGGAATTGGTCTCATCGATTCTTGGGTTTCAGCTTGTTTCGTCCCGCCTCCTTTTCAAGCCTACAGTACTCGGCTGATCCGTGCGAGTGTGGTTTGCCCTAATTTTCCTGCCGCTGTTACATCTTCATTTGGGTTATACTTCTATGCTTGAACACGTTGACAATTTTCACACATCCCTAGATCAGCCAACAATTTCATTCAAGGCATCCTCCATGTACGGTCGAGGCATCCTCCATGTACGAGGCGATTCGTGCCCGCAACTGTAGATTTTCTTGGGCGAGCCGGGCAAAGGTTGCAGCTGGATCTTCCTGCCGGTTTGCGGAGCAAACTGCATCGACCTGGTCGATCGTGCGGAACTTGAGGTCGTCTTCCGAAACCAAGCTGATGACGCTCGGCGCGTCTTCTTCGTTGCCTTGAAGGAGCAGGATGCAAGAAAAAGGGGCAGCGGAAGCACATGCACGATTCCACGCGTTGATTCGCTGCACCAGCTGGTCGCAGAAACGTCCTCGTGTGTAGACACAGCGCAACCATCGAGCGTCGCGTCGCACCCCGCTGCTGACCTCCTCGCGTAAGAATGAAGCGAGCGCGGCCCGGTCTGCGTTTGTGACCGATGAACACAAAAATGGCAAAGGCCGATTCTGATGGAAACTGGATCGAGCGTCGAGTTGGCGAGGAGCGTACGCCCAACCAGGCGTAACCCAAGCGATGGCATCGTCACATTTGGCTCTGCGGCTCATGCACTGAATGGCGAGTACGACACTCGAATCGCGCATTTGACCGGGAACAATCACATCGGGACCAAACAACCCTGGGAGAGTATGCAGTACATGGCATGAGGAGCGCATTTCGTCCAAGGTTGTTGCGTCCGTTAGAGTAGCCATGGCTGTCGCTGCTGTGAGCTTGATCTGGGTCACGACGGCAGGAAGATCATACCCTCGAGGAAGGAGTTCTTTGATGGCCTGGGACAAGAAAGCTTCTTCGTCGCCAGCGAGAACCAGTTGGCGAACAAAATGCCAAGCGAGCGTCAGTTCGGTCGTTTGGGCACGAGCAAACTGGGCAATGATATCGAGCTGATGAGCAAAGGCTGCACCAGTCAAGTTGTAGTTGCCCTCCGCGAAAAGTGCCTGCAAAAGCAAAGGCTCGGTGTGCAAATTGTACTTCTCTTGATCAGAGCCAAAGAAGAGGATGCCGTTGGCCATCACCTCCGCAAGCTCAGTCCTGCGGAATGGCAGCTTGCCGTTGAGCAAACAAGCGCACGCAAACAGGTCAGGAACGGTCACTGTGCGCTCGAGCGGGTTCGGTGTTGTTGTGGTGCGCTCATGCCAGTGGGCTCGGAGTGTATCGCGCAGCTGAGACAAGACGACAGATGCAGCCTTTCTGGCGGTCTCGCAAATGATTGCGACCATCTCCTTGCTGATGTGGGCGCCCTTGACACGATCAAGAAACTCGGGCAAGAAGGTTGTGAAGAAAAAACGCGGCCGACCTTGGAGCGGGGCGAGCGCCACGAGACAGTCAGCATGGTCTTGGCTTTCAGGGCTCGAAATGGGAATGCCGTCAAAGTAGAGCCGAAGAAAAGCAAGCATGTCGCTGGGTTGCATGACGCAAAATTCGGACCACAGGTGCAATTGCGAGTTGAGCGAGAATGTCGCCTCAACGCTAATTGGGTCGCGTAGCCAGAGCTGCGTACCGGCATACACGGCGCCAACACCGCGCAAGGCGACCTCAGAAAGAATCACACGAATGGCGTAGTAGAGATCGGTTGGTCGCTTGAAGTCGATGGACCAACGTTGCTTGAGCGCGCGATATCGGCGCACCTCATAATCTTCCAGGGACCACAAGTCAGAACAAACGTCTTTGACAGCATGGAGATTGTCCATGAAGAGGATGAGCGGCGCCTTCTTTCCATCAACGCCGACCCGAGAGATGCGTTCGCGCAGCTTGGTTTCTAAAACAATCAACGCAACCTCGCTGTTCCCCGAAAGGTCTGTCGAGAGTCGCTCTGCAAGCCGTTCAGACACTCGTGTACAAAGTCGGTCGCTCGAAAAGCCATTTTCGAGAATCGCAACCCAGAGTCGGCGCTGGTCCTCGGTCGACGCGGGCTGGCAAGCTTCATCGGCCTCGATCAAGATATCGTAGTAGCTGCAAACAAACTCGCGAACAAGATCAAGAGCGAGCCTGGCTGTCCTGGTGCTGGAGGCCGCCTTTGAATCCTGGTTGACACGGTCGAGCAATAATTGCAGTTCCCTACACAAGACTTGAACAGGGGAGAGAAACGAGCAATCGTCGCCTGTTTCGGCAAGTCGAATGTAGACGACATGAGCCTGGTTGGTGAAGGCGGGCGAAAGGCCCATCTTCGTTTTCCCGGCGCCAGACGTGTCGACCAAACCGAAAACGCGGGATGTGTATGTGGCAGTTAAAACAGTTTTGCAGAACCTTTTGGAAGGCGCATCGATAAAATCGTGCGAGGAAAGACGGGAAACGCCTTGCAGGCCGAAGTGAAAGGCCTTCTTGAGTAGATGCCCATAGAGTGCACGCTGGTGCTCGAACTTTGAGCGCTCCTGCATTTCCTTGTAGTGCTTGCGACACTGGTCTTGGAAATCCGCGCCACTAACATCTGCAGGATCGGCAAACAACACGGTGACAAAAGATCAGCCATGACATAATTCTGGAATCAACAATGGACAACGTTGCAAATCGAAAAGTGGAGAGCGCGAAAGAGCCAAGACAAGTTGTACAAAGCAATTCCTCGCGCTTATGGCCACGCAGCACTCGTTGGTGATAGTTGTATGTTTGTTCAATTCTCTAGAATCACGAGTCGAGGGGGGGAGGGAGGAAGAGATGGGGGATTATGGAAAAAAAAAAGAAGAGAAAAGCAACATCCAAGCATACTCATTGTTCTAGCAGTTGTTCTGGGTTGCTTTGAGTTTGAAGAGTGTCCCAATCAAGAAGAGGTCTTTTCTTCACTGGCATTTATTCAAACATTCGCTGATTCGAACAATTGAACATCGCTCCCGTCGGACCTGTGAAAAACTCAAAACTCTTGCTTTGCGTCGGCGTTCAAATTGCCGCTAAACCGCAGCGCCGAATCACTTCTCTGCAAGTTTCGCTCGCCCGGAAGCTGTCGACATCGATGCCACTGTGCGTTCTATCGACGTCGTTCAAGCTCCAAAATTCAGACGCAGGTCAACACGACACACATCGTCTCACGTCTTGGGCGTTCCTTTTTTTTTTTTCCTCTCTCTGTTTTTTTTTTTTTTTTTCCCACGCTCATGCGACCAGCGTTTTTTTTTTTTTTTTTTTGTTTTTTTTTGTTTTGTTTTGTTTTGTCCCCGAGGCGTTCCGTTCACATCCTTTCTGTTCTGTTGCTCGTTGTCTTGCTTGTTGCACTTTGAGCTTTTAACAGTGAACATATCGAAGACGGGAGGGGAAGGGACGGGGGCTTGGTGTTGGTGTGAAAGCCGATATTCTTGCGGTATCTCGCGTTTCTTTCTCACTCTAGCTTCCTCCCCCGTTCTCTCTTCGTTTGCCAATTTCATTGCTGTTTATCATTGGTGTTTTTGTGTCTGTTATTATTGTTAATGATAAATTGAGTCTCTTCGCCTCAAAATCCAGTCTCATCTTGTCACATTTGAGGTAAAGATCACAAAAAAAAAAAAAAAAAAAAAAAAAAAAAAAAAAAAAAAGGCTTCTATCGAAACGCAACAGGGAAGATGAAGGTCTCTCTCTCCTCCTCCCTCCGCTTTTCTTCGACAACACAGGATGGAAGTGCTCATGAATACAGCACAGACCGGGCAACACGAGCAGCACGACCGCCGACCGCTCTTCGTCGCTCATGACGTTGCTTGCGGGGAACGGGGAAAATAAACTACCGCTTCTTTTTCGATGCGCGGCTCTCGCGCGGCTGTCTTTCCGTCCGAGTTGTGCTCTGCGCTTGTCTGTGTCTCGTGCACCAAGAATGCTAGCATGAGCGTGTGTCTGTGGAACGAATGACCGCCATCAAACCCGAGCGCTGTCAAACGAAAAAAAAAAAAAAAAACTTTCGCCGCGTGAAACCGACCTAAATCGCGCTTTTGTTGTCATCGTCGCTGTTTTCGTTCGGCTGGGTCTCGATGGAAGGCTGCCGTGTGGACTGTGTGTCATGTGCAAGTCGAAGTGAGACTGAGTGAGTGAGTGAGTGTGCCTGCCTGGGTCAAAGTCCTGCGAATAAGCCACTCAACAACGTTACCAAAAGGCCGACGCTTTCGTTTCTTCATTGAATGAATTGAATGAGGCTTCGTTCGTTACCAGCTCACTCCGGCCTTGCTTTTGTGTGATTGCCTTGCCTTGCTCCCCCCCCCGCCTCGTGTCGTCTTGCTTTTGCTCTAGAACCAAACAGGACCACACAAGCAAGGCCTTGTTTTTTTCCCCCCTTCTGTTCTTTTTTTTTTTTTTTTTTTTTTTTCAAACCTTCATTTTCTCGTGACACACACACTCTCGCTCGCGATCCACGGAGAAGATGGAGGAGCGCAACCCGCTGTCGGCCATGGCAGGCGCCTCCGCAATGCCACCCATGCTATGCAAGCTCGAGAGCGTCCATCCAGCCAACGGCAGCAGTGGCGCGTACTCGACAGCAGCAATGCTTGGGATTGCGCCTCTGGTCGGCGCTGCTTCGTTCTCCGTCCCTGGTGCGCATGTCAGTGTCCAGCAGCAGCAGCAACAGCAGCAACAACAACAGCAGCAGCAACAGCAACAACAGCAATTGCACGCTGCATCCGCCGTCCTCGGGCAGCAGCCGCTCATGCACCCAATCCCATCTGCCATGCACATTCAGCACTTGCAGGATTTGATCACACAGAAGCAAGCCGAGACCGAGCGCCAGATTCTCGCTCTTCGGTTGCAGCAGCAGCAGCAACAACAACAGCAACAGCAACAACAGCAACAACAGCAGCAGCTTCATCTGCAGGAGCACGGCAGAGCCAACCAATCTGCTGGCTGGGGCTTGGACCAGATTGAATCGTTGCTTGGGTACGTTCGCTGATGATCGATCTCGTTGGTTGCTCATCCCTTCAACGAATCCGCATTGCGCCACTCACTCGTGCTGCTCATAACTCCTTCAGAGATGACCTCGACCAACCCGAGGCATTTGGCATGGCTTCGTTCCACCCTGGAATCGTCCCGAGCACCGCCTACCACATGCCGCAAGAGCAAGCATACCTCCTCCCTTCGAGCAATCCTCCAGCATTCGCGCAACAGCAGCAGACCTTCTCAAACCAGCCGCTGCAGCAGTCGCCCACATTGCAGCAGTCCGAAAGCCCCAACGGCCATGCCGCTCCAGCTCCCGCGGCATCTGCGCCAAGCCGCGCCGTTCCATCGGTCAAGCGCAGGCATCAGGACACCGTTGTGGGCGATTCGGTGGCCTTTGTGCCCTGCATGATGGAACAGTGGTGCGAGATTTACAATGCTGCGCGCCAGCCCCTCTCCACCCGGCTCGAGCTCGCGACCAAAGTTTCCAAAGGCGCCACGTACGATGCCGCAGAAGAAGCTTGGATTATGTACCGGAAAAACCACTTTCAGGTGACTGCGCTTCTCACACCGACCTACTCGGCAAAGAGCTCGCGCTTGGACACGACGCCCGCGTTTGTCGAGAGCGCGCACGGCTCGGGCCTGCTCCTGCCGCTCCAGTCCATGCAGCTCGAAGTCGGCGCATTCAAGCACGTATCCAATTCTGACACAGAACCAAAGTCTGTAGGTCTGTGTCAGTTCTTCCGGAACAAGGACTGCCACGCGAAAAAGGACGTCGAGCCAGTGAGCATCACCGTGGGCGAGCTGGCCAGTTTGACCCGTCTCCACTTCCGCGCTGCCACCGTGAACATCTCCCGTCGATTTGGTGGGTCAAATCAGTCGCAAACGTTCAATCAGGTGGTCGTCTACGTCAAGGGCATCGATTCCGCCGGCGACTCGCACATGTTGTTTGCGCAGCTGGCAGACCGCCTGATTGTGCGCGGTCGCGGTCCTGGTCACTACGCCTCTCGAGCAGCAAAGCACGAGCTGGCCATGACGGACGACAATGACAATGACGACGACGAAGAGGATGAAGCGGACGAAGAAGCACCGCGCACCCACCGCCGCCTCTCACAATCGCAGTCCGCCCCGCGACGCACCACGTCTACCTCTAGCATGCCTTCCATGCCTTCCAGCTCTTCCGCGTCCAGCACCCAATCGTTGGCGTATGTCGCCTTGGCGACCAACGCGCACTCCGAGTCCCCAGACTCTGAGCTCCTGCTTGGCCCCGTCGTGCACCACAGCGGCCTGCCCTTCAAGCTGGAGCAAGCCGAGTTTGATTTGGGCGTTCCTGTTGCCACCACTACTAGCCTGTTGACGCACCAGCGCATGAGTGGGCCGGAGGAGTCGTCCGCTTCTGGCGGTACGGATCCCAGCGCAAGCTCTGGCTCGGATTCGGACTCGCTGCTCGAAATGACTGGCACTTCACAGCAGGCTGGAGTCGCGTTCGAGCGCCATCATCCACTACTGCCACTGACAGTCTCGAATGTCGCCGACCTGGGGTTGGGCGACAATATTGGCAACAACGGCTTGATTGCAGCAGCCAACGCCTCCGTCCCGTCCATCCGCGGAGGCGCCGGAGCTGGAGCAACACAGCCCTCCGTGTCGTCCGCATCTCCAGTGGGTAGCAGCAATACCCGTATCAGCCCGTTGCTCACCTCATCCAACTCGTCGCCCTCAAGCACGGCCGTTCCGGTGTTGCAACACTCGCAACAAGCGCTGCAACAGCAATTGTTGCAGCAACAACAACAACAACAACTGCAACAGCAGCAGCAGCAGCAGCAGCAACAACAACATCATCATCAGCTCTTGCCCGAGATGTTTGCGGCCCAGCAGCAAATGCAGCAAGTGTCCGCTCCGCTACCCGATTCGGCAACCGCCTTGCCAGCTTGGGGCCCGGGCGAGACCGCTGGCTCTGTTGCTCACTTTGGTAATGTTGGCATTAACACGGTACGGCCGTCGGACGCGCTGGTCGTGCACGGCAATGTGCGCGTCACTGGCCAAGTTTTCCAGCCCTCGGATCGTCGCGTCAAGGATGCCATCGTGCCTGTGGACACTTCAGAGGCGCTTCGCAATGTCAACTCGATGCGCCTGTACGACTATAGCTTGCGCCCCGAATGGATGGAGACGTCTCATCGGCCAGCAGACCAGAGCACAGACCGTGGTGTTCTCGCGCAAGAGCTGTTTGAGCTCATGCCCCGCGCCGTGAACAACATTGGCGACGTGCCGCTGGCCAGCGGCGAAACGATTCCAGACTTTTTAGTGGTCAACAAGGATGCCATTCTCATGGAGACGGTCGCAGCCACACAAGAGCTGTCCAAGCAGGCCGCACACCTCGATTCTCGGCTGCATGCCGTGTCCCAGCGACTCCACACGCGTGAGCGGGACGAAGAGGACAACATTTCCACCAGCAGCGAAGACGCTGTCGACTCGCGCGACAACCGCCGGCTCATCTCTTCAGAGCAGAAACGCCGCATCGAGTTGCTCGAGGCGCAGGTCGCTCAGCAAATGGTTGCGAGTGGCAACCGCAGCTCGTCGTCGCGAGTGTACGTCACCTTCCCTCGTCGTTGGCTCATTGTCGCTGCCGCAGCAGTCGCGTTGCTGCTTTGCCTCGCCACCGTCTTGCCGACCGTCTTGCTCCTGCAAAAGCTGCCCGATGATGACAATGACGCGGAAGACCAGTACCCGGCATTCGCGCCAACCAATACGAGTGAAATGGTCTCGTCCATGTCCATGCTCAAATCTCTGTATGTCGCTTCGGACCAGCCATCCGCAATAGACTGGTGTCACTCCCCAACGCCGTTCTTTGCTCTGATGGAGTACGGGTTGAATGCGACGAGTTCCGCGAACGACCGGTACAATGCCACTTTCTCGCCCATGCCAATCACCGGTTCTGCGCGGTATGCGCCCAGTGGCGTTCTCGTGTACTTTTCGTCTGAGATCAAGACGTTCGAGTGTCTCTACCATCACAACGTGCCTTTGGCCGAGCAGCCGGATTACCGCAGGGGCTTTTTGAGCTTTGAGCTCATTATTCCATCCGTGTCTCTGCGATTGCGCGATTTCGCCAACGTCACTCGCCGTGACGCACCCGGTGCCGCACAGCGCCTGGCCGACCTCAACTGGCCGACGACATCGATGGTCGATGAGGATGCGGCGGCACCCCAGCTTTGGAGTTTGGCTCCCTCGGACGACATTCTGGGCAAGCGCAGTGCCGATAGCTTTGATCCGTGGGCTACGGACAACCCAGATCCGAACGCTTGGTTCAACCATACCACACCCCAACCTGGTGAGTGTCGTGTGCGCTCCGAAAAGCCAGGCGACCCAGTCTTCAATGGCAACTTTTCCTGCCCGTCCTACTCGCCAGTCGTTCCGTACTTCCGGACGACACTGCGCCCACAGCGACTGCCATTGCTCGTCTATCGCGTCACTGGCACTGGTTTGGTGCACGGCCGAACATATGTCACCCCCTCTGGCAATCGCACCCTGTACATTCTGCTGAAAGTCTCCAACTCGATCCGAGGCCTGGCTGAATCCAAGACCGCTCGGCCCAGGCGGTACTGGTTTGAGCCCGCATTCTACTATACCTGGTGCGAGTGCGACTTCACCTCTCCCGATGCCGAGGAGCTCGCTACGTGTTTGAGCGAAAACTGCCCTGTCGTTGCCATCCCCAGTGCGCGTTACCGGCGCGACTCGTCCTCTTCCTCCTCTTCTTCTTCTTCTTCGTCTTCTTCGTCTGCACAGTAGTGGTTCTCTTTTTTTATTTGTTATTCTTTGTTGTTGGTTGTAGATCGATGTTTTTTTTTTTTTGCTTTTGAGGTTTCTTTTTGTCGATTTGTTGTTGATCTGAATACAATACCCCGGTTTATTGCTTACCCAACTTTCGTGATCTCCATCATTTTATTGATTGCAATTCTTCTTTTGATCTATGACAGTTTCCAAGTTGCTCAGTCTTTGTTTCTCATCACTGCTCAATGCTCAACAGCTAAATGCAAGTGGCGTACCTCGACTCGAACGCAACGACGCCGCTCGCGCCCGCCGTGCTCGCTGCCGTCCAAAGCGCGCTGACCGACGCCTGGGGCAACCCGTCCAGCGCCCACCCCGCAGGTACAATCAGGACCTCTCGCCAAGAGCGGGGGTAGGGGATTGGACAGGACTTGGACTCGACCATGTGGCGATCTCAACTTTTTTTTTTTTATTCACCGCGTGTCCCGTTTCGCTTCTCTGCTGACTGGATGCTGCTGCTGCTGCTGCCGGGATCCTCTGTCAATGCTGATCATCAGGCCAACAAGCCAAGAAAGTGATTGCCGCTGCCCGATCGCAGGTTGCGACCATGCTGGGCGTCGCAGATCACCCCGAGTGTATGTGAGCGACTGTTCATCACATGGTCCTGCTGCTGCTTCTGCTGCTGCTGCTGCTGCTGCTTTGAGGCTCACACTCTGCAAGCACGGTTCCGTACGCTCTGGTCGATGGTGGGAACGCACTTGCAGATGTCATCTTCACGTCGGGAGGAACTGAGGCCAACAACATGGCCATTCGCAGCGCCGTGGCGTCTGCTCGACCTGCTGCTGCGACCAACAGCGCACGCTCGCGCCCACACGTCATCACGAGCAACGTCGAGCACGACTCTGTCAAGCTGGTGCTCGAGGCACTGGTTGCCGAGGGAGCTATCGAGCTCAGCGTCGTCAACGTTGCGCAGCAAACGGGTGTCGTCAATGTCGACGCGGTTGTTGCTGCTGTTCGACCTGAAACCGTTCTCGTGACAATCATGCTGGCCAACAACGAAGTCGGCACCATCCAGCCGATTGCTGCGATCTCTGCTGCCATGCAGGAGCTCTCGAACGCGCGACCCGCCGATCACCCTCGCATTTTGGTGCACACGGACGCTGCACAGGCTATTGGAAAGATTCCAGTCAATGTGCGCGAGCTGGGCGTTGACTATCTCACGATTGTTGGGCACAAGGTTGGTGTTGTTGGACGCAGTTCATTTTTTTTTTCGTTCTGTTTTGTGCTCACTTGACTTTTCCCCATATGTAGTTTTACGCTCCAAGAAACGGTGCTCTATTTGTAAACAATCCTCGCGGGTACACACCACTGCACCCACTGCTTCAAGGAGGAGGACAGGAGGACAAGTTCCGACCGGGCACCGAAAACACTGCGATGATTGCCGGTCTCGGCGCCGCGTGTGAGCTTGTCACAGCCCACTTGGCGGATTACGCCGCGAACATGCTTGCTACGCGAAACTACTTTGAAGAGAAAATGCTGCAACGGTTTTCAAAGCATCGATTCCAAGTCAATGGACCAACTTTCTTGGGCGCCCGGTTGCCCAACACGTGCAACTTTTCGCTGATTGGCCAAGGACTGATTGGCTCGCATGTCTTGGCCGCTTGCAAAACCTTCTACGCCAGCGTAGGCGCTGCGTGCCACGCGGAGCACACGATGCGGTGAGTGGCTTTTTGTTTTTTTGCTTTGTTTTTTTTTTTTTGTTTGTTTTGTTTTTTTTTTCTTTTGTTTCGTTCTGTTCATGTTGACTTGATGCTCATTGGACGTGTTTTTTTTCTCTCGTAGACCCTCGCCGATATTGCTGGCAATTGGAGTCAATCCGGAAAACGCTGTCAACGCAATCCGAGTCAGCACCGGCCGAGATACCACTTTTGCAGAGCTGGATACTGTCGTCGAAGAGCTGTACAACGTCGCCATGGCTTTATGCAACAGTGCTGGAGTTGCTCATTAACTGAGATTGGTACGTTCCAAACCCTCACTTGTTTTTTTCCCGTTTCGACCGTTCTTCATTTCCCGTTTCCACTCTTTCATTCGTCATGATGAGTACACGTTAAAAAATATTATTATATGATAGGAAGATCTGATCACCCGTGACGGAGCCTATTCGTGACATCTGAACAACTTGACGCTTCTCTTTTTCCATCTCCTTCACGCTGCACTTTCTTTCTTTTTTTGCTTTTTGTTTTGTTTTTTCTGGTTGCTCGCCACTCACTCACTGTACTCTTCTGCAATGTTGTAGGTTTCCGTCCATTCTGCTTTTTCTTTTGTTTCTTCGATTCCCTCGCTTCGCTCTTCATTGCTACTCTTCTGAATTGTCAATACATTCTGGTTGAAAATTATTGCTATTCTTCCACAATCAATCCTCTGACTGGCACTTGGCACAACTACAACTAAAGTAGTACAACTCTTCGAGGGCGGCCTGCCGCTTGGCCTTGGGAAGGTCTGTGTCAATGTACGAGATGCACACCTCCGTGTTGACCGGAATGGTGGCGACGGCGACGACAGACAGGGTAAAGTCAGTCGCACGAGTCATGCTGACGACGTTGGGCTGGCAGGAGTGGTTCATCGTGTTGCCAATCTCAAACAGCCCACTGCCCGAGACAGTCAGGGATCGCATGGGTGTGCTCATGCGCAGACCAGGCAACTGCGGAATCTTGAAGCCAATCTTTCCGAGCACCGCAGCCAGTTTGTGTGCGTCTATCTGGGCCAAGCGGTCGATCATTGCGTGCAGATCCGACACTGGATTGAGGCGCTGGGCATTTCTCATGATGGCGCCGTCGAGCATCCGGAAGTTTTGAATTGTCAGCACTGCAGAAGGAATCGAAGAGGGAGATTGTCAGACAGCAATTGTTTAAAAAAAAAAAACACTCGACAGCACGCGGAAAGAAATACTTGTCGTACCAATTTCCATCAGCTTTCGATGCGGAGGAGAAAACGCATTCAAGATGAGCGCAAACTCTTCCGCATCGTGCGGCGTCTGCTCTTCCGACGCGATAAAGTTGCCAAAGCGTTGGAATGTGTCCTGCATGTTGGAGAAGCGACCGCTGGTGACTCCCGTCAAGCTCATGGCGAATGCGCGAGCAATGATCAAAGGATTGGTACGATTGTGTTTTCTAGCGGTCGAGGGAAGAGGGGAAAAACAAAACGAAACAAACAAAAAAAAAAAAAACGTCAGAACAAGCGCAGGAAAACAACAAAGTACAATGAGTGCATACCGGCAAAGAGCGTAGAGCTCGGTGATGGGGTGAATTTTGGCAAGCTCGCGGTCTTTGGCACAAAACACGGAATGGTAGTCGTCCCATGCTTGCGTGCGGCACTTGGCTGAGCAATACTGCTCGTATGGAACAAAGCACTTTTCGCAACTCAGGAAGGATGGGGTGCCGGAGGGATACACTTCACTGTGCAACACTGCAAACGGGCCCATCATATCAGGAGTCAGGCGCGTTTGCAAGCAGTGCGAGCACGCCGGGATGGCCGAGTTCTGCGGAAGAAGTAGGTTTGAGAGACGCGAGTTGCAGCGTTAGATCGACATGACTCTTGCGCTTCTCGTACTGCTCCTGCGTTCTCTTGAGCACACCTTCCTTCCTCGATTGGAGACGTACCTCTTCAGCACCCACAAAGCGATGGCTGACAACTGGCGCCTCGTGAAACACTTCAGTGCCGTACTGGAGCTCTTTCAGCGTGACAACGCCTTTTCCTCGCGTTGGATTGATGTAGCGGACTTGTGCATTGGTCATTGTTTCATTGTACGGCTTGTAGTACTGGGCTGTGTATGACCATGCCAATCCCAATTCAACGAAGAAGTCAGTCAAGTCAATCGAACCACAACCCCTCCTCCCGCCCGCCTTGAACGCTTGCCCGTTACCAACAAGTGCCTGCTCAGCCTCAATCCGTCCGATCTGCGCCTCGGTCGAGTTCGGCGTGACGGCGATCGCGGCCGCGTACGCGTTGCGAGCCTGGTGCCAGTTCCCCAGCGCCGCGAGCGCCTTCCCGCGCCGCAGATGCGCCTTGAGGAAGGTCGGGTCGATCATGATCGCTTTGGTGGCGTCTTCGATCGACTCGGCGTATTGCTTGAGCTGGTACTTTGCCGCGCTCATGTTCTGGTAGAGCATTGGCAGCGCTTCCCTCGGCGGGCCTGCATCCACTGCCGCCTGGTACTTGAGCACTGCGCCTACATAGTCCTGCGCATGGTAGAGCGCGTTGCCTTCCTTCTTGTGGCTGTCTGCCAATGCCGCAGCAGCGATCGCGCTCTCAACCGTCGAATCCTCAGCCATTCTTGGTGCGCAAACTCTGAATCTGAGCAGATTGGGAACAGCAATATAAAAAAAAAACGGAGACTGCGACGCACGCATCGTCCATAATGAACACATGTCGATCTGATCGTACTGCAGGATTTCTTGAGCATCTTGAGCGAAACCAGGCTCAATTCTCAGCGTCTCAATTCTCAGCGTCTCAATCCGAATCAAATGCTGCCATTGAATACATTTACAAAGCTCCACTTCGCAAACTGACGAGCTCAGTCCAGTCCATGCTTCTCGAATTCAGACTCTCAGACTCTCAGACAGGGAATGACGACGAGTGCTCGAGTCAAGATTGTCAATGCGCGGATTTGGACGCCGATTGGAGTGCAATCGTGGCTCACGTTCGACCAGGCGACTGGCACCATTCTTTCGATTGGCAGCGGCAGTAGCAGTAGCAGCAGTAGCAGCGAGTCGGATGATGGCGCTACGACCGCGACGACTGCTGCAGAGCCCGGTGAGCGACTGTAGCATGGTCGCAAATTTCACTTTCCACACCTCATCTCATCATCGTATGTCGGATGTCGCATTTCTGCTTTTCGACAGATAACGCTGTTCGAGTGATCGACCTCGGCGGGCGGATTGTGCTGCCGGGACTGCAGGACGCGCACATCCACCTCATGCACATTGGGCACGAGATGGCCAAGTTGCAGCTGCGAGGCACCAACTCCATTGCCAGCCTGCAAGAAAAGCTTCGCCAGTATCACGCGACAAAAGCTGCCTCCATGAACGAAGCCGATCGAGCTACCCAATGGCTTGTGGGTGTCGGTACGGCTGGACATTGACGCATTGCTTGAGCTGTGATCGCCTCGATGCTCATCGTTTAGTGCTTGTTTTGTTTGTTTTGCTCATGGCATTGTCTGTGGTGGTCGACTGGTCATCTTGAAGGATGGGACCAAGACACCCTCGGCTTACCCTCTGGCGTGTACCCGTCTCGACACGATCTTGATGCTGCCGTGCCTGCCAATGTGCCTGTCGTGCTCTTTCGGGCTTGCTACCACATTTGCGTTGCTAGTACTGAAGCGCTACGGCTTGCTGGACTGCTTGGCTCAAATCCAGTCACTGTGCCAGCAGGCGGAACCGCCGATCGAGATGAATCGGTGAGCAAGCTTGAATAATGGCGTCTCTCGCTCAATTCAAGGTGTTGAAACCTCTGTTTTGTGTGTGTATGTGTGTGCTGGTTTTCATCTTATTGCATTTGGCTTTAGGGCGAGTTTACTGGAATTTTGCGCGAGAATGCAGTCGTGCTCATCTACCCGTTTGTGCAAGACAACATTCCGCGCATCCTGCAAAAGCGCTATCTCGAGGCCGGTCTTCAATCTTGCCTGCGGTATAAAGTCAATGACTGGTGCATTTGACCGAGAATGAGCATCGAGAAGGACGCTCACGCACCATCCGCATTGAATGTTAGAAATGGCCTGACTGCCGTTCAAACCAATGATGCCTGCGCCTGGGACTTGTACCAAGAGCTTCAGAGCGAGGTTTGTAGATTCGGGGGCACTTTTTGTCAATGCCTCTATTCCTGGTTTCGTCATTGATTTTTGAAAGCGTTTGTTTGTTTGTTTTCAAACAGGGGAAAATGCCGATTCGCGTCTTTTTGACTCTAATGCACGACGAGCTTGTCAGCCCTCCCACGCAGTTTCAATCCGTGGTTCCCGCCCCAAAGCAGCAGGAGGGACTTTTGTCGTGCGATCGAGTCAAGCTGTTTTCAGGTGTGAACCGGCCTTGTCGGGTGCCAAACTCGTGGACTTTCTTCTTCTTTTTTGGTTGTCTTCTGCCACGCGCTTCTCACTTGCTTGTTCCCTAAAACAGATGGCTCGCTGGGCGCCGAGACGGCAGCCCTTCGCGCTCCGTACGCCAATTCGTCCTCCAAGGGACTCTTGATCTTGACCGACGCCGAAATGAACGCAAAGGTCCAGCTGGCCCACGATCGCGGCTTCCGCTTGGAGATTCATGCGATCGGAGACGCTGGGGCAGAGCAGGCCATTCGTGCGTTCGAGTTGGCCGGCGCCACCGGACCCGTCCATCGCCCGATTCTGACGCATTGCCAAATCTTGGGCTCGGACTTGATTGACCGGATGAGTCAACTCGGTGTTGTTGCAGATGTTCAACCGCCGTTCGTCGGAACCGATTGCGCCTGGGTGGCCAAGCGTCTAGGCGATGGATCTGACGGGAGCGCGGCACCGGGAGTGGCCGAGCATCTCCAGGACCGTCTCCGCTCGTCCTACGCCTGGAAGACACTGCTGACGCGCGGAATCCATGTTGCAGGCGGCAGCGACGCTCCTATCGAAACATGCAGCCCGTTCGTCGGCTTGCACTCGGCCATCTTCCGCCAGCCACACGGTGCTCCGCGCGAAACCCCTGCGTGGATGCCGTCCGAGTGCCTGACGTTTGCGGAGGCAATGCATCTCTACACTGACGGTGCTGCGTACGCAGCCTGCCGAGAGACGACGCTGGGCACCCTTGCTGCAGGATTTGCCGCTGATTTCGTCGTGCTAGAGTACAACGACGTTACCGATCCTGTGGGCAGAGGATTGGCGACCCCATGGGCTGATCCGCACCAACTGCTCAACGTTCACGCGGCTCAGGTTTGGGTCAACGGACAGCTGCGGTTGGACGTTGCCCAGGCGGCGTCTGCACACCCGCCTGTCGGAGGTGCCGCTGAATGGACGGCAGGAGTGGCTTCCTGCGTCTGTCATCGTGCGTTCTAGCGGAGAGGCACAACAAATGTCATGTTGCGAACGTTTTGAAAGCTCTACAGTGTTTTGTAACTTTTAAACCATTGGAGCAATCGGGTTTAGCTTGGAGAGTAAATTGTGGGTTCATTGATTCAACAGCAACAACAAGAACAAAAAGAAAAGGCACCAGACAAAAACAAGCAAGAACACAGGTCAACAAGGTGCGGTCCAAATGTACACCATGCGATTCAACAAAAGAGAAAAAAAAAAGGAAAAGAAGAGGCGGACGACTGCGGCCCGGCCGAAACAGGATGCAAAGCCACGGATGCCAAACGAGAAATGGAACAAACAAACAACAACAACAACAACAACAACAACAACAAAAAAAAAAAAAAAAAAGAGAGACACACGAGCTGCAATGCGAAACCATCTGCAGGAATGCACAACCCCGTTGTCATGAAGAGAAAGTATAAAAAATAAAGTGCAGCCCGTGTCTAGTTCATGGAGGCGGGGGAGGGAGAGAGAGAGAGCAGAGAGAGCCGGAAAAGCCGTCGAGAAAGCAACAAGTGGCCCAGCCGAGAGAGCACGCATCAGATTTAGGGGGGGGGAGGGACAGCAAAAGGCTCAAACAGTTGAAGAAACGGCTTAGAGCTTCATCTTGTCAATGACCTTGGCACAAACGTTCTTGTAGGTGAGGGAATTGCCAGAAATACGCTTGATGCGGATACCGTGGAGTGAAAGACGAGGAAGCTTGCAGACTTCCATTTCCCATTGGACGCCCTCGTGGGCACAGGTGACCATGAAGGTTTCGGTACGCTCGTACACAATGTGAAGCTCGTCGAGCACACGGCGCATCTCCGTCACAACATCCTCGGCCTTCTTGGAGGACGTCGTGTTCATGCTGAACGTAAAGCGCAGCGAACGAGGCTTGCTCTTGTCTTCCGCCGGCACCGCTGCAGGCGCCTTGAAGGATCGGCTAAATCGCGACTTGAGCTGCGACAGCAGATTCTTGCCGCCTTCGCTGCCACTTGGTGTGGACGGGTGATGTCCGGTGGGGCCGGCAGGTGCTGCGCCGGGGGTGCCAGGCAAGGGACCGTCGCCGTTGTAGGTTTGGCGGCGGGCGCGGCGCTCGCGCGCGGGCGCAGAGTTGGCCGCAGCCGAAGCCACCTGCGAAGAAGGGATGCGGGTGACGGGGGCGTCGCCAGACGGCTGCGCGGGCGAGCGCAGGAACGAGGTCGTGACGGACAAGCCACGTCGACGGTTGCCACGACCGCTCTCGCCAGCTTCGTCGCGGGCACGCGAGGTGACCGACTTGACGGGCGTTCCTGAAGGAGAGGTTGGGACCAGGAAGCCATTGGGCTGCGCTGGTGACGATGCTCCAAGCGTAAGGGTCGGGGAGCCGCTGCCTTCATGGCGACTGCCGTTTCGACGACGAGTGCCGTCTTCAGCATCGCTGTCGCTGCCAGGCGTGCCACCGCCAGCAGCAGAGGCGTGCGAGTCGGTGATGGAAGGCACGCGCTCGGGCGTGCCGCCCGACGCCGTGACTTTGGACCGCGACTGCAAAAACTCTCGCGCACGCGTGTTGAGCGCGCTACGGCTGCCAGTGGCATCAACGTCTTCAATAACAATAGAGCTGGGGCGGCTTGAGCCCGCGGCTCGCCCGCTGGACGCGCGGTCTACCGATGCCTGTGCATGAGCGGCAGCCGTTGTCGACTGCGCTGACGACGCTGACGACGACGTCGGTGTGGAAGGCACTGGTGAGCCAGAAGACGCCGCAGCGGAGGAGGAGCTGGTTGGTGTTGATGACCGCATAATGTCGCCAACGGCCGTGGTGGTAATGCCGTCCGGTGCATTGGAGCCGACGGCGGGAGGTGCTGGGGAAGATGCCGCACCCGCATTGGATGAGGAGGCGGTCGAGGAAGAGGAGGAAGTCGACGATGAGGGCGCGAATGCGTGACCATTGGATGTGCCCGAGGCGGTGCTGTTGCTGGTGCTACTGCTGGTGCCCGACCAAGCGATCGAGCTGGAGGCGGACACGACGGGCGAGTAGTCGCCGCTCATGACACGCTCCATGCGCGACTTGCGGCCAAGCAGATAGTACGTGGCAGCAACGTGGTCGTACACGTCGTTTTGGAGAGCAGCCAGCACGTCGGCGCGCGCAAAGCCCATCTTTTCCATCCGTTGGAGACGGCTCTCGTCGGTGAGATCGGGCGCCGGTGGCTCCCATGGCTTGAGGGGGTCCTTTTCAAAGCCCACATTCATCCATGACTCAACCATAATGTTTGACAGGGGCTCGCGCTTTTGGGGATTGACTTGGAGGAACTTTTTCAACAGCTGCTCGCACTCGGTCGACATGAAAAAGGGCACGCGGTACTTGCCCATGAGCACGCGCTCGCGCAGCTCCTTGAGGTTGGAGCCGTCGAACGGGAGGGATCCCGAAATCAACGTGTACAAAATGACGCCCAGCGACCAAATGTCAACCTCGGGGCCGTCGTACTTTTTGCCCTGGAAGAGCTCTGGCGCGGCGTACGGCGGGGAGCCACAGAATGTGTCGAGCTTGTCGCCAGGGGTGAACTGGTTGGAAAAGCCAAAGTCGGCAATTTTAATGTTAAAGTCGGCGTCGAGGAGGAGGTTTTCGGCCTTGAGGTCGCGGTGAATGACGCGGCGCGAGTGGCAGTACTGGACGGCAGACACGATCTGGCGGAACTTGATGCGAGCCTCCTTTTCCTTCATTTTGCCATGCGCAACGAGGAAGTCAAAGAGCTCGCCACCGCTCGCGTACTCCATGACAAGGTAGAGCGTTGTTGGCGTGTCGATAACCTCGTACAGCTTGATAATATTGGGGTGGTCGAGCATCTTCATGATGCGCACCTCGCGGAAGAGCTTGGTGAGCGAGGTCTGGTTGAGCTTGCTCTTGTCGATAATCTTGACGGCCACTTCCTCGTTGGTCAGGACGTGCCGGGCGAGCTTGACCTTGGCAAAGTTGCCCTTGCCAATCGTCTTGTCCAGGGCATAGTTGCCAATGATTTGGGGGGTTGCAATGTTCTCCGTGCTGCCCGAGCGCGACAATCGGCGGGGCGGTGGTGGCGGAGCAGCCACAACAGTCTCGTCCTCTGGAGTGGATGGCAGCTTGTTACCCTCTGGTTTGCGTGGCGACGACACTGCAGCCGCTGCAGCTTGTTGATCGCTCATTTGGCACGCGGCGGGAATGTATGTATGTGTGTGTTTGTGTGTGTTGGTGATTTGGGTCGCCGGAGGGGTTGGCTAATTTCAAGCAGGAGCTGCTGACTTTGGCTCAAACGACCGCAAGCGACTGAGGGGAACGGTGAGAACTGTTTGAACAGCGAAATCCAAAAAAGTGAGTGAGTGCAATGCAGCAGTGCAGCAGTGCACATCAGATGAGAGTGCTGTTTGAGCGCGCCTCGCGAATCGTACCTCAGCTCGTGTGGGTGACAAGAGAGCGAGAGAGCGAGAGAGAGAGAGAGAGAGAGACGGAGAGGCCAGAGGAGTGAACAGGAAGGAAGAAGAGATTGAACTGACCAAGTCTGTGATTGTCCAAAAAAAAAAAAAAAAAAAAAGTGAGCAATCCATCGCGCCAAACACCACCAAGTTGAGAAAAGTCGTGTGACTTGTAGAAATGGAAGGGGGCGGGGGAGGATTGAGAGAGTGGCGCTGTGAGCCGTGCTAGGCATGGGTTCAAGAAGAAAAACGAGAAAAAAAAAAAAAAAGGTACAATCGGTCTATTGGCGAAACGAGTCGGATTGGATGGAAGGGTGTGCGTGAACGGCTTTTGACAAGAATCAGTAACGGGAAATGTGTGTGGAGTCAACAGAGAGCGAGCGAGAGAGAGCGCGCGCGAGAGAGAGAGAGAGAGACAGAGTCGAAGAGCAAGTTGCTGGCTAAAAAAAAAGAAAGGATACGGTTGCTAAGCCGATGGAACGAGACGGCAACCCCCCCCCCCAACTTGGCTGGGTTTGCATCAGGGCCATCCCACTCATACAAAGCCTAAACACACACCGCTCAGCTCCTGGAAGGGCCCGATGCACGATCGAGCGTTGTCGGAGGGACAATCCTTCACCCAGACGACAGGAGCCAAAATAAAAAATAAAATAAAAAAGCCAATGCGAAAAAAAAAAAAAACAAGGAGCGCAACCATCCAAGGGCCTGTCAAAAGACGAGCGCGCTCTCGGTGCTACATGGCATGAGGATGCAAGTGGGGCGATAGACTTCGTTGGAAGGGCGGAAAGGCGAGAGAGAGACGGGTGTGGGTCGACGTGCGACGAGAGAGGTGGGTGAAATCAAAAATAAACCTGCAGCCTCACAAAGTCGCAGAAATAACAACTACAAGAACGAAAGTCGAGTGGGTTGAGTCTGCGTGTGGCAACACTGCGGTTGAAAGAAACAAAAAAAAAAAAGCATGTTGATCGTTTCAGTTGTCAACGTCAAAAGTGCCATCCGACAAAAACTCGCGGGGCTTTTGGAACAAGACCAGAACAAAAGAACGTGTGTTGACGACCAACAACGCAGGTGGTTGTGGAATCGATCGTTGTTGGTTTTGGCTCTTCTTGCTTGTTTCTCTCGCGAGGTGTGCTGCTGCAAGCATGCGGTACGCGAGCGCGAGCAACCCCCTCTTTGTTTCGTGCGGTTTGAGAAGTGGAACAAACAGCGTCCAGGGTTTGCCCGCACCCCGTTGCTGAATCGCCGCGGCTTTTGGCATTGTTTGCGACAGGCAAAGCGCCTTATCATCGCTCGTCGTGCAAAAGTGCACACCACAGAGCAACAGAGAGCGAGGACGAAATCAGTCCCCTGCGAAGCCACCTCAACTTGACAACTGCTTGTTTTTGTTTTTTTTTTTGGTTTTTTTGGTTTTTTTTTTCTCCTTTTTTTTCGTTTTTTTTTTTCTTCCAGTTGTTGTTGTTGTTGTTGTTGTTGTGCGTACTCTGACCTCTCGCTGGTTTGTTTCTGCAACGAGCTGCATGTTCACATTCGTAATGACGCTGATGATGCCGATGACCAAAGTCAATCAAGCTTCAACAAAAAAAAAAAAAAACCGCGCAAACAATACAAAAACAAATTCAAAAATCCTAAGTTGTGCGATTTTTTTTTCTTCTTTTTTTTTGCAATTCGAGGTGTTTGAGTCATGTCAACGGTCGAGTCCAGCGAGTGCAAGCGCTGGTGCTCCTGCTCTCATACACAAGGAATACGACGGTGCAGTAGGGGAGAACAACCAAGGGGTGGGCGGGGAAGGGCAGGTACGGCGACAACAGTACTTCAATCTCGACTCCAGCAATCTTGAAAAAAAAAATCAAAAAAAAAAAATCACAGATTCAACCAAAGCTGGCTTGCTGCTTCCACTTCGAGAGCAGTGTCGGCGAGGCGGGCGCAGTTGCCTCAAGCAACGTTCCCCCCTCCCCTTATCCGCTCGTGCTTCTCAGCGTCACCCCCTGTTTTGCATTCGACACGGAAGGCAAGCGCAGAATGTTTTTGTTTGGATTTATTATTTTGGTTGGTGTTTTGCAAATTCGAGGCGAAATTCGATCTGGCGGGTGTTGTTGCACCAAACCAGCGCTCGTGGTGGATGCCAGCCCAGCACCGAGGTCTCTTTGCTCCATGCGCCAGTTCCGAGAACAGCAGCAACAGCAGCAGGAAGCAAGCACAAGAGAACGAGGAAAGAAAAACCAACCCAGATTGCATCGAAACGAAAAAAAAAAAAAAAAAAAAACCCTCACAGTTCGCGCGCTTGTTTGTGATTTGGTTGTTGATTTTGTGAGCAACGACGGGTGACATCAAACCCGGGGGGTCAAAAGTCCGTCGCGGGCTCGCAGCGGGGGTTTGTTTCGCAGTCACAAAGAGATGAGGAGATGGCCTCACAAGAAACCGAGTCCCAGGTCAAAAAGAACAAGCGACTTTTCGGAAAAAAAAAAAAAAAAAAAAAGAACAAGGCGTTGAGAAGGAGAAGGATGTATGGAGAGCAAAACCCTCCCCGCCTCGAGAATGCAAGGATGTGTGAGAGCAAATGGGAGGGGAGGGGAGGGGGCAGAGACGGAAGCTCGAGGTGCGTTGGAGACTGGCGCCGCATCACAGCGGCCAAAGCAAGGAATAACACAAAAAAAAAAAAAAAAAAAAAAAGAGTCAGGAGTCGCCCTCAGTTGGTGACCGCACTGAAGCGCTCTGTTCGCCCGACGGCGATCCTCTGGCTGCTGCCTCTCTCCCACGGGCTCGCTTTGGGTGTGTGCGTGTTGCTTGTCTTGTCGAAAGAGGCGTACTCCCAGGATGGCAAAGTCACAACGACAGCAACAGCAACTCCTCAAAAAAAAAAAAAAAAAAAAAAAAAAACTCACCAAAAAAGCCAAAGGAAAAAACAATAAAAATATAAAAAAATAAAAAATAAAAAAGTGACTGCATACTTTGTTTTGCTTTTCTGTTATTTTGTTCACTCGAGTCCCGTTGCTCATCGCGGCCAGGCAACAGCTCGAAAGCAGGTCTCTTTCTCGATCAGAAACACGGATCTTTGTCGGGTTGTTGAGAGGCGACCGTTGGAGGTGGACAGAGACGCGCGAGGAGGGATCGATCTCGACGAGGGGCGGAGCTGCACGCGCACCAATGAGCCACAGCGCGGCTGTGTTCCCTCCGACCCTGTCCCACTGTCACTCGACTCTGTTTCTGTCTGCAGTAGGGTGAGATCTGCGACAAAAGGTCAAGTTGAGGGGAGAGGAATGTGCTGCGATCGTGTCCCCACAGAGTGCGAGAAATAATCTGCTGTTTTGGCATCGAGTTTCCATACTCCCACGATCACAAAATGCTTGAAGCATAACAGATAAAGAAAAGAAGAAGAAAACAACCGCGTGGTAGATCTAATGGCCCATTTTTGTTTGAGACTCCAGCAGCAAGCAAGTTGGCGATGACCTTCAAGCTTCCATCCGGTCGCTTTGATTCGATTCGAAAAAACAAGTGCTGGAACACTCCCCATTGCCAACCTCAATCAAATACAGAGACACTCGAGTCAGTCTTTGCTTGTAGATCCACCGCAAACAATGCCCAACTTGTTCGAGACCAATCCTGCCGTTCCCCGCGAAGTCACTCTTGGCACGAGCGGCTTTGCCGCCCTGCCCGAGATGACCGTGTTGGACGTGATGCGGACTGCCGTCGCCCAGTTTGGCTCCAAAGTACGCAGGCTGTTTTGCTCTGTGTCTGTGTGTTGTGTGTTGTTGTGCGGAGGAATCGACTTGGGGGGACTTTGTTCCGTCACGTCTTTTCAACCAGCCAAGCGCCTTCACCGCGCCCAATCCGCGCTGTGAGATCAGCTGCGTAGTTGTTGCGAGCGTTGACGCCGTGCACATGAGGATGCCTGGCTTTCCCGCAGCAGCCAGCAGCAGCGCGACTGTCCCCAATTCTCACTACACCACCCACAAACAGCGAGTCGTCAGCCACACTCACGATTGCGCACCAGTCAGACCATCCAATCCACCACGCTGTCCTTCTCTTGTTTCTCTTGCTTTACTCTCTTTCTCTGTCTCTGTCTCTTTGTCGCTCTCCACTCAGTCGAGGGGGGTTGTTTGCGGGTTGTCGGTTGTTTTGGTTTTTTTTTTATTTGTTTTTTTTTTTTTTTTTTGTCCGTTTCGTTTGTGGGTTCCTTTGCTTTTGCATTGTGTGACTTTTGTTTGCAACAAGGCCCATGGCCCACAACCGCTGATCAAACATGGGGGCTTAACGAACGCACATCGCTGGCAGCTGGCAGCTGTGAATTTGGATGCGAAAACCTGGTCCCTCACTGTTATTTCTTGCTGGTGTTTGTTGTTGCACTTGCACTCTGCTTTTAATTGCAGAAAGCACTGGTCGCCAAGCGCGATGGCAAGCAGGTCTCGTGGACGTTCCAAAAGTACCAAGACGACGTGCTTCGAGTCGCAAGAGCACTCATCCAGCTTGGGATTGATGCGCACAGCTGCGCAGGTATTCTCGCCTTCAACTGTCCCGGTAACAAAACAAAACTCAAAAACACAAAAACATAAACGACACCCTCACTCTGCACTCAATTATACTCACTTTCCGCCAATGCCGTTTGTGTGTGTGTTGTATCGATATCCGTTCTGTCGCAGAATGGAATATTATCGAGCTGGGATGCATGTTCGCGGCCGTGATTCCGTTTGGCATCTACACAACCAACGGAGAAGAGGCCTGTCAGTTCGTTCTCAACCATGCCAAAGCGTCGATTGTCTTTGTCGAAGACGCTGAAGCCTTGAAGAAGGTACTGAGGATTTGCGTTTTGAGCTGACCTTGGTCTCCCTTTCGACATGCACGTTCTCAATCAGTCCGGTTCTTTCTCCGTTAGATTCTTGCAATTCGTGCTCAACTTCCCGCGCTCAAGGCGATCGTGCAACTGTTCGGCACTGTTGAAGCAGGCCACTCTGGAATTTACACTTTTGAAGAATTCTTGGCCAAAGGTCAGCAAAGCTTTTTTGTTTTTGTTCTTTTCTTTTTTCTTTTTTTGCCCTTCGCTTGAAACCAGCACTCGTGCCCTGACCTTCGCTTTGATCCCTGTGCAGGCTCCGCGGCACCTGCTTCAGCTGTGGAAGAGCGAGCAAAGCTAATCACTCCGGGACACTGTTGCATTGTCATTTACACCTCGGGAACGACTGGCGAGCCAAAGGCTGTCATGATTTCTCACGATTCTTTAACATGGGTGTCTCGCATTGCCCAGTCAACCTACGGCATTCGTGCGGGCACGGAAGTGTTTGTGAGGTGAGTGCGCAGTAGTAGCCTCGTCGCTCCGACTTTCTGTTGGAACGTTGGAACGTGCTCACCCGTATTGCTCCTTTTTTGGTCGGGGCTGGGTTGGATCTGGCAGCTTTTTACCCTTGAGTCACGTTGCAGCCCAGATCATCGACGTCTGTCTTGCGCTGCTCAGCGGCGTGGAGACCTTTTTTGCTCCGCGAGAGGCCCTTCGAGGCCAGCTGATCGAGACTCTCCAAGAAGTTCGTCCAACCATGTTCATGGGCGTTCCGCGTGTGTGGGAAAAAGTGTCAGAGAAGATGCGAGAGGTCGGCGAGCAGCAAACCGGTCTGAAAAAATGGATTGCTGGTTGGGCGCGACGAACTGGCCTCGCTGGCAACATGGCCCTGCAAGACGGCAAGTCGCTACCCGCCGGATGGTACGAGTCCAGAAATTTGCTGCTTCTCTGCGATGAATTGGAAGCTCTCTGTTTGTTGGCGATGACTTTAAATCTGCTCTTTGGCCGTGCGTCTTGCAAAATCTCTCCGCTCACTATTTTTCACTCATTTCTCCCATCCGGATCGCAGGTGGCTCGCGGACAAGCTGGTCTTTAGCAAAGTGAAATCAGCTCTTGGGCTGGATCGATGCAGAAAAACGTTCACGGGGGCTGCTCCCATCTCGCTGGAGACCATCACCTACTTTCTCAGCTTGGACATTCCGTTGTACGACATTTATGGCATGAGCGAGACTACTGCAATCATAACGCTTCCCGAGCCCAGCACATTCCGCTCGGGGACCTGCGGCAAGCTGCTGCAGGGCCTCGACGTCTTGATCGACCGGCCCGATCGCGAAGGCAATGGCGAAATCCTCGTGCGAGGTCGAAATCTCATGATGGGCTTTATGAACAATCCCGACGCCACGGCTGCAGAGTTTACACGCGAGGGCTTTTTCAAAACTGGTAAGATTGTTGATTTTGGTTTTTGTTTTGAAACAAAATAATTGGGTCTGGCTGCGTAAGCGTGAATTTTTATTTTTATTTTTTTTTTTGTCGCTCCTCACGGTGATGTTGTCTCTTGCTATTTCAGGCGACATTGGACGCTTTGATGGTGAACAAAACCTCCTGTTGACTGGTCGAATCAAGGAGATCATCATCACTGCGAACGGCGAGAATGTTCCGCCGCTGATGGTGGAAGGCGCTCTGAAACACCAGATTCCAATCATTAGGTATGGGGAAAATGATACGCAACAGTGGAATCAATCGCACCTGCTTTTCTCTCACTCGTGCTGCAATCAATCATCATGATGACAGCAACGCGATGGTGATTGGCGACAATCGCAAATTCCTGACCTGCCTGATGACTCTCAAATGCGAGCTGGGTGATGATGGTCTGCCATCAGATCGGCTTCCATCCAGCACTCTCAAGCTTTTCGAGCAGCTTGGAATCTGTATGTGACGAATCCGGCGAGATGTTTTGATTTTGAAGTTGCGCTGGGTGTCATGTTGCGTGCCGTTTTGATTTTGGGCTTTCTGTCTTTTTCGGGAGTGGGCTGGTGAATGACTTGCAGCTGCTGCTCACTTGTGCTCCCTTGTGCTCCCTTTTTGGTTATCTCAGCTGGATGCACGACGGTGAGCGCCGCACTCAAGAACAGTCACGTTCACAGCTTCATCGCAGAGGGCGTTCAGGTTGCAAATCGCAAAATCGCCAACAATGCGCAACATGTTCAGAAGTGGCGCCTGCTCCCTGTTGATTTTTCCGTCTATGGTACTGACTGGAATGGCTGTTGACGCATGTGATGTCGTGCGTCGCGCTGTGTGGGACTCAGTTTGTGTGTTTTTGCTCCCTCAAACAGGCAACGAACTCGGTCCGACACTCAAGCTCAAACGTCGAGTCGTCATGAAAAAGTACAAGAATGTGGTTGACGAAATGTATGAAGGCGAAGGGGCTGCGTGAGTTGTGGTTCTCCCTAAACTGAACTCGACTCGACTCTGGTCCAAATGTCACGACATTGTGTTGCAGTAAAACTTTCAATTCATTAAAGCTCGCCCAAAACAAATTCGAAGCTGAGCAAATTCATATTTCGATACATCATGCTCGCAGTCGAACGAGCTTTCCAACCTGGCAAGGTGGTCCTCTTAGACAGTGGGAAGTCCCTTCTCAGCTCTCATCCTGTACTCGATTCCCAACTCTGAGCCTTTTCTCGCGGCATGAATCCAAGGCTCACTCATCGTTTTGTTTTTGTTGCTTTGTGTGTTTCTTTTTGGTTGCTGGCTTTTCTTGTTTGACCATTGAATTTGGTGCTACATTGAGTGAAACGAGCTGGGCTGGGGTTTTGTGAAGATGCGAGGCGGCAGGCGGTCGGACGTGGCCAAGAGCGCGTCTCGGTCCATGCCCATCATCAGCATCATCGTCATCGTCATGCTCATGAGTGCAGTAGTGCTCGTTGTCGTGGCGGTCGTACCTGGCAATCAAGCGCCCGGCAAACACGAAGGTGCTCGTGCACGGGCGACCGCGCCCACTGCGGCACCACCACTACTACTGCCGGCATCGCTTGCTCATCATGGTAGTGGTGCTGATACTGCGGCCGAGATGGGCGCGGGCGAGAACGCCGCCGTCGCTGCTGCTGCTGGGACGGCCGACAGTACCATTGCTGATGATGATGATGCTGCTGCTGCCGTTGCTGCTGGAACTGGCAACCGAGACGCTCGGCGCGATCTGGACATTGAGGACGATGACTCGTTGGTGCTCAATCCATTCTCGGGCGTCGCATTCGACCAGCGGCCGTACATGGCTCGCAAGCCACTTCTCATGCCGGGCGTCACCACCACCAGTGACGACACGTATCTCTGCACATTTGCCGCGCTTCCAGAAGAGCACGACTATTTCATTCGTAAGAAAACGAGGGTGCAGGGAGGGAAGGCCTCGAGAACAAGTTAGGACAAGCTGTCATTCTGTGCTCTCAACGTTACAACTTGCTAGATAAATTCGAGCCTGTTGCAAACGAGCACTTGGTGCATCACATGATGGTGTATGGCTGCACAACACCGTACGTTGATACGGGCCGACCATGGTACGTCCAACTCGCGTTGCTGATGGTGCGCCGCAGCATTTTTTTTTTTCGCTCCTCGTAATCACTGAGCGCTTGCTTCTCGCATGTTCTCGTTTTAGGGGATGCGCAAACATGAATCATGTATGCGGCGAAACGGGCTCGCATGTTCTGTTTAGCTGGGCTCACGGAGCCAGAGCATTCACTCTGCCTGATAACACTGGGTTCCATGTTGGCCAATTCGCCACCATCCGTACCCTCGTCTTGCAGGTTCACTACGCGCCCATCATTCGTATGTTATTTTCCCCATGCATGATGCAGGGACTTTACACGTGTGTGTGTTTCAGTCTGACTTGGTTTTGTTTTTGTTTGTTTTGTTTTTGTTTTTGTTTTTTTGTGTTGCTTGTTTTTGTGTTGCTTTGTTTTGTTTTTGCGTTTCCATTTGCTGGGATAGACGTACCCGATTTCGTCACGGGTGTGCAACTGTACTTGGCTCGCGCGACCTCCGCAAGTGTGTTTGCAGGAATGCTTGTGATGGCCAGGTCACAATTGCATCTCGAGTACGCGACCGATCTCGTGGAGGCTCCTCTCTCGTGCACATTTTCTTCTCCGGGTATGTGTTGTTTGAGCGTAACTGTGCCATTCCTTCGTCCTGGATGACTCGATTGCTCACTGAAGCTCGTCCTTCCCTCCTGCACACAGCCCCGATAACGGCATTTGCTTTCCGAGTTCATGCTCATGGTCTTGGAGAGAGCATTTCCGCCTCTGTTCGCTCCGCAACCACTGGAGCGTTGACGGTGCTTGGAGTCGGTGTACCGTCGAACGGCTCCTTTGTGATGCTGCCAGAGCCCATTACGCTTTCCAGCAATGACGTGTTGGAGGGATATTGTCGGTACAATACGAGCTCACTGTCGCCAGGACAGGTCGTGCGCGTTGGAACAACCTTTGCCGATGAAATGTGCAACTTTTATCTCATGTTTAGCTCCGCTGTGGTGGATGGCACATTCCTCTGCGAGTCGACCCCGACCTTTGTCGACAACTCGTTTGTGCCCGACAACCCTGATGCCTCGCAGAGCAAGTGTACTGCAATGCGGCCGTGTTCACAGTACACGCACATGCGAGAATGCTTCATCCGGCTGAACAAGCCTTGTTGCTGCCCGATTGTTGATGACTCGCCGGAAACTGCCGCGAGGAAGCACCGCGGCCTTTACTGGGATGACTCACAGCAGTACGTCAACGTGACCTCCCAGATGGGGTTGGTCAACCGTTGGCCAAACTACTTTCCAGTCTCTGGCTGGGAGATTGATCCCGCAGACACCAGCAACGGCGCACCAAAGCCCCGTGACTTTGCCTCTGCCGCCTCAGCGTCGCTGCAGGTGGTCGCGTCTTACGCCTCGGCTTCCGTCGAGGCAGCACGTGCCAGCCGCTCGCCCATTCCCGCTCCCCCGCGATGGGACGAGTTCATTCCTCCACCCTTCACCCTCGGTCAGGTGACTGGCTTGGCCACAGACCCGCATGGCAATGTCTGGGTACTTCACCGAGGCGATCGCATCTGGGACGAACTCACCTTTGATGCCCAGAACAACATTCGCTACGACACACCCATCATGGAAGACGTGCTGGTCTGCATTAGCGCCTCCACGGGAGTGCGTCTTTCCTCGTGGGGCGGTGGATTCTTTTACTTTCCGCATGGGTTGCAAATCGATGCAGCTGGCAACTTTTGGATTACCGACATTGGCCTGCACCAAGTCTTCAAGTTTGGTCCAGCCCACGAGTTTCCTCCACTCCTGACATTGGGAAGCCGCCTTCAGCCGGGCTCTGGGCCTGGGCAGTTTTGCAAGCCAGCCGATGCGGGCCCGACATCCAGCGGGACAATCGTTGTGGCAGACGGCTACTGCAACAGTCGTGTCGTCCGCTTCCAGTCCACGGGCATTTTCCGGGATACCAAAGGCATCTTTGGCGCCATTGACGGTCAGGATCTGCCGCCAGCAGGCATGTTCCACATTCCACACAGCGTCACGTTTGATTCCAAAGGCAATTCGTACATTGCCGATCGCGAAAATGGTCGTATTCAGGTCCTTAGCGAAGCGGGCGTCTTTACCCACTTTTACACCGAAGTCGTCCATGCGACCATTGATGTTGGAGACGGGCATCCCATCCTTGAGCTCGAGCGGCAGTGGCGCGCCGTCTACTCTGTGAGAATCTTGCCACATACCGAGCTGTTGGTGGCGGGTGTGCTGGACAATCCGTTCGGAGACCGAGGGCGCATTGTTCGCATTCAAATCCGCGACGGAGAAGGGGATGGCTTGCTACTGGGATCGTTCGGCAATGTCAACGATACCGATGTGTTTAGCCCTGCCTACTCGGTGCAAATTCCTCACGCGCTTGCGACCCGCGTCGGCCTCGACAGCTTGTTTGTGGCCGACCAAAGGCCCAGTCGCTTGCTGCGTTACGAAGGATTTCGCACGGCGAACGATCCAGTGCCCGACATGGCTGCAATTGCTGCCAATCCGGATCGGCACACAAAGTTCGTCCCTGGTGAGGACGGTGTTCCTCCAGTCAACCTCCACAGCTACGACTGTGACCGGCTGCAGCAAGCTGCGGTGCTCCTCTCGGATTCTGAACTCCATCTTGATTGCAGCTGTGGAATCCAAATTCACAGCAACCATCCTCAGGACTGTGTTTCAGGATGGTACTGCCGGCCAACAGCGCCGCTGTCCGTGATTCTGGGCTACACGCTCGATGACGGTGACAGTGTCGTCCATTCTGGCGTTCCCGTCTTTGTATCGCGGCACCGCTATGATGCGCAAAACCCCTTGTTCTTGACATACTCGGGAGTGACGCCGCAGTCTGGGATGTGGTACGTCCACAGTACTGCAGGAAACCGATTGTATCCCAGTCGTGGAAGCTATCCTGTCGGTGCAGCGCTCAAGCACCAGTCTGCCGGCTCTGCGTACTTTTTCCCCGTGCACTTTGAAGGTGGCGGCGACGCTTCGACCACGAGTGTCCAGGTCGGCCCGTCTGGATCCAATGTTTGTCTGCCAATCGACGCGACATCGACCTCATTGGCAGCACTGGCTTCTGCCGCCAGTGCCAGCTTGGAAGCCGTGAGCCTGGACGCCTTGTCGTCAAGGTTGAATTCGAGAGTCCCAGCGCCAACTTCCAGTCGCACAACTCCAGTACCCCGACCCACCGCGTCCCTTGCAACTCGCCAGCCTCAAGACGACGCGAATGCAAGTGGTACTCCAGACAGTCTCAGCGAGGCGTTGTCCAGCCACCGTTTGCTCATCATTGCTGGTGTGGTTGCCGGCGTCGCCGTGATTGGATGTGTGATTGGCACCGCTGTGTGGCTGCGACGCCGCCACGCGCAGGGCAAGGGCATTCAGCAGTTATATCGCAGTCTTCGCAGCAAAGACGTGTTTGATGCTGGCCACGTCAGCAGCTCGGATGCCGAGTCCATCGCTCCACATCGTCGTCGACACAGGAGTGCGCATGACGACACGGATGACGACAACATGAACACTTTCCGCATGAAGTTTTTGCCGCAACAGCGAGACAAGCCGCGCTTGCACTTGCACGACGAGAGTGGCGACAGCGATTCTGAGTTAGTCCCGTCGTCCGCGTCGTCATCACAGCACCAACAACGCCGCAATCATGCAGAATCAGAGGATGACACGGGAAGCTCCGAGTTTGATTCTGACGATGGCGCGTCGACCGATGATTTCACGGATGGTGAGGATGTTGATGAGAACGACGAGTCCGACCCTGACGATGACGAAGCTGCCGCGGGCTCAAACCGACCGCGCTCGCATCGGCGACCGCGCTCCGGTGCATCATCTCGACGCCACCCCGACTCCCAAGACAAGCCGTCGTTGTTCTCCAACTTGCTGTCAAAACTTTGGTGATTGGAACGGAACGGTTTGGCGCTTCGTTTCTTAAATTTTTTTTGCTCGTTGTTTGTTTATTTGTTGTACAATTCAAGTGCTGAACATTGATACCTTGCATTGATTTGCCATGCTGGAGTCGATCTGTGTTCATTCAAACTTTTTCTTCTTCTTTTTTTTTTTTTTTCTGTTTCCAAAATGCTGGAACCGAGCCAAGAAGACATTGCCGCTTGGGAAGCGCAGTACGACCTCGCCTCGCTCCCCGCCGAAGGTTTGTGCTCATTCTCCCGTGTTGCTGCTGAGCTCGATCTATACATCTGCCGTTGGCACCAACTGACTCGCTTGGTCCGTGTTGCTTCTCTCTCATCGTGTTCCAGCCGAAGATCCGTTCGCGCCAGAACTCACCTACCGCCGCCCGCCGCCCAACTCTGTCATCACGCGCCGTCTGCCCTTCGATTCGATCGACACAGGCTTCAATGGTAGGGCACTCTGGGTTTGATTCGTGGGGGGGCATTTCTGGAGGGAAGAGGACTGTGAAACGAGCAAAGGGACCGAACAAAAAAAAACCGCCAAATGTTTTCCCGCCAAAAATCTGCAAAAGATTCACAGTTCGTCTCCAGTGCTCCAACACTCACGGTATCCCACCCGCCTGCATCGTTCATTGGTGCGCTTTGGTGTGATATGTGTGTCACTTGCAGCAGAAGCACAGACAGGGCCCGTGGACGCTGCTGGGGCTGTGTCGTCGCAAAACAACACCTCCGGTCTGCCAGCACAAACGGCAACGACAACGACGACAACGACAACGACGGGCTTTGTCAGTCGGTGGCCGCGCAAGGCAACAGCGACAGAAGACGTGCGATTCAAACGATCCCGTGATGAATCAACGGCAACGGACGTGCAGGCAGCCTTGAACTCTGAGTTTGGCCGCCGCGCTCCGACGCAGAGCAACTCGTGGAACAACGACGAGTCGACAAGGCTGATGGGAGGCATAACAGCCTACGAGCCAGAACAGGACGATCCGTTCTTTGACAACCCGCCAGATTTTGACGAAGCCGCCGATCAGGAAGCAAACTATTACGCGTCGCAGGCCGATCCGCCGCCGGAATTCGACGACCTCGATGTTGCTGACGCCGTCCGCGCTTTCGTGGATGACCAGCGCGGTGGTGGCGGTCGCACTTTGAATGGTACGATACAACAACGCAACGCTTTTGCACGTTGCTTGCTTCTTCGAGGGACGTGGTGAACGAGGGAAAGTGGGAAACGAGGCGCGAGGCGGCATGCTCGTGGGCCTCTCATGATTGTCTGATTGTCTGGAGGGAGAGAAGGGTCTGAATGCGCTCACTTGCATGCGCCGACAGAAATCAAGCGGTTGCGTCGCGACGAAAACGCCTCGGACACCCCTGAGATGCGCAAACTGCAGAAAGGAGCCCTGCCTGATTTCCTTGAGGACGACCCAGCGCCATATGACGATGTCAGCGATGCGGATCGAGCGGAGGAAGAAGAAGCGCGGAGACTAGCTGGTCTACCGCCGATTCAGGAGCCCCGCCGTTTTGTGAGCAAAGGCGCGCAAGCTGGCGCCAACACTCGCCCCGCCGTCGTCGTCCCAAAGCGCTCCCTGCCGACCGGCCCAAAGCTCACGAAAAGGCCGCCGCTGAAGGGCGACAGCATGTCACTGCTCGATCGGAATGGCGACATGTGGTATGTCGTGTTGAAACCCAAACCTTCCCTTCAGCAGCAGCAGCCACTCCACGAGCGTATGAGCCTTCCCGATGCTGGGCACCTCTTGCCCGAGCCAGTCTCGGTGATGATGGCGCGACTGGACGCACAGCGAGTTGCCGCAGTGTACCACCACGGCGTCGCCATGTCAACAACTCCGGTCAAAAAGTCCCGCCCCAGCCAGCCTGAAAGCAGCCAGCTGTGGGTGGAAAAGTATGCGCCGCGAGGCTTTATCGATCTGATCAGTGACCCCGGCACCAACCGGCTCCTGCTTTCTTGGCTGAAGCAATGGGACCATTGCGTCTTTGGCAAACCGCGAGCGATTCACTTCAAGCCCCCTCCAGCGGCCCCCGCATTCAAACCCTTCCCTGCGTCCGATCGCGGAAAGCCCGGCGCTGCGGGTGGTTTTCGCGCCGCTGCAGGATCTCAGCCACAAGCGGCCAACGGAGGTGGCGGCGCCCACGCTGCTGCGGGCCGCAAGTTTGCTGCCACAGCAGCACCCGCAGAATCGGAAGTCCCCGTCAAACCCTTGCCCATGCAGGACCCGCTAGATCGTCCACCTCACAAGGCACGGCTGCGCCCTTTTTTTTTTTTTTTTACTTGTTTGCACATGTCTTTCACAGCAGTGTGCGTCAATTGACATGTTGGGTTTGTTTTGTTGTGCTGTGTGTTTTCCAACAGTTGATTTTGATGGCCGGGCCGCCTGGTCTCGGGAAGACGACGTTAGCTCATGTGATTGCCAAAACCGCTGGCTATCATCCTGTTGAAATTAACGCGAGAAAAAAAAAAAAAAACAAAGCACCTTGTTTTTGAGCGGAATTTTTGGGTACTATTGTTGTTCCCTCTTTGCGGAGGAGCACCGTCACAAGCTGCTTCTAACCACGAAAATTCGATTGAAATGACATTCCCACTCCCCTGTTGATCAATGGCAGTGATGATCGTGCAGAAGAACTCTTTCGCAACAGGGTGCTGGCCGCAGTCGAAATGTCCTCCGTCTTTGGCTCTGAAAATACGCTGCCCAACTGCTTGATTATTGACGAGATTGACGGTTCGTCCGCTGCCGCCATCAATGCTTTAATTGCCATCGCAACAGCAGGCTCGACCTCGACGGAAAAGCGTGCAACAACGGGCAAGGCCGCCAAACTTCGCCGGCCCTTGCAGCGGCCCATCATTTGCATTTGCAACGACATGTAAGGGAATTGTGGTGCTGGAGTGGGAAGAAAGACAATGGGGATGGGAGTTATTTTGCATCGCGAACCTTTATCTCGCGACTGGCAGTCCTCACGACGCTTACGCTTTGTATTGGCATCTATGTTGACTCTGGCTATGTCTCCCAGATTCGCGCGGTCGCTTCAGGCACTTCGCCAAGTTGCTTTGGTCGTTCCGTTCCCAAACACCTCCGGTAGCCGGCTGCAGACCCGCTTGACGCAAATTTGCAAAGCCGAGCGGTTTGAGCTCGAGGCCAACGTGTTGGTGACTTTGTGCGAAAGCACCAACAATGACATTCGCTCTTGCATCAATACGCTTCAGGTATGTTTTTTCTTTCTTGTTTTTTTTTTTTTTTTTTTTTGTTTTTCTTGTTTTTTTAGCAAATCTATTTGTGTCGAAGGTATTTCGAATGCTGACGCTGTTGCCCTTCAACAACCGCCTTCATCTCCCAGTTTTTGAGCCGGCACGGCAAGACTGCTGTTTCTTCAAGCGAGATTGCTCGCCTTGCGGTTGGCCAGAAGGACACCCAACGAGGCCTCTTTTTGCTCTGGGAGTACACGCTGCAGGCCAGGTCGCTGCAGCAACTGCTCCGCTCGGCCAACGATCCTTCTGCTGCCATGAGTGCGAAGGACTCGAAACTCCCCACTGGAGCGCTCTTTGGCGAGTCCAATGCCGGAGGTCAGCAATTCGATTGTGGCAGTTGTGCTTCTTGATGGGTCATGCGCTTATTGGGGTTTTTGGATTTGCCGAACGCTCTGTTTGCCTCTCCAATGCAGGGCTGTCGCGTGAGTTGAGCCGCGGGCGCCGATTGGGATTTATGGACGTCGTGGTTCCAATGATCACAGCGAATGGAGAGTACGATACTCTTTTGTCTGGCCTCTACGAAAACTACCTGTCTGTCCGCTTCACCGACCCCAACATGGTCAAGGTATGAGCAAAGCCCGCAACGTGTATTTTTCAAAAAAAAAACCTATGCTGCGCGCATGCCCTGATTCTAAATGTGTGGTTGTTCGGCTGTGGACACAGATTCAAGATGCCTTGGACTGGGTGGCCTTTTACGATCAGGTGCACCTGCATGTGTATCGCAATCAGATGTTCCATTTGATGCAATATCTGCCCTACACTGTCGCGGCGTTCCACGTGTATTGCTCGGCTCAACAGCGACAGCGTCTCAAATTCCCAAAACAGCATAAAGACGTGAGATTGTTTGAACTGTTGCATGTGATTGGTTTGCGATGTCAAGGCAAGCTGACTGAACCCCATCGTGTGCATTTTGGTGTGTATGTGTTTGTTCTGGGGATTTTTATTCGGTCCCCCGCTTGGATAGTTTGTTCAAGCATTAACCCAGCGCCAATCAATCATCGCGAATGTGACCAGCGGTTGCACTGCTCGCGTCCGCGCCTTCCTGAACGCACAACAACTGGTCGTTGACGTCGCCTCGCCATTGGCCGACGTGCTCTCCCCCAACATGCGCCCTGTAAGCCAGAGTTTAGCGAACGCCGATGCCAAACAACACTTTCAACTAACATCCTTGGGTTTGCTCACGTCCTGAAACAATTGATGTGTTAGATCACAGTTCAACTTTTGAACGCCGCAGAACGAAAGCAGCTTGCAGCTGTTGTGGATGTCATCTTGTCCTTTAATCTTAGCTTTGAGCAGGTTCGACAGTTCGATGGGATGTATGACTACGTCCTCACTCCGTAAGTCCATTGGAAGCTCACTGTGTGCTCGCTGGAGCTATGTGTTCCTCGTTTGGTATGATGCAAGTTTGAGCTTGTGTACTCAGTTCTTGCTATTTTTTTATTCTGTTTGCTTGTGTGTTTGTTTGTTTCGGCATGCCACAAAATTTACATCAGAAATTTGCTCGACGTGGTCACGTTCCCGACGCCAACATCGGTTCGACGCAAGCTGCCATATCCCACAAAACAGCTGATCGCTCATGAGGTGAGCTGCCGTGAATGTTTGATGTTTTGCTCTCCTGATGCTCAACAGACGCTCGACTCCAACAACTCTGGACCTGCAGGTCGAAATTGAGCGCCTGCGGCAAAATGCGGGAGAGCAGCCTCCTGCGCTGACGCCTTCAGCTTCCTCCTCGACCGTTGGTCACGCAGCTTCAGGAGCGCCACCTCAACCAACCAGGTATCGAAACTCGTTGAAATGCACGTCAATTTTTTTCTTTGTTTGTTTGTTTGTTTGTTTGTTTGTTTGTTTTTGGGTTGTCAAGTGGTACGTGTGCTCAAGTATGCTGAAATGAACTTTGAAAAACTCCCAGGCAAGACTCCAAGCGTGCCCCTGCTCCCAACATGGATCTCCTTCTTGGCCGATCAAACAAAGCTCCCATGCCGGTTAAAGTGGAGCCAAAGGTGAGGGCCTGCTTCTTTGCATTGTTGAGCTTGCGATTCACTCAAGTCTGCTGTTTCTATTTCTTGATTACAAAACAAACAAGGTCGTACGCGACTTCTTTGGACGTGTTGTGCAAGTGATTGAAGAAACGTCCAGTATGTACTATTTTTGTTTTTTGGTTGTTTGATTGGTTGTTTGATTGGTTGTTTGATTGGTTGTGAGTGGTTTTATGCGTGAGTTGTACTCGACTCACCATTGATTCCCATTACGGATTGAATTTTGCTTGACACTTTTCAGACCCGGCCTCAATGGATGCCTCCAATCACGGTCCCACCAAAGCCGCGGCCGCCGCTCAGAATGCCCTCGCGACTTTCGTTACGTCGTACAAGTTTCAGGAAGGTTTCTCCAATGCTGTGCGGCACTCTGTTCGCATTCGCGACTTGCTCTAAACCATGCCTCCAGCAAACGTTTTCAAGCTGAAGGGCGACGTGAACAAAGCAAAGAGACAAATGATATTTGATGAAGAATAAAACAGAGATACGGATACACGATCAAACAAAAAACAGTAGAACAAGCAACAAAAACGCGTCGAACAACAAGAAACGCGTTGAACAAGAACGAAATAGTCATGGCCGAAAAGCTCAAAGACAGTCATGACAGCTAGTCGAGTTGCATGGCTTCATTGGAAGGGTACTCCTCGTCTGGTTGAGTGGCGTCGTCGGGAACGCTGACAACAAGCGACGGCTCGGGCCTGTGCTCGGCCGATTGAGAGTCGCCTCCCGAGTTCGAGAATTGAGCTGCTGCATCGGCAAGACTTGGCTCGACGGGAGACACCAGCGGGGCTTCCGGCTCGGCTTGCAGGCAGGCATGCAGCGTGGCCAGGCTGTTTTGAAGCGTCTCAAAGACCCCGCGTGCAGAGGCGTCATCACTGTCGTTCAGACCAAACTGCTCGGCCGCGTGTTCGGCTCCAAGAATGCCATGTAAATGCTCGTACAACGAGTTGGGTGGACCACAGTACTGGGAGTAAGCCTCACGGAAGACACTTGAAGCCATAAGGATGGTCAAACGTCGAACGCACTGCAAATTGGCGGCGCCAAAACAAAACCAAAAACACAAATGAGACACACACACAAAAAAAATAGTACCAATGCGACACGCGACATTATTCATGGAACAAGCCAGCCAACTTGAAGATTGAAGACTAGCACTGCTAAACCAGACTGCACTTACTCCCACGAGGTCCCGCAACCGGGTGACAAGAATGGATGGGGCAGCCAAGTCGTCCTGCATCAGCTCGGCAATGAGCTCTTGAATGTCCTGGTTGCAGTCACGAATGATTTGTTCCGTCGATTGAGGGGCGAGAGAACCAAGCTGAAAGAGGTTGGACGGGAAATCGGCACACAGGGGGGGGAGAGGACAGGAAACGAGAGTCAGCAACAAACCCATCACGCAAATCCAAACAATAACTCAAAACCCGAAAGAGAAAATTGTCACCTTGGGCAGAATGCACTGCGCGGCTTCAGAAAAGACGGGATCGATCGCCAAAGCCTGAGAGGGCTGCACCAAGAGCTGTAGAACAAAGGAACGAGTCGAGGGCTGATGCAAAATCTCCGATTGCAGCGCGGCAAGATACGGATCGGTTTTGTCTCGGAAGATTTGAAGGACGAGCTCCGCGGGCGGAGTGAACGCAATATCTGACGTTTCCCAGAGCAAGAGCGAGACTAGAGGGGCGAAACAACCACACACAGAAAAAAAAAACAAGCAACCGAGTCAGAAATGCCGCTGTGGGTAGCTGTGGGTAGCACCAAGCAAACAATCGGCAAAAGCGCGGGCAACTCACCCAAGATCCCGCATTGAGCACTATAGACAGCCGATTTCTGAGAATCGTAGGATGCGCGAGAAGCAATCAACGTCTCGACCGCGGACAGCAGCATCGAGTAGTATGGCACGAAAACGCGGTCGACGGCAGCATCATACACCGAGTTGTGTGCGCGAGGAAGCTCCAGTAGACTGGCGCGTGCGTGCATTTGCATCTGAAGCAACGCCATGCTCGGGATTGGCACAGGCCGAAGGCGAGGGAAGAACGCGCCATCCAGTTGCCCTACAAGCAGAGTATTTCAAGCAAGACAGAGCGCTTCGAGTAAGACAAGGGCGCTGGACACCAGCATTCAATGCTCATGCATCAATGGACGTCTGCAGCTACGAAACATACCGAGCTGATCCACCTTGCGCGTTGCATCCGCCTGCATATAGGTATGGTGAGAAGAAATTGCCAACGGTACCACCAGCTGGGCGGATGCGAGATCTTCTCGCACCACGACAGAAAAGAGCCCTGTAATGACAAGCGAGATGAAAGCGATGGGTGACGGACGATGAACATCGACCAAAAAAGAAAGTCAGTCAAAAAAAGGGGGGATTGCGCAAAAAAACTAGCCCAATAAAAAAAAAAATAATAAAAAAAAAAAAACACTGTCGGCACAATTGGGACTTACGAATGACAGCCTGTCTCGTCGTGTGAGACACGTGCGTATTCAGCAAAAGAGACAAGTTGCGGAGGACTGTGTCGCGAACCGCGCTCCATGATCGAAGAATGACATTGACTGCGGGAAGGATGCGACCAGACTCGTCGTCGACTTCTTGCGCGCCTGCGCCCGACGTCTCACGGGGCGGGCTGGTCTCTTGCGCAGCCATGGCGAGAAAGACGAACGACTCCTTCAGGGCAAAATGAATGATATCGACGAGGGCCGGGCAGAGGCCGTTGATGAAGGGCTCGGCGTGGTAGAGGTCATTTCCACCAGTGCGCTTCAACTCGAATGAGTCTGCGATACGCCGCAAGACACCCCCAAAGACATCGTTGCGTGCGAGGTATGGCAGGTCAGCAGCGCCCTGGAGCAAGTTACCGAGAGACTGTGCATACGTCACGTTCATAAAGCGCGTGTGCTGCGTCTTGAGATCGAGGGGCGCCGTTTGGGCTTGCAGCCGCGCGAGTCGGAAATGGGGACTTGCTCGAATGGCCAAGGCCTGCAACTCCAGGATCGGCTCCGCCAACGACATCAAGTCGTTCGAAGCCATCATGGAAAGAATCCAGGTGAAGTTGCCATGCTCAGTCCAGGCGTTCAAAAAGTCCGCCGAATGCGTGCATAGCATCACAAGAAGGTGGTAGAACGAGTAGACGTGCATCGAGTTCCACGTCGTGAATGCAGGTCCAACGGTGACCAAGTTGTGGAACAGAAGCGTTCGTACGCGTGGCGATGCAGCAAAGCGAGCCATCGCTGGCGGGAAGTGCTGCACCGCGCGCACCCAGAGCGCAAAGAAGGCAGACTTGTTGTCGTCCGTTTCCACACGGCAGGACATGATCGAATCTTGAACCGCCAAGAACTGTTCCAGGTGACCAAGGAACAAGAGCTGATTGAACGATGACAGCATCAAACGAGTCAGGACCCGCGCATAGGGCACAAAGCGAGTCTTGGCAGCAATCGGGCCCTCTTTGGCGAAAAAGGGGGGAATGATTGGAAGCAATTCCAGCAGCTTTTGGAAGACAAAGCGCGCGTTGACCTCGACCTCAAAAGCGACAGCCGGACACTGCTCAACGGCGAATTCTCGAATGATCTGCTCGTACGGACCACTGTGAAGTGAGACTGAGAGTGCAGACAATGCAGCGTCTCCAGCGTCGCGAGTTGCTAATCCGGGCGGGTTGGAAGACGCGTCGTCCACTTGTTGAACTCGTTGAACAAGGTTGGGCACAACATGGAGCGGTGTGACTTGCACGTCGCCGTAAGTTTCAAATGTCGGCAAGGGGCGAGCGTCCCGGGCGCAATACACCTGCCAAATGTCCGGAAGCATTGCGTAGATCAAGGTTTCCGTCGGCTTGCGAATGTGCGGGGAACTATGGACCAACCACAGCTTGATCCAGCCTTGGCAACCGAGGAAGAGCATCTCGCGGAACTCCTTGAACTGAACAGTTGGCGGAAGGAGAAGCTCGAGATAGACGCCAGCTGTGCGAACGCCGTTCGGAGTTTGCATGGTTGTCTGGATGAGCTGCAGGAAATGTGACTGCAGCAAGTCAGCGCGTGTTGCTGTGAACGCGTCGCGAATCGCAAGCAGGGTAGACAGGCACTTGGCAAAGGCCAGCTCCACAACATGATCATCGTCTCCATCCTGCAAAAATGCCATCAGGGCTGGCACGAAAATCTTTGAAACGGCACCATTGTCGAACGCCAAGACCTCAATGATGGACAGGGTCGCTTGGAGATCGATATTCCGGCCAAGAACGTTCAGAATGAAGGCGCAGTGGCCGTGAATGCCGCCGCCCACCAGATGCTTCAAGTCCAGGGGAGACAGCTGTTGTGTCAATGACAAGGAGGGCGCCAGCCCGTCTCTTCTGCTCGAAATGGCCAATCCGGAGCCTCCTGCTACTGCCTCGGCATCCGTCACAATCTTGCGGGTCGGAGACGGCTCGTGCTGCACTTCCATGGCCATGGGCATTGCATCACTGTCGTTGTCTTCGTCCGAGCTCTGGTCGTCGTCGTTGTCGTCGTCGTCGTCGTAATCGCCAATTTCGACAGGCCCGCCTGCAACGACAACGCCGCGCACAACGAGGTCGATGGTTCGCACCAAATTGGCCAAAGCAAGATCGCGCTTGTCGCCCATGTTGGCGTAGGGATTGGGATGAGACTTGGTCCAGTACGACGACTCTTCGCCCATGTAAAACTCGATAAACTGATGGACGACGCCAAGATTGGCCAGCACGAGCTGCTCGGAGCGCCCCAGTCGAGCAAACTCGGCAAAGAAGGCAAAGTACTGCTCAAAGTGGCGCGCGTGGTGGCTTGCCATCGTCAGCATTCCCAGCGCAGCATTCACAATGCTGACGAGAAGCGAGTTTGTCGACAGCTGAGGAAGGGGCGTCACATTCGTCGGGTCGATGGCGTTCAGAGAAATGACGGTGCGGCACCGCGCGGCATGCTCGCGCAAACCCGCAAGGAACTCTGGCGACGAGTAGCTGAGCGATTCCAGAGGGCGGATCAGATGGAAGGCGTGCATGACAAGCGACACAAACTCGGCGCGCTGCGCAGCAACGGTGCACTGAAGGAGCATCTTGCGCAACCAGTGGAACTCGGTCGGGTTGGCAAGCACCTGCAAAAACCAATGAGCAGCATTCGGCTCGGCTGAAAACAACGACTTGATGTACTGAATCCAACTCGGGAAGGTGCTTTTGATCTTGGAGTGCACAAGAGTCTGGAAGCAAAAGATGCACGCGCTTTGCGCGGTCTGCAGCAGAGGCGGAGCGCCGTCAGCATTGGCAACGGACAGCGACGCAGCCAACCACGACCCATCATTCGCGCCATTCAATGGCCCACTCGTCGGCGTCGTCGCCAGATGGGATGGAAGGCCGTTGGTGTCATTGCTGTTGTTGCTGGTGTTGCTGTTGTTGTTGTGCAATACTGACAACGAGACTTGGCAGAGATTCCACACGAAAATAAAGTACTGCTCATCAAACAGGTACGTGTCGCGCCAGAAGTGAGTATTATCCTTCCAGATGCTCTCATAAATGTCCACGGGCACGGGAACAATGCTGCTGGCGGGTGCTCCAGAGGATCCAGCCGCGCGAGACGGGAAGGCACGGGCAGTCTCGGACGGCTGCACCTCGCCTGTTGCTGCGGCCCTGGCGTCGGCTGTCGCAGAGGCAGTCTCTGTTTGTGACGCAGCAGAAGCGGGTGTGACAGAAGCAGCCGCAGCGGCAGGCAGAGTGGAGGTGCGCTCGTAGAACAGCATGTATGCGCTGTAGGGTTTGGCCTGGGGCTTCTTGCTGTCCTTGTAGATCGAATCGGTAGTCGTGGTTGAGGCAGTCTCCATGCCACCAAAGGTTTGGCTCGGGATGAGCGCAGGGTCAAAGGTCTCGACCGTCGAATCGTTAAACCAAATCCATCGGGGTTGCGTCGAGTCAGACGGTGTGGCGCGCTCCTTAATGTAAGAGTAGTAATGGCCGCTGTCCGCTGTGCCAGTGTGAACGAGAATGCCCGATAGGCGGTAGTGGCAATCGCCAGGGTTGGACTGCTGCTGTGCCTGCTGGGGGTCGGCGGCGGCGGCGCTGGTGGGCAGACTCGGGTCTGGCGCCGTTCCAGTCGTTCCCTCCTCCATCGTCGTCGAGGACTCGCGCTCCAAACGAGTCAGTCCAGCCAGCGTGTACGGCTCCATGTCCAACTCGTGCGGAAACTCACAGTAATCGTTGATCTTGTAGCGACGCAAGGTTTCCATGTCAAACTCAAAGCGCTTCAGATGGACGATGAGCGTCTGGGGCAAGGAGAAGACGCAGGCACGCTTTTTGGCAGTGACGTGACGCGAGCAGGTGGCGCAAAAGTACTTGTTGTCGCCGTCGAGCATCTCGCCTTCGACGTACAACGCCAGCGACTCGAGAATGCTCTTCTTGTTCTTGACCTCGCATTGCAGTGCGAAACAGTCTTCAACACGGCTCGAGACATGCTCGCAGTCCTGCGAAATGATTTGCTGAATGAGCTGTCCGCCAAAGGTCTGCTTGAAGATGGTCTCGTGCGGGGAGCCCTTGAGGCGCGTTTCCAGGCGATCAAACAAGGTGGTAAAGAACTCATCAACGTCCATCTGCATGGCAACGTTCATTGGCTGCCCGTCGTAATCCTTGAAGGTCAGCGTGAATGGTCGGGTGTCGAAGGTGCGCTTTTCGCTTTCTTGCAAGTTTGAAAAGATGCACTGGAGTTGATACAGCATGCTGTCGGCGGGATCCGTTTCGGCAGACGCGTCGATGGCCAGAACATTGCGACGGAAGGACGGAATCATGAAAAACTGCTGCATGATCGAGTTCATGTAGCAGGTGGCTCCCAGATTGCGCAGGCCAACGTAGCCACAAGGTGCCTTGTGAGAAGCAGTTGGTGCGTAGTTCCAGCTGCTGGCCGGACGCTTGCCAGATTGGTTTTGCTCGCGAACCAACGTCAGCACCGAGAAGAAGTGGCTTGGTACGCCGCGACACAGCTCCACAATCAAATCAAAAGCAGCGCTTCGACTGATGCTGGTTTTGCACACGGGCGGCCGCATGCCGAGATGGGCAGTCTCCTTGGTTGGAATGTCAAACAAGCACTGATGGAAGAGATAGTCCAACAGCCTGCCGAGCGTTGGCTTGACGGCAGAATGCACGCGCAACAGCGTCGTGGTAATTCGCAATAAACCAATCAAGACATTGTCTTCGGCGGCCTCCGCACCAGTTTCGAGAGTGGGGTGGACCAGAATCTTCTCAACAAGCAGTCCAATGACCTCGGGGACATTGATGGCACTGTCCAGCGACGAGATGCTCGGGGCAGGTGCAGCCAGTGCATTTGCCTCTCGTGCGACCACGGCAAACTGTGCAACCAGTCCGTCGAGCAAAACAAAGTAGTCTTGACAAGTGGGCAAATCGGAACGAATCTCGGGGAGAAACCCAAACAAGACTCGCAAAAAGCCCGCCGACGCCTGCTTGTGAGCAGCGCTTGATGCGGCGACGCGGCCGCCGTCCGTCGCTGCAGTCGTGTCGGGAGACCCGACGTTGACGTTGCAGTTGGCAGTGGTGGGAGACACAAACGAGCATGCCGTAAGGATGAGCTGTGCGCACTCTTGGCGGGCAACCCGATGAGGGGAGCAGAGCAAAATGGCGTCGAGCCACGACCGCAGCAACGGCGAGTTGCTGAGATGCAAGAGCACCTGAACATCGCTCACCACGTACGCCAACAGCAGCGAGAAGGCATGACGAAGAACATCAGTTTCAGCATTGCTCGATGGCTGCTCGCTTGCTGACGCCAATGCTACGGAAGGCGGCAGCGGTGGCAAAGGAGGAGCTGTAGTCGCTGCTCCAACACCCGCATGGGCAGGGTCGGGCGACGAAGTGCGCGCAATCATACCGGTGGGAGGGAGCTGCGGGCCGTAAACAAGTCCTGACATTGGCTGTACGTCATCCACCACCGCGAGAATGGCATCTGCTGACATGCCGCCAGCAGAGCCGCCTGCCATTGTTGCTGCAGGGCTGGACGTGCCTGCAGCACTGCGAGTTGCAGCCCAATCAAGCACGCGAAGCAGGCGGTCAACCACCATGGTGGGATCGAACGACTGGAGTGCGACCGGACGGAGCGGCAGCGCGGTTGGCGCCTTGGCCGACGACGCCGCAACGGGCGAGACTCGCGGCGGGGCGACAGAGGACGAAGGCTGTGTCGGGACCGTGGGCAACGTCGGGTCATCGTACAGGCTGCCAATGCCCAAGCCGTCTTCGACAGAGGGTGACTCGGCCGAGGCAAGGGCCGGCGAACCGTCGGTGCCGTGCAAGCCAGACTGTTGCTGGAGAGCATGCTGTTGAAGCGCCGCAAGAGCCGCAGAGTCCAAGGTAAACGCATTGATAATCTTGAGCAGCAGTGCGAGGCAAGCGGCTCGAGGAGTCTGGTCGGCGCTTGCACAAGCAATCGGGTGGTCGGGCAACAAGACGCTCGACAGGAGCACCCGGAACAAGTGACGCAGGCCGCTGCTCGCAATGAACGTTTGCGTCCATGCATCGCAAGCAGCAACGGCAGCAGCCGACGTATCCGCCGGCGCCAGCAACGAGTCGATAATTTGCAGCGTGTACATGAGTTTGTAGGGCGAGCGATCGTCAAGGAGAGCAGTCCAATCAACCTCGGCCGACGCAGAAGTGAGTTGGGCAGCAGGCGACACCACGGCGGAGGGCGTTTGAGTGTTTGTCATGTCCTGAGGAGGCGTACGAGTAGCCACACCCTCATCCTTGATCGAGCTGGAGCCTTGGGCGGACGCGTGTTCAACAATCACCATGTCCTCCACTTCACGCTGGCTCACCTCAGAGCCTCGGCTGCCAGCTTGGGGTGACAGAGGCGCGGCGGCGAGCGCTGGGCTGGAGCTTGGCGAAACAACGCGCAGATGCTGGACAGTGTCGAGCAGGTAGGGATTGGTCGGGAGCAAAAGAATGAGCTTCCAAACAGCGGGCGCGAACGCCGGCAGTCGCAAAAGGTCGAACAGTCGCTCAAAGTGACGCTTGCGGGACAGGATGTGCATGGGATACGACGAGGCAATCAGGGGCTCGGCGAGCGGAGCAGGTGCGATAGCAGCGGTGCCAATGGGACCGGCAAAGCTAGGGGCTGGGGGTGGCACAAAGCGGCGCGTCACTTGCACCCGAACGCCGTCGACAAGGCGCAGTTCCTCCAAGCTTTGACGATCACAATTCGCGGTGAGCTCGCGTCCATTGGCCACTAGCCTGAACGGACGCTCGCCGCTCGGAAGAAACAGTCCTGGCACGGAGGTGGCAGTGTGATAGACCGACGTGGTCGCCTTGGCCGCCAAAGCCTCGCAGTGCTGCACGAAAAGTGGCGCTATCTGGGCTTTGAGATCGTCAAGTGTTTGGTTGGAGTGCGTCGAAATCTCCACCACCGGTGCGACATCGATGGCCAGCCGAAGAGTGATGGGCTTGCCTCGCTGGCGTGATCCGTGGGTGACCAGACCCGACAACCTGACTCGGCCGAGATTTTTCGTGTAAAAGGCATCCAAAAAGCCGGCCAGAAGAGTCAGGAGTCGCTCAACACTCAAAGTGGCCTCGCTCGAGATTTGGGCGGGAGCAACAATGCCCCGGTGTGACTGCGACTGCGACTGCTTGCTGCTGGTATCGTCGTCGAGCAGCACAGTGGCGGCATCCACCAGCCGAGTCATGGCGGTTTCGATCAACGTCTCAAACTGCTGGGCTACATCGGCTGGAGAAATGGTGGATGCAAAGCTGAGGGTCAGCTCAATCAAGAAGGCAATGCTGTCCTTGCCAACCTGCGGGTCGCGCGCAGTGAGCACCATTCGCCAGATCAGATCGAGGTGTTGCAGATTAAAGTTCAGGACGACCAAGGTGCGATCGACGGGGCGCAAGCTGAGCTTGCCAGCCTGCACATTGAGCAACTGGAAGACGGCACGGATGAAGGCAAAGCCTGGGGGCGAGAGGTTGGCAAAATCGAGGGTGGCGACCAGTTTCTCAAAGCAAAACGGCAGGTCGGTCGACGCCACGGCGCGCGATGTGGACGACGAGCATTGCTGCTGCATCCACTCAAACATCTGATCCTGTTCGGAGGAGCAGATGGCACGACGAACAAACGCGTCCCAGAGGACGGAGAGCTGCGCTTGAGTGAGATGCTGAGACGGAGTGGACCGAACGATGGCAAACACAAAGGCGAGAAACTCGAGGCGAGCGGCCACGTGCTCGTTGTGAGGGAGGCCGTCGTCCAGGAAACGAGAGTCGCCAGTGGACGGGGCAGCAAAGGGAACGGGCCCAATCAGGCCGAGCCTGAGCGCAGACTGCTCGGCCAGCAGCTTGTAGCGCTCGCACTCTTCGACTACGAGATTGACGATATCCACGTGCCGTTCGGCACACCACGCAAGCGCTTCGTGACAAGACGCGGGAGGATTGTGATCAGAAACCGCCAACGGCGACGACTCTGCGAGCGCAACCGTGGCAACTGGCGGGTAAGCAACCGCTGCAGAACCGAGCTTTTTGGCGGCATCGAGAGGGTTGGTCAACGCGACCCCAGTAGGTTGAAACGACGCCAAAACTTTCTGAAGGACACGCAGCGTGGTCGGAATGTTTCGGCCAGATTGAAGGTTGGCGACACATCGCCGAAGGAAGGGCAGGCGCAATACCTTGCATGACGGCAGAGCAAAAAGGGTGCCAAGCTGCTCAATGCAGCGTTGGAGCACTGCCCGTTCGACAAGGTTGTTGCGGCCAGTGACCATCGGCATGGACGACGACGAAAGGTTGGTCCCGTTGGCCGGAACCTGTCCCGCGACTTGTCCCGCGACCTGTCCCGCGACACTAAGCGTGGAGGTGCTGCTGGCCGGGTCCGAGGACAGGGTTGTGAGAGACGGGCCACTCAAAGGCGACGGAATCTTGGCCGAAGGCGGCGCCGAGCTCGAGTCGACGAGCTGGAAGAGCAAATCAATGCCAAACGAAGAAGTTGGGCTCGTCGAATCGCGGCGCCGACTCTGCGCATCCAGAGCCGCAATGGAAATCTTGGCGACCAGGTCAACCGTTTGAAGGTCAAAGTCGGCCAAGGGGAGCAAGTTGATGACCTCAAAAAGACGGCTAATCACGTCGTGTGGAAGGGTGCCAGCGATTTCCATGAGAATCTGGTAGACGGCGTGGACAATGGTCTCGTGCTTGCCCTTGGACGCATTCCAGATGAGATCAATGTGCTCGGAAGTGACAGTGTTTCGAGCGGCCATGAAACGGATGAGCTCGGCAGAGCGTCGCACAAGCTCGACATGCATGTTTTGTCCAAACAGTGTTTCAATGACCTGGTGCTCGGCCAGCCACGCAGCAACCTCGGCGACGGTCATGGCAGGCGAGTCGACTCCTTGCATGCCCGTCACGGCTGCAGCACGGGCTTGAGCCTCCAGCTGTCGCGACGCAAACTCCTTGAGACTCGTGAGCCCGAGAACACGCTTTTCCAGGTAAGGCGATCGGAAGTACTTGAAGGCAATGGACAGAGTCAGCATGTCGGCCTCCATGGCATCGCTGGGTGTGGGTGACAGTTTGGCTTTCGTCACCGTTAAGCTTGCGAGACACTGGTCGACTGTGTCCTTGCTTTCGTTGCGGATGTCGTCGTCGGAAAGATTCGAAATCCGGAGGAAGACAGCGTTGTAGATGGTCTGGCCATACTCGTGGATGAAGCGCGTCGTTAACGCTGCAACATTCTGTGATGGTGACACACAGCACCGAAAAAAAACAAGCGATGAGCACAACAAATACGAACGACAGGCGCGTCAAAAAAAAAAAAAAAGAACTTTGTCAGAAAAAGAAAAATTCACACAATACTCTCGGGCTGTTTCGTGATGCGCAAAGAAACATACCCGTGACAACATCCGAATCGCGACTTTGTGAATCGCAAGTGGAACACGTTGAGGAGAGTTCAGACGCCGAACAAGCGCGTCAAACCCATTGAGCGCCTGGAAGTGTTCCAGATTGGCAACCAGCCACTTGGAACGCAAGCGCGAGCGCACAATCAAAACATGCTGCATCTCGGCTTCCTCATCGGCCCGCTCGAGGAGGGATGGCCGGGGCTGCGCTCCAAGATTGTAGAACAAGACATTCTTGTTCACGTTATGCAACAAGCGTGTTCCAGCATCCAGCAAGTCAAAGTAGTCGTCCTCCATGTGTCGCACAGTCAGCGTAATGGCATGCTGGAAAATGTCGTTGATACGCCGCTGGTAGGGCTCGTGAAAATTGTCGCTGCAAAAGAACGATGCAACAGACAAGACAAGAGACGTAAAAGAAAACAAAAGTTAGAATCCACATCCGCTCCAACGGCTGGTTGGTGCTTTTTTTTTCTGTATCTCCTTTCCAAGCGACATGAGGTGATGTGCGTTTCGTTACATTCGTTTGGCCAGGTGGATGATAATTGGAGGCAGCGAGTCTCGCAAATAAAAGTCCCATTGCTCTGCTGTCGCCTTGCCGCTTTGAAAGAATCGGATCATGTCTTCGATTTGCTTGACTGCGGGCGCAAGGTCTTCCGAGGCTGCAGACGGGAACGAGAGTTCAGAGGAGAGTGAATCGATCGCAGGTCAACCATCCAAAGAAGTACAGGAGAGCAGAGCACGATTGAACGTACGGTTCCGAAGACTCTCATCAATGAGAAAATGGTCCCGCTGGAGGTCCGACAGAGTGACCTCCGGCACAAGCTCGTTGGGGTGGTCCATGGTTGCAGAGCTCGTCGTCCAGGGCAACAAAGTGCTCGATCTGTGTTTTGTTTCGACAATCCAAGCAAACAAAAAGTCAGCCACGGCAAAAAAAAAAAAAAAAAAAAAAAAAAAAAATCAACAAAGTGGAACAGATTGAAACTTGTTGAATCATAGCGGGAAGGGCAGGGTGGAGCGATGGTTTTTTTTTTTTTTTTTTTTTTTTTTTTGCGCGGGAAAAACGTCAACCAACAGCCAGCACGGCGTTGTGAACGAGACGAGACGTTCTCAGATGAGTGGACGGACCCGCCAGCCAGGCGACCAGTGCTCAGACCCCAGCACGACACCAAGCGCAAACAGGGAGTGCGGAATGTGGGGGCTGCAATGCGCTCACAGTCAAAAGGTGGTCGAGTTTTTTTGTCGAAGAATTATTTCGATTTTTTTTTTTTTTTGTGCAAGCTTGCTCGCATTGGCTGCTCGTGCAGTGCATAGGAAGATTGCGGCTTTGCTCAAATAAAAGAAATTGGAGTCAAAGCGATACAAAACTCGTCTGGTCTTGCAATCCATCGGGTGGATGACGTGACGCGCTGGTTTTTGGTTGAAGCTTGCATCAGCACCCAAAAGCAAGGGAAAAAAAAAAAAAAAAAAACACTCGCTCTCAGACAAGACAGAAAGGGGAACGATTGGAACAAGGAAGGAGACCCCGAGAAAGAACGAAAACACGTTGCATGCGAAAGTCTCACTTGCCCGCCCACAGACCGAGAGACTGGAGCGAAGCGAGGGCGAAAATGCTTTGGTCATCATCAAGCGTTCCAGCACTGCCAAGCGAGAACGACGCCCGCCTGGGCTTTGAGCAGCAGCCCGGCATACAACACTACAGACACGGCATCAGCATCACCCATCATCTACCCCTCCAGCTCGCTCGAACGACGAGAATCCGGGGTGGGGGGGGGGAAAGCTGGATAAACAGCAAGAATAAAAAAAAAAATAGTACGTAGTTGAAACTCATGCAACACTCCCACAGCGCAGTGCGCAGCAGACAGGCGCTCAGGAGGGCCACCGGCACAAGGATCAAGAGTCGTTTGAGGGATGGGGGCGGGGCGGGCCGCGGTGGGAGGCCGAGGGGCGTTGGTGGGGGATCGGAAGCAGTGCAATCGAGAAACACTTACACAGCAAAACAAGCAAAAAAAAAAAAAAAAAAAAAAAAAAAAAAAAGAGCTGAGAAACAAAAAGCTGTCTTCAGGACAGAGAAAGAAGAAGGAAGAATGGGGAGAACGGGTCGGAACTGATCCTGTATGATAAAAAGTTCTAGAAAAAGGAAGTGTCGCTGGAACCAACAAGTCACTGGAGATTGTTCGCGTTGTGATTTGGTAAAGTCTCGGCAGCAACCGCGCTTTTCACTGCCTCCATCCCACCTCACCTCACCTCATCTGCTCAAAACAAAGGGTTCAAACGCTCTCTACTTAATAATGCTGCGGCTATGGAATGCTAACATTGTCAGCCCCTCTGAGGTCAAATCAGTCTTCTTGCACAAATCTTGACAGCTATTCCAACAAACATGTCCTCGGCACTTGAATCGCTCATCGACATGGGCTTTCCTCGCAACAGAGCGTGAGTCTGAGTCTGATCGTTGTTCAGTCCGGTGGGCTCCGTCTCTATGAGTGATGCGTTGCGTTCCCAACGTTTCGTTTTGCTGACACGCGCAACCCCGACTGACCCTCTGTGTGTGTGTGTGACTTTGATGATGTGCGCCGGTCGGCGTCGGGCTTTGCGTCTTGGCTCTTGTTCCCTACACAACCCGTATCTCAGGGAGAAGGCTCTGGCAGTGACTGGAAACCAAGGCGCACAGGCTGCAATGGATTGGTAAAAGGCCGAGATCTCGATTTTGTCATCATCATTTGGTCTCCCGTTCAAGTCAGTTCACTTTGAAACCCGGTTTGCGTTCTTGTGTGATATTGAATGCTCAGGATCTTTGCGCATATGGACGATCCGGACATTGACGAGCCGCACTCGTCATCATCGTTGTCGTCGGGATCTGCGCTGGGCTCTGCAACCAGTCCCTCGTCATCATCGTCGGACGCCGCTGCTGCTGCAAGCGGTGAGCAGGCAGCCGCGGTTCCGCCGGAGCAGGCTCGCTCTCTTGTCTGCTTGGACTGCAACAAGAAGCTGCGATCAGAGCTGGACGCGCAGGCGCACGCCGCGCGAACGCAGCACCAGAACTTTGCCGAGTCGTCGGACGAGATTAAGCCGCTGACAGAGGCTGAAAAGCAGGAGCAGCTGGCACGCGTCGAGCAACGCCTCAAAGAGGCGCGCGCGGCTCGAGAGGCTGCTGCTGTGGATGAAGAGCGCGCCAAAGAGAAGGCTCGGCGAATGCAAGGCAAGGACATGGGCATTGCTCGCAAGCAGTTTGAAGAGCAAGAAATGCAAAAGGCACTTGAAGCTCGCAAACGCGAAAAGGAAGAAGAGATCAAGGCCAAGCAGCGTGTCCGCGAAATGATTGAGCAGGACAAGCGCGCCAGGCTGGGCCAATCCGCAACACCCGCTGCTGCTGCTGCCCCCACCCCTGCTGCTGCCGCCCCGGCAGCTGTGTCTGCCGCCCCGAAAGAGTACACAACTGCTTCGTTGCAAATCCGACTCACCAACGGACAGGCAATCAAAAACACCTTTGACGCTGGAACGACGCTTTCAGAGGTTGCTGGCTGGGTGCAACTCAACCGCACTGACGGCCAGCAACCGTTCGCTTTCATGACCAACTTCCCAAAACGTGTATTTGCGGATGCCGAGTATATGCAGACTCTGAAAGAACTCGGCCTGGTGCCGTCGTCCGTCTTGATTCTGACGCAACCTCGCTGAGCGGGCTGAAAGGTGGCTTCTGGCTTGCCTCTTGTGATTGTTTGCGGGGGAGCATGGCTTTCTCGCTGCGTCAAACATTGAGATTACAACGCCAGAGCTACTGCTGCAATGCAAATAATCGTCGAATACCAAAACAATTCATCAATTCAAAAACAAATACCACAACACTTTATTTCTTAACCTATACAGACAGAATCAACTATCACCATAACAACCAAACAAACAAACAAACAAACAAACAAACAAAAAAGCTAAGATGGGGTGGGCGTTGGCTCGTCGATGCGAAGCATGCCATAATAGCTGCCAACGTAGCTGGATCCGTCTGCCGGCACGACGACTTGCAGCAGGATGAGCAGCACGTCGACCAGGTAGCCAACAAGGAAAAAGCCAAACGTGCACAGCTTGATGACCCCGATGGCGGGGTAGCCAAGGTAGAAGCGATCGACGCCGAGCACGCCCAGGAAGACGGACAGCAGCAGGGCAGTGTCGTACCGCGTCCCGGCAGTGTATCGGCAAGACACGTTTCTGCTAAAGCCCGTCGTGTTGCCGTCGAAGGTGACGCCGTCGCACACCACACCAGCGACGGGGCGACACGGTACGGCAACCACGAACGGTGCGCTCGCAGGGCAGCCGACCTCGGCCTGGGTGTCCGGGTCAATCGCAGGTTGGTCGCACATGTACTGGCCAATGTTCAACGAGCTGCACGGCCGCGTCTCGAGGGTGGCGGTCGACAAAGTTGAAGCAGCAGCAGCAGCAGCAGCAGCGTCGCGCCGCCGAACACCGCTCGCATCGCTGTGGCCCTGGTGGTTGTGTGGCTTGGATGCGTACTGGAGGTAGTGATGCGGTTCATTGGCGAGGTGGTGGTGGTCGTTGCTCCGCTTGAGAGTGGTCGCGGAGCAAGTCGCGACCAGCAGCGCGCCAAGAACAGCGAGCAATTGGAGCAACAGCCGCGATAGTGTCATCACCAAGAAGCAGGCAACAGAGTAAATCTAGTTGTGACAAATCAGGACTGATGGGCTTGTGACATTTTGCATCGTCGACGGGGAAATACATGGTTTATGATAATGGCAGCGTCAAAATACAAATTCAAACGCAACCAACACAGGCGGGTGACAAAGAGATGCTTGTCCAAGAAATACATTGTGCAGCGCATGCTCAAATCCAACAATCCACACTCCAGCTTTGGGATGCAACACTACCACTGCTACTGCGCTGCTCTCGACTTCTCTCCCGGCCACGTTGTTAAAAGAACGCCGCGCCATAGCCAAAAACACCCATAATCTTCTGCCAGAAATGAGTGTTCCAGCCTGCGTCCGTTTGGGCTTGCTCCTCCTTCGGCACGCCGGTCTGAGTCAGTTTGAGTTCAGTGAAATCCGAGTCCTCGCGGAGCTCGATTGTGACGCGTGAAAAGTGGCCTTGCGGCCAGTGGCTAAAGCGCCAGTCTTGCTCAATCTTGACGCCTGGCACCAGCGAAATGAACGAGCCGAGGACATTCCCGTTATAGATGGAGAAGATGCCGTTGGGCCGCGCGTCGACCTGGCATGGGCTCTGGGTGAAGGCCTGGATGCGTGCCACATTGACGAGGCAGTCGTACAGCTCGTGCGCGCTCGTCTTGAACTCGTGCCGCTGCGTGATGGTCACGGTCGGAATGTTTGTGCTGGCAACACCCGCAGCCCCAGCACGCGAGGTGGAGGCGGCAGCAGCGGCAGCGGCGCTCTCACCCTCCGCGGCAGTCGACGACTTGGCGATTGGCTTGGAAGCGGACGACGCTGCTGCTGCTGCTGTTGCTGCTGCCGCTGCAGGCTTGAGAGTCGGGAGAATGAGACCCTTGGCATACTCTTCCCGGAGGTCCTTGACGTAGCGCGCGACAATGCCGCCAATGAACGCAACGCCCTTTTTCCGAAGCGTCTGCCGCAAGCCGGACGCCAGAGGGTTGGCCTCGCTGCCCGCCTTGAGCGAGACGTTAATGTCAATGTCGTCGGGATCGTTCTCCTCGCTAAAGTTGAGCACCTCAATCTCGCCCTCGATGAGCGGGGCGCCGGCAGGCTGCTTGGCAAGCATGGCCTCGCCAAGCTCAGTCACAAACTTGATTCGCAGCTCCCACTCGTAGAAGAAGATGAGCTTGGCCTTGCGGTTGTTTGCAGAGGCCTCGCCCTCGAGCTTGGCCGTCTCCGTCAGGCGGAAGGTCGTGCCGTCCACCTGCAGGCTCGCGTCCTTGATCAGCGCCTGCAGCTTGTCCTTCGACCACCCGGTTGCATCTCGCTCCGACCTGTGTGGTTTTTTTTGGGTAGTGGAATTGTTGTTATTGTTGTTGTGAGTGTTTTTTTCCAGCAAAGTGTGAGTGGAGGATGTGAGCAAGAGGAAGAGGTTTGCAATGCGGTTTGGCTGCATCACCCACTGAACGAAACTCCAACAGCCCAAGCGAGCGAGCGAGTGTGCTGTCTGTCAAAACGGGATGAAAGAGGGATCAGAGAGAGAAGGATGAGAGAGAGGGATGAGAGCAATGGAGGCGCAATGGAGGCGCAATGGAGGCGCAAACGAAAGAGAGCTTCGATGAGCTTCGATTTCCATGCGGCTCGAAGACGACGTTCTGCAAAAGGGTTTGACTCCCGTCATCGCGAGCAAAAGAGATCAAGACAACGAGAGAGAGAGAGAGAGAGAGAAAGACGATCTATGTCGACTTCAAGCCACTTGATGGCGCGTGTTGGGTCCAGCGGGAAACACAGAGCCGAGAGAAGCAAGTCGAAATGAGAGCAGTGCTTCGCCTCTGCTTCGCCCCGTCTGTCTCGGCCGCCACTTGCCACCATTGGACTTGTTTTGCATCGGACCGACCTTCCTTCTTTCCTTCCTCCCCGTTCTCAGGTCGTTGGACGCGGGGAAGACCGCTGGTTTTATCGCCTTGTCCTTTGGTTGGCAAAGAACGCCCTCAACACAACACAGTCACAGACAGGTGCTTCGCTGCTTTACCAGTGCCAGTTGTTGACGTTGGTCGCATCAGGTCGGTCCTCAACAATCCAGCGCGGATCTCCTTCGCCAGCCTTCGCCATGAATGTGGAACTGCAAACTCGCAAGAAGGGAAAAGAAGACGAAAAAAAAAAAAAACTTGGAGTGAATCGGTTGAATTTCCGATGCTTCAGGACCAACGGCGGCCAATGGCGGGTCAACGATTGACTGTATCAGATGCAGATCCAGCGTTCCGATTCAGCTCGAGCGCGCGAGAGGACTGGCTGCTTGGGGTTGGCATTTGGGGTTGTGGGTTGCAGTTCCGTGTCAAGCATGAAACGAAAAATTTGTATGAGATTCACAACCACACCGTCGCTCGTCGTCGGCGCCGTCGCCAACGTCAAACTCTATTGCAAAAGCCTGGCTTGGCTCGGTCGAGATGGCTGAACTTGCGCAAAACGGAGCAACAGCAACGCTCATCGGTGAAAATGGCGCGAAAACTCGACACAGAAATCGGTCTCAGCGACGAGGAATCCTGCAGGCAGACGGATGTGCAAGGAATTCAATTTCTTTGAAAGTTCTCCTGTTTTTGTTTGTTTTTTTCTGAAGAGAAAAACTGGCGGCAAACGAATCCAGGGGCTTTGTTCGTGGAAAGGGAGGGAAATTTGCCAACAAGGGCGATGATGGCCAAATCCAAATGAATCTTTGCCAGTTTGCTCGCTCTCTTTTTTTTCTGTGCGTTCACCACCATCATCGCGTTGACTCTGCAGCCCCGACAGCCTTGAATCCGATGTGTTGAGATGTGACGATCACGATAGGGTGCACCACGGGGGAGGGTGCAATGCAACTAGTGGGCGAAAGAGCGGCGCAAAGGTCGGGGGGTTGTGAGATTGAAGGCTTTTGAACCCGAACGTCCGTCCTGTTGGGTTGGCTTCCAGCGCCATTTCCGCCCCCAGCAAACTGGTCGGTCTCCCACGACTTCTTGGATGTGTCGTAATTAGCTGCTGTTGAAGCGGCACATCAGGCAGGAAGCTGGCGCACAGAAGAGCGGGCGACTTTGACAGTTTGGCTTGCTCGTTCGGTTTTTTTTTTCTTATGTTGTTGTTGTTGCTCGGAACGCGACAGCACCCGTCGTCCGCTGGTCCTGCGCTTGCATCTCTCTTTTGCTGCCATACCCAGAGATTGTTTTCAGGGACGCCAGGCGGTCGTGCAATGACAGGCCAACGAAGCTGGGGTTTTGGGGAGCGTGTGCTTTGCTTTGCTTTTTTTTTTTTTTTTTCCTCCCTCTCCCTCTTCTTCTCCTCATCACTAACCTCTGCTTCTCGCTCCGTTTGCAACACCATGTGCGCCTTCGCTTGACCTACCGCAGACCATCTTCATCGACCAGAATGGCCACCAAGAAGATTGTCAAGCCCGTCGGTCAGGAGCCCAGCGAGCTCGAGCTTGCTGTTGCTCAGGCCATCGCCGATCTCGAGCACAACTCTGCCGAGAAGGACCTCAAGGCTGAGCTCCACGAGCTCCACATCAGCGCCGTCAAGGAGGTTGATGTCGGCAGCGGCAAGAAGGCCATCATTGTCTTCGTCCCCGTCGCTCTGATCAAGGGCTTCCGTCGCATCCAGCCCCGCCTTGTTCGCGAGCTTGAGAAGAAGTTCAGCGGATCACACATCGTCTTTGTTGCCCAACGCCGCATCCTCCGCAAGCCCACCCGCAACAACAAGTTTGGCCAGACCCAGCCCCGCCCGCGCAACCGCACTCTGACTGCCGTCCACGAGGCCATCCTCGACGACCTCGTCTTCCCCACCGAGATCACCGGCAAGCGAACCCGCGTCAAGCTTGACGGCTCGCGACTGATCAAGGTCCACCTTGAGAAGAAGGAGCAGTCCAACCTCGAGCACAAGATTGACACCTTCTCGGCTGTCTACAAGAAGCTCACTGGCAAGGATGTTGTCTTCGAGTTCCCCGCCCAGGCTGAATAAGCACTTTCTCTGTCCCTCACGAAAATGTCGACTGCGTCGCTTTGCCGCGTTTTCGTCGTCCCCCCTCTCCATCGTCATTGTTGTAGTGTGATTGTGTTTCATTCATCCCGCAATGAAGATTTGGCAAATTGTTTCGTTTGTTTCGTTTAGTTGGGTTTTTTTTTTTCCTGTTCCTTCCAGTTTGCGGATTGTGTTGTGTGGTGCTCCAGTCTTGGTGACGCCAAGCTGCAAAAGTTCGAACGACACAATGAAAACGGAATTGGATGCAAGAAAAGGCGAACGCACACAAAGGCATTTATTCACTTGTGTTAATCTATTGCCGAATGTGAGGGATGCTGGTTGATAAACACTTTGATTTTTCCGGTGAAATCCGCAGTGACAATGACATCCGCAGTGACAATGACCTCGCCTTCGGCAGTGTCTTCGATGCCTTTGAGCCCAGCAGTCGCATACGGCGCGAAAATTGAAGCTATCGCGAAGAGGCAAAAGTGCAGACCAATGCGTGACAAGCGCAAGACCAAAGTGAGGCGCGGCTCGCAGGCAACGATCAGGCCTCTCTGTCTCTCTACACACACATTCGCATCAATACAATCACTGCATCAACAATAGGACTCACCTGCGAAAAATTCAAAAGACTCGTTACGGTCGCGTCGAAACCCGGTGAACTTTTCGGAAAGCTTGCCCTTGCGCACCAACGCATCGTCCAAGAAGGTGTTCCAGACATAGACATTCTGGTATTCCGATCCGCATATAATATACTTGCCATCATTGCTAAAGATGATTAATACAACAATACAACGACCAGGATGAGTGATGATTCAGTCGAAAGCTGCTCAACTCATTCCAACGAAATACCACACCTGAAGCTGGCTTTGATTTGGCTGCTAGAATTGGTGCTTCCCTTGTACTTGCACGTTAGAGTGAGATCTTTGAGATCGTACAGTCGAATCCTCGAGTCATTCGATGTAATGAGAATTTTGTCCTAACGTCAAGCGACGGACAGGCGGAAAGAAATCCAAGCTCGTAAGTACCAAAGAAGGCAACAAGGCTCGACCAAGGACAATCAAACAAGTAAACAAACAAACAACAAAAACAAGCAAACAACCAAAACAAAAACGCACCTCGCCTGGCATCGGCTCGATGGCAGTAATTTTTCGACCCTTGCTGTTTTTGCCGCGCGAGGAGCGAACTAAAATTTGCGTGTGATACTTGAGTCGCTCGCTGTCGTAAAAGAGACATCGGCCATCGTACGTTCCAACCACCGCCATTTTGCCGTTTTGGCAAAAGTTTGCGGCCGTGATGAAACTACTGCTCGGACCGACAATCTCGTTCCAGAGAGCAACTTTCTTCTCTGGAATGTTCCATAATCGCAGGGTAGAGTCCATCGAGCCACTGAGAAAGTAGCGATCGTCGCGAGGGTGGAAGGCGATAGCGGTCACAAAATCGGCGTGTTGGAACACGCACAGACACTCTTGCCTCACAATATGCCAAAGACGCACCGTCTTGTCCATCGAAGACGAAAGCAAAAAGTAGTTTTTCGACCAAGAAACGTCCAGCACGTCTGCAGAATGGCCCTTGTACTGACACACGGGCTGCGGCTCAAACAGCTGCCAGTCCTCAGGGCTCATTCCAGTTGGTGCCGTGCCAAACGAGCCGTCCCGAGAGTGGCCGGGCCCCTCAGTTCGCGCGTGAGAGTGGAAGCCCCCAGCCGAAACATCGGAAGCATGAGAAGTCGTCGAGGCCACAGAGGTGGGTCGTGAGTGTACAGGGCTGGGCCCGGCAGTCGTAGCCCGGGCTGTCGCGCCACTGCCATCCGGAAAGGTGGCGTGCAACATTGTCGATGTTGAACCATGGGTTGAAGCGGGGCGGGAAGCGGAAGAAGAGGAAGAAGAGGAAGCAGTCTCGGGAGCGTCCGTGCGGCCGAATTTCCGCTTCATTTCTTCCAGAAAGGGACCTGTGTCCTTGACGCTCCAGACTCGTACGACCGTGTCTTGACCAGCTGTAGCCATGAGACGGCCGCAGAAAGAAAACTTGACCGTCCAAATCGCGCCGACATGCAGCCCGCTCAAGTCCTGCGTTTGCCGCAAGTGATTGAACGCCGGCGCCGGCTTCTTGGACGTGAAGACTTTGACAAAGTCTTCTCCGGGCTCCTCGTCGAGCTGAGAGGGTGTTCGGGAATGGGATTGCGACGGCTTCGGTCGATCCGGTGGTCGCGACGGCACATCCGCCTTTGCGGGCGAGGCGTGCGTGTGGCCAAAGTCGTCATCCTCCAGACCATGTGGTTCAGTGGAGGACTTTCCTTTCCATTTGAAAAAGCCTTTTGGTTTTCTGTCACGGTCACCATGTCGTCGCATTCGAGTGGTGTCAGCAATGGAAAAGATGAAATGAGCAAAGACAGCGGCCTTTCATCAAACAAAGCAGCAAAGCCTTCCATTGATTAAAAAAAGAAAAGAAAGATGGAGAAGAAACGCGGCATCAGGAAAACGAGATCGCTGGCTCTCGCGCTCGTGTCGCACACATAGCTGGGGGGGGAAAAAAGAGTGAAATGCAATCTTGAACTCACCGATCTTTGCCTTTCGGGGTGGACTGCAACTCGGCTGGATCGCGGTCAGCGTCGGAATGAGACCCGAGGTCAAGTGCTCGCTGCATGATATGGTGTGCTAATGGATTGAGTGCTGCTGGACAACGCACAGAGGAACGAAACGGTGAATGCAGAATAAAGAACCGCCAGTGCATTGCTCCCGGCCGTGATCCGTCGTCTTACCTCCCTCTTCAAGATTCTGCATCCTGATACGTTGGAGTAGATCGTCATCTGGGAGGCCATCTGCTCCAAACAACAACAACAACAAGAAATAACAAGAAACAACAACAAGAAAACGACGAAACAAACGACGAAATGAGAATTGGGGAAAGCCATCCTTCTACCAGCACGATCGACAACAAGTACGCATTGTCTACCAACCTGGGTTTGGCATCAGGAGGTGGGCACGAGCACCCGCGCCGTTTGAGACGGAAGCTTTTGTTGATGGGTCGGCGGGGTCGGACGGCTGGTCATCACCCACACCAACGCTGACCAATGAAGCGGTTGATGCGCGTAATAGTTGATCGACCTTTTGTTGCGCCTTCTTTCGCCGAGGTGGCGGGACGGGCATCGACCCAAAATCGGTGTTGGACTCGGCCTGAGGATCGTTGGTCGGGAGCGATGCCGCGAACGCCGCGCTCGCCATACTCGCCGTTGCCGACGCGCTTGCAAGTGGTTGACTGAGCAAGGATTTGGCAACAAACGGATGACTGGAAGGTGCGATGCTCTCCAGCTCACCACTTGGTGCACTTGGCAACGAACTGCTGCTGCTCGTTGAGGGAGCTGTCTGGACGGCGTGGTGGCTGCCTAGGTTGCTTGACTCTGTAGATCTGCAATCATAATCATTCACGTTCAGGTGTCAGTTGGACGCGCGAGACTCTTCACAATGCTGCTGCTATGGACCCGGTCGAGTGGAGTGGAATGAAGCGGGTCCACTGTTGTTCGCCCTTCCTAACCACCACCACCATCCCCCCCCCGACATCCCGACATGCACTCCGCACAGAGCCACGCAGACAAAAAGCAGACCACGCAGACACGCACAAAGGCACAGACGCCATCGCCTCGGGTGCCAAAGTTTCGCTGGCGTCGAAAAACTCGGCCTCATCGTCGTCGCTCGTTGGGTCTGACATGACGCACGCTTCCCATCGAACGCACGACGTGGGGAAAATGAAGACTACGAAATGGATGGATGGTAATGTAAAACTACTACTCGAGTGCCGAATCACACGATTAACGGAAAGAGCGCAAGAACGACGACTTTGAGAAATTCTGCGACGTTGAGAAATTCTTGAACGACTCGAGTCAATCTTGCTCGCGCTTTTGGGGTGTGCTAAAGCCAGTGTGAACAGCAGAAACTTAAAATGCTAGGATTACGACAAAAAACATAAGAAACACATGCATTGAACAACCAGGGGACGAAAAAAAATGCACCAAGAACTTTGAACAACATTACGGAATTAATGAGACAAAAATCCCAAAGGTTTTGATCCCAGATGCATATTTTTTTTGTTGTTTGGGTCAAGCACCAACAAAAGAGGAGGGTCTTCAGATGTGGGTGGAAACGCGGTGGTAGCCGTTGTTGGCAGATGCCGCGCGGTACTTGCGGTAGAACACGCCAGCAACCACGAGGGCGACAAAGGCAACAAAGGCAGTCGCGGGGAGCGCCACCTTCAGGACAAGACCGTTGTTGTCGCTGCTGGAGGAAGAGGACGACGAGGAAGAGGCGCCAGCGGGAGCAGCGGCGGCGACAGCGGCGTCAGCCTGGTCGGCGGGGCAAGGCTGGTTCGAGCCGTTGCGGCAGCCGGGGTGCAGGTGCTTGGCGACGAAGGAAGCGTCACCAGTGAAGGGAGAGACGGTCTTGGAGAAGTCCTCGGCAATGTTGATAGAGCTGGGGATGGACAGGAAGGCCTTGAGGTTGTTCTGGAGGTTCTTGAGCTGAGCGCGAGCAAGAGCAGTGTCGGCCTCAACGGTCTGGACCTTGTTGGCCATGCGCTTGGAAGCCTGGTCGAGGCTGGAAAGGGAGGCAGAGACCTCAGCAACCGACTTGAGGGTCGAGGCAAGCTCGGTGCGAAGAGGGGCAAGGACAAGCTCGCGTTGGCGGGCAATCTCCTGGCTGGCGGTGGAAATGGTCGAGGTGGCAACCTGCTTGGCACGGTCGGCGGCAGTCTTGGCAGACTCGGAGATCTGGGCAGACTTGGCATCAACCTCAGCCTGGATGTGAGCAATGCGGTCCTCGGTCCAGGTCTTGACGGCAGCAGCATCAGCAGCAACTTCGCGGCGGGCGGCAGCAACACCGTCGCGGACGGACTGCTCGGCGGTGGCAACAGCAGCGGCAAGGCGAGCCTCTGCAGCGGCGATGGCGGACGACTGCTCGGTGCGGATCTGGGAGATGACGTTGCGGAGCTCAGCGAGGGCGGCGTCCATGCGAACCTGGGCGTTCTGGCGGACCGACTCGTTGTCGACCTCAGCCTGGGCGCGGATCTGGTTGAGCTTGGCGGTCAGGGCGAGGAGGTTGGAGCCGAGGTAGCCCTCCATCTGGGAAGCGCGCGACTTGATGGTGCGCTGGAGAGTCGACATTTCGTAGCTGGCACGGTTGATGAAGCCGTGGAACTCGTCGGGGAGAACAAACTGGCCGGCGGCAGCAGAGCTGACAACGTTGGAGAGGCGGGCGACGGTGGCGGACAGCTTGGTGGCGAGCTCGTCAACGTTCTCGTCCATGGCAACTTGAATGCCCTTGAGCTGACGCTCAAAGTCATCGAGCTTGGTGGAGTGGTCGGCAAGCTGGGCACGGGCCTCCTCGGTGGTCGAGGAAACGAACGACTTGATCTCAGTGGCGGTGGAAGCGTGGGCAGACTTCTCGGCGGCAACGGCATCCTCGAACGATTGACGGAGGGTGGTCAGGCGGGCAGCGAACTGGGCAGACATGGTCTCAATGCCATCGCCGAGCTGGGACTTGGCAACAGCAATCTGGGCGGTAACGTCAGCCTGGGCAGCAGCGATGCGCTCGGTGGCGGCAACAATCTCCTCGCGGGAAGCGGCAAGGCGGGCGTTGACGTTGGCACGAAGGGCAGACGAGGCCTCAACGAGCGACTGGACGGTGGCAGAGACAGAGTCAAAGCGAGCGTTCAGAGCCTCAGCGTCGGCTTGGAAGGCGTTGACGGAAGCAAGCGAGTCACCAACGAGGGTGGAGAGGGCAGCAACGGCAGTGATCTTGTCGTCGACGATGCGGCTCTTGTCTTCCATGGCAGCGTGGATGGAGGCAGAGAGAGCAGTGAACGAGTCGGCAACGGAGGCAACCTGGGTCGCGAGCGAGGCAGAGAGCGGGGAGAGCGCGTCGAGGCGAGCGAGGGTGGCAGCCTTGAACTCGACAACGTCAGCAGCAGCGGTCTCGGCGGCCTTCTCGGCAGCAACCAGACGGGTGAGGTGCTCAATGATGGAGGCAGTCGAGCGAGCCTCGTAGTCGCGCATGTTACGCTGGAGGGCGGCAACCTTGTCGCTGGCAGTGGCGAGCTGAGCGGAAAGCTCGGCAGCCTGAACAGCGGCGGGGGTGAGCTTGGTGTCAATGTCAGCCTGGGAAAGCTTGTCGTTGATGGAGGCAATGGCAACGTTGACGTTGGCGGTCAGCTCGTTGAGCTTGGACTCGGCGTCAGCAAGCTTGTTCTGGTTGGCAGCAATAGACTCCTGGAGAGCAGCCTTGGCTTCCTCCATGAGGTTGGCAACAGCAGCCTCAGAGTCGGCATCGCGGCGGAGGGTCGGGAGGGCGGCGACACGGTAGGGGAGGGCAGCGTTAATGTTGTTGACCTCAATCCAGAGGTTGGCGACGGAGGTGTTCAGCGAGTTGAAGTTGGCGTTCAGCAGAGCACCGTCGTCCTCAAGAGGAACAATACCACCGCTGTACAGGGCAAGAATACAGTCGGGGCAGGGCTTGCACCAAACGTAGCCAGGAGCAGAGTCAATACCATCGGTAGTGTCGTAGATCGGAGAGTATCCGCGCTTGCACTCGCGGCAGGTCGCGCCAGTGTAGGGCTCCTTGCACTCGCAGGAGTAGGTAGTGGGCGAGGTGGTGGTGCAGGTGTCGCTCAGAATGTCAACCGTCGACGCAGCAAGCGAGCGACCGTTGCAGTCGCACTGGAAGCACTTGAGGTTGTTGCCAGAAAGGTCAACGGGGAAGCCGGGGTAGACACCCGAGACGTCAGTGCGCGTGGCGCTGCCGTACGAGCCAGACTCGCACATCTCGCAAGAGTCGCCAGTCGTGCGGCCTTCGCAGTTGCTGCAGGAAAGGTCAGAGGGCTTGGCATCGTCGTAGGCGCAGTTGTTGGCAGCCAGGGCTTCGTTGATGTTGCCGTTGCAGCCGCACTCAATGCAAGTGTGGAAGGCATCGCAGTCACCGAGGGCGCTGCCGCCAAGGCCGGGAGTGAGGCAGACAGTGGGCTGACCGAAGAAACCGGAGGGGTTGCAGGCGCTGCAGTCGCGGTTCAGGTACGGGGGGATGGTGTCGAGAGTGGCATGGAGACCAGCGGGAGCCTCGGGGCAGTTGCACATGACGGCATCCGACTGGGGAATGGCAGCCGAGATCACGTCGCCGGAAAGCGGGTAGTCGAGAACGCACTGGCGGACCTCGGGGTAGTTGGCAGTCTCGCAAGAGAGGATGGGGCCAAGCAGAGTCGTGTCGGTCCAAATCTGGGGAACAGTGTGGTAGCAGGCGCCCTTGCAAGCGACGCAAGGAATGCCCTGAGTGGGATCACCGTAGAAACCGGGTGCGCAGCGCTCGCAGCGGCGGCCGATGGCGTTGGAAGCAGCGCAGTTGGTGCACTCACCAGTGGTCTCAACGCACTCCTTGTTGGGGCCGAAGCACTGATCGGCGCAAGACAAGCAGTCATCCGCAAGAGTGTGAACATCGCACGAGCCACCGGTCAGACCGCAAACATTGCAGACATCATCGGTAGGAACAAAGCCGGTAATCTGGCGGTAGAAGGTGGGATCGCAGCGGTTGCAGTAAGCGTTGGGCCAAGCGTCGTTCTCGGTGTTGCCATCGCAGTTGGTGCAGGAGCCAGTGTACGAGTCGCAGGTGGTCGAGTGACCGTTGCAGGTGCAGAGGGTGCAAGTGTCAAAGCGGGCATCTTCAATCACGGTCGGGTTGCCAGCGTCAGCGGGGTTGATCTGAGTGTTGCGGCGATATCCAGAAACGCACTCGTCGCAAGAGTCGCCAGCGCCGTTTTCAGTGTTGCCAGAGCAGGACGAGCAGACACCAAAGTTCGAGCAAGTGGTCGAATGGCCGTGGCAGGCGCAGGGCGCGCAGATGCGGCCGTCTTCCGAGTTGCCAAACTCGTTCCAGAAGTTCTCAATGCAGAACTCGCAGTGGTTGCCCTCCGAGTTGGAGACGCCATCGCACGTGCAGTAGCCGCCCTCAGCGTTGCAAGTATCCACGCCGGCAATGGGGGCAATGGAGTGACCGTTGCAGTCGCAAGACTGGCAGTCGTCGGTGAGATCGACACTGGTGCCGCTGACGTAGGGGCGGAAGAAGGTGGCCTTGCACAGCTCGCAGCTGGAGCCTTCAGTGTTGCCTTGGCATGGATCGGGAGCGCCGGTAGGGCCTTCGTTGCACTCACCACCCTGACGGTTGCAGTAGTTGGTGACACCCTTGTGGTCGTTGCACAAGCATGCAGAGCAGCCGACAGTGTCAGTGTAGCCGGGGCCAGAGTTGGGGGAGAAGAAACCGTCAATGCACTCCTCGCAGTGATCGCCGACAACGTTGGCAGACGAGCGGCAGTTGCAAACACCACCGTTGGGGTCGCAGATGGCGGTGGTGCCGTCACCCCAGGTCAGCGGGTCGGCAAGGTTGGCGCAGGCGCAAGGAATACAGTCGTCAGTCAGATCGACGTCGAGAGTGCCAGAAATGTAAGGGCGGTAGTAGCCGGGGAGGCACTTCTCGCAATGCTCGCCAGTGGTGAAGCCGTTGCACGGGTCGCCGCTCATGTCGCAGTTGCCGCCAGTGACATCGCAGACCTCGGTGACACCGTCGCCGCTGGGCTTGTGGCCGTTGCACTCGCATGCAAAGCAGACGTCGCCCAACAGACCAGAGCCACTGACGGACCAGTAGCCAGTCTCGCAGTCCTCGCAGTGCAAGCCAGTGACGTGATCCTCGGGCTTGCAGTTGCAGCCGCAGGTGTCCTTGGCGCAAGAGTCAGCACCAGTGGAAGTGGTGTCGACAGCGTGCTGGTTGCAAACGCACAGCTCGCAGGTCTGGTACAAGTCAGTCGAGGTACGGCAGGCACCATCCTCGCAGAGCTCGCAGTTGTGGCCTTCAGTCAAAGTGGACGGGTGGCAGTGGCATTCACCGGTGACTTGTTCGCAGCCGCGATCTCCAGGAACGCCATAAGTGTAGTTGTCGTGGAGGTAGCAGTCGCAGCCCACGCACGGACCGCCGTCGTAGAAGTAAACGTCGAAAGCCTCGCTGCGATCGGGGATTTCAGCAAGACCAACATAGCCGAGATCGGGCAAGCTAGGGCCGTCGCAGTTGGTCACCTGGAATGAGTTGCCGCTGCTGCCAACAACAGTGGAGACGTCAGACGTGCAAGTGTACTCGGTGTTCGGGGGCACAGTGATCGGCTTGTTGCCGTAGTTGACAAAGAAACCAGGAGCGCAGGTATCGCACGAAACACCAGCCGTGTCGTGCTGGCAACCGGCAGTGCCGGCAGGAGAGCAGTCACCAGTCAGCAGGTCGCAGTTGTACGAATGACCGTTGCAGTTGCAGCCACCAGCGACTTGGATGTCACGAATGGCGTGGGTGCGGTAGAAGATCTGGGACTCGGAAGTGGTGGGCAGACCGTCGAGGACGATGCGAACATGGCGGTAGCCAACGTTGCCGACAAGACCAAGGGAAGCCTGACCATAGGCAGCAATGGTGAAGGTGAGCTGGCAGGTGAGGCCAGCAATGGGGGTACGGCGATTCACGCAGTTGGTCAAAGCAGCACCGTCAAGGGCAGCGCTAAAGTCGACGTAGTCGCCAGTCTCGCTCTTGAGCCAAAGCTCAATGTTCTGGCCGGTGGCGGAGGTAATGTTGCTGGGGAATCGGGAAGTCGAGGGCCACGAGTTGGACACGAAGGGAGTGGTGGTCTGGGGCTTGGAGACCGAGTAAAAGTCAAACCACATGGAGATCTTGTCAACCGAGAAGGTGCCACCGAGGTCCAATTCAAGACGACGGTACTGGGGAGCGTCTTCAACGTTGCGGCAGTTGGCGACGGCGAGCTCCACGCAAGGAGGGGCAGCCCAAACGTTCAGGTTGCCATCATCCGTGCCGACGACGTCTTGGGCAGCATCGGTGAGGAAATAGCGAGCATCAGTGTTGTCACCGATGACGAAGGCAGTAGCGGCGCTGGCAGTGGAGGTGGTGCTGAGAGTAGCAAAGCCGTTGGTCGTCGTGTAATCGTTGTTGACAACCAGGTAGAGACCAGTGTTGGACCTCAAGCGGTAGGGCTGGCGCGAGCGGAACGGGGTGGCAACGTTCTCCGAGACCACGACGTCAGTGACCGCCTCGAAAATAAGCTGATCCGAGGTCGCCGGTTCAGCTTGGACAAAGTTGAGGTTTGCCATCCAGAGCTGAGGCTGGGCAGTGGTGTAGCCAGTCGCAGAGCGACCGACAACGCCGCTGGCCATGAAGCCCAAGTAGCTGCTACCACCGTTGAGACTGTTGGTGGTGGAGGCCGAGCGGATGACCGAGTACGTGAGAGCAGTCAAGCTGACAGTGTTGGTGGCGACTTGACCGTAGCCAGGGACGGTGAACGCGCTGCCAACGCTGACACCACCGGCAGTCAGGGCAGCCAGGGTGACAGTGCTCGAAGCGAGTTGACCAGTGTGGTAGTCGCGGGCGTAGAAGAGGAAGGTGCGAGCAGCGGCAGAGTTGGCGGTACCCATGCGAGCGATTTCGACCTTGTAGTCGTGCGCAGAGTTGCCAGCAGCCTTCAGAAGAGGGGCAAGCCAGCTGATCATTGCGTTGCGGAAAGAGTCGACAGAGGCGGAAGGGAAGAGCACGCCAGTGAAGCTGCCTTCAACAAACTGGTCGTAGACATACCAGAAGCTGTTGTGTCCAAGCTTGTCCTGAGCAACAATGGCAGTGGAGACGCCGGGGTTGGAGTAGGTCAGGTACAGCTTGATGTACGAACCACCGCTGGCGACAGCAGTGGTGAACAGCTTGCGAGTGTACGAGGGGTAGTCGTAAACGCCAACCAGGTTGTTGGGGCCGACCCGCGCGGGGGTCCAGTAGGCAACAAAGCCAACAGGGCCCTTCATGAGCTGCAAAGCCTTGCCGATGACACCAAAAGTGGTAACCTCGAGGCTGAAGGCATCAGAGTACGAGGTGGCACCGTCGGTGGCAGCAATACGGTACTGGTAGGTCGTGTCGCTAGACACAGCGGTGATGGTCACGGTGGCAGTGTAGCCGAAAGAGTCGCTACCGGCGCTGATCACGATACGATCGTCGATAAAGGCAGCCCAGTCAGCAGGGTTGGTGCTGTCAAGGTTGCGACGTTGAATCGCGTAGCCGCAGCAGGCAATAGTGCCGCCGACAAGAGAAAACTGGAGGTTGTAAGGGCTGCCCTCAGGGATATTGGAAATGATTTGGACACCGTTGGCATCAACCGGGCCGAAATCGATGGGCGCGAAAGTAACTGTCAAGCATTCGAGAACAAAACCATTGTGAGTTTGCAGTGCATGGCAGTTTTTGGAGAAACAAGAACAATAAAACAAACGACAAAAGAACAAAAAATAGAATTGTTAAAAAAAAAAAAGGCAGGTCGGAAAAGGCAGAAAAAAAATGCTTTCAAAAAAAAAAATGGCGATCGCCTTTTTTTTTTTTTAATTTGCACAATGCGAACGAAAAAGCACAAATGATGAATAAGCAAGTCCCCACGGGGAGCTGCTTGACTGGTCCGCATGTCGCATCGTTAAGTGTTGTTTCAATGTTGCTTGGCGGCTGTCCGCCTGTTGAGAATCTACTCATCCGAGGGTCGTGATCCCGATCGAGTTATTCAACCCCACGCTGACTCAACTTTGTTATGCCTTTTCTTTGCGCTTTTTTTCTTCTTTTTTTTTTCAAACCTGCTCCCCCGACTCCAATGTCCTCAGGGAGCAATCGAAGCTCGTCTCTACAGTCGCTCCAATGGTCGGGTCCCTGTGTGTACTGAAGAAATGGAACGCTCGAAGCACTCACCATCAGCGAGCGAGCTGGCAGCCAGCGAAAGCAGAGCCAGAAGCGCGAAGAGAGAATAAGAACGCATGGTAGAAGATAGAAAAAAAAAACGAAAGAAAAGAAGCGAAAGACAAAAGAATGAGCTGATTTCGTCTGGATTTGGATTGAGAAATGCAATTGATGAATTTTCAAAATGCAAAAAAAAAAAAAAAAAAGTCGAAGCGAACCGAGCTCGGTTTGTTCTTCCTCTGGGACCACCGCTCCAAGGCATCCCAACGGCGCGTCCACTATCAGAGCGCGAGAACGTTTCGCTTGAGTATGCAGGCACAGGAACGCCGCGTGGAGGAGCAGAGGGAACAACGAGCAGCTCCCAAAGGGCAAACAAAACAGAATTTGAAAAAATTGAAAAAAAAAAAAAGAAAAAAAAAAAGGCGTCCAACCCTCTCAAACGAAAAAAAAAAAAAATCGACAAAATTTCACGCCCCTCGACCCGAAATGCGTCCTTTTAGATAGATCGTCCTTTTCGAACAGATCTAGATTCAAAACGAATAGGATTTATGTTAAAAACAAAATGTGAGAAGAATACAAGCGCTACAATGATGTGGGAGCAGGGTAGTAAAGCGTGGGGGCTTTGTCTGTCAGTTGAGAAGCGGACCATCCGCGACTGACTCAACGTTGCGTTGCGAATGGTAGTGAAGTGACGCGCGTCTCTGCAAGCCTTGGCCGTCCCAAGAACGTGCACGCTCAGCTCGAACAGCTCTGTTCAAATTCGGGGTGCGTGACATGAGTTCAATGACACACCCAAAAAAAAAAGTATAACCTTCCACTTCCAGCAAAGAACTCACGGATCCACCGACAAGCGGCGACGAAGTTGCCGTGGAAATTGCTCGGGATGGATGGTTGCTGGTGCGGGCTCAGACGCATCCAAAACGGATTCCAACGAACCACGCGATGAATTTTTCGAGGAAAAGCGAACCTGGAGGAGCGGGGCAAAGGGTGACGAAGTTGAGCGAAAGGCCAAAGGTGTACCAAAGTCAAACAGCGACACTATGCAGCCTTACCACTGGTTGGGTGTTGGGGACATCTTCAAGAGCCTCGTTGCCCTCAATGTCAAACGCGTAAAGTGCACTGTCAATGCTGCCGCTGGGCGAAACGTTCAGTGAACTTGAGGCAGAGCCGAAAGGGGAGCTCTGGGAACCAGGGGTGCGCTGATGCTGGAGATAGTGTGCCAACACGGCTGCGTGTGCACTTGGAGTGTACTGTGCAGTTGCATGCTGTGCAAAAGGCGGGCTGCTTTCGAGGGCCTCTGCAGACAGGCCGCCGAGACGGTGAAGCCGATTTTGTGGAGTCATCTTGGGTGAAAGCGGGTAGGCAATGCCACCGACCGACGATGCCGTGACCGACCCGGCCATGGATGCAGTGGAGCCTGCCAGGCCGGTTGCCGGAGGAGGATTCATTCCAACAGGAATGGGCAGCGCTTCTGGAAGCGCGTTGCCGGCGATTGCGAGCGGCGAGCTGAAGCTGTTGCGCAATTTGCGCGACGCGCTGATGGTGCGCGATGCGGGAGAAACGCCTGCAAGCGCCGCGATGCGCGGAGGGATTGTCGGCCCGCCGCCTGTTTCTTCCGCAATATCGGTTGCAGAGCCATGCAGCGAGGCGTGTCGACGAGACAGACCGGTCTGTTCTTCAGCAGCGGCGGTTGTGTATCCAAAACCAGAATTTTGGGTTGGAGTGCTTGGTGAAGAGCTTGCGGAAGTGTGTCCAACAATCACGTCTGTATTTGAGAGGGCCCGAGTGCGCGTGGAGGGCGAACGCCCGAGTTGAGTGTGTGAGATTCCCGCAAGATTGCTCGAGCTCGGAGAGCGTATTGGCAAAGCTCGGCTCGAGTGGCTACTCAACGATGACGATCGGTGAAGCGAGCGCCCTCGCATCCTGAAAAGAAAATCGAAAACGAAAAAGGGGGAGGTGTTGTGAGCAAAATAAAACAAACCAAAAAAGGTCGGGAGTACGCAACAAGGAAACGTAGAATAGAAAAGGCAAAAAAAAAAAAAAAAAAAAAAAAATACCGCACCGAACAAAATCGTGAGTGATGAGCATTGCAGCAGTCGGACGGTGCTCGGGAATGCGTTGGAAGCACTGAAGGAGCAAGTTCCTGCCTTCTGCTGACAGGGATTCGGGAATGTCGGGAATGTTGGACGAAGTCGCAATGTGAAACATGGCTGGAACGTAATCCTTGAAATTGCACCATGGCGGCTTGCCCGTGAGCATTTCCACGACCGTACAACCCAAGGACCAAATGTCTGCGGATTTTCCATACGTCTAAACCATTCCAGATCGATGCAAAAGCACGTTCAGCGGGCAGTCACAGAACGCTGTGGTCGGAGCAAGGCAAAACAAACACCAACCACGTCGCTCTCACCTCTTGTCTGATGATTTCGGGAGCCATCCAATATGGAGTGCCGCGCAGGGCCCGAGTATTAAGGGAATAGGTCACCGCCAGCCGACCAGAAGCACCAAAGTCGGCCAATTTGATCACGCCATTGTTGTCAACGAGAATGTTGGCACCCTTGATGTCCAGGTGCACAATATTATTATCATGCAAGTACACCAGGCCAGCAAGGATTTGACGAGTGTAGTTGCTCACAACCTAAAAGCAGTCGAAAAGGTGAGTCAACTCAAAAAAAAAAAAAAAAAAAAAAAAAAAGAGGACTGCCTCCCAAGCCATGTCAACACACTGCCTACCTCGACGTTGAGAAGCCCAAACTTGGACAGCAGACTAGCAATTGAGCCTCCAGGAACATACTCGAGCAGAATATACAGATTGGCTTGATCGGTTTGCGTGGTAATGTATCGAACAATGTTTGGGTGCGAGAGCGCAGAGAGCAGGCGAACTTCCTTTTCCAACGCCCGAATCTGCAACAAAAAAGGGGGGGGGGGAACAAAAATAGACGACATGCAAACGCAGCGCTTTGAGCACAAGAAACAAAAAAATCACCCGTCCACATCAAAGAATGTCGCCGTACTTCTCCCAAGTGCTCTTGATCGAGCTCGACTTGCTTGACGGCCACAAATTCGCCCGTCGGCAGAAGACCTCGGTAAACTTTGCCAAATGCCCCTTGACCCAGCAAGTCTCCGCGCTGCCATGTCAACTCCAAGGGAGATTGATAGCGCCTCGTTTCAGAATCACTCTCACTCGTCGTTCGAGCAGAGTCGTCGTCTTCGGTCAAATATCCTGTTGAAACGAATAAAGGCACAGAGCCAATGAGACACAAAAATGAGGCTCGCCAAATCCCAAATAACTTGCAAAACATGAACAATCGAAAGGCGGACGTTCACACAAAAAAACAAAAGCCGAAACACACAAACACCCCCTCTACACAGAGCAACGTCATGCAACGTACTGAAAGGGCTGACTTGAGACGCTTCAAACCGGCGCACGAGCTCGTCCAGATTGGAGGAGATGGGCAGAGGAGGTCCTGCCATGGCGGACAGCGACGAGCAACTGGTGCTGTTGCTTAGAATGTACGAGTCGGCAGCAAGCTCGAGCGCAAGTTGGCTGCTGTCATCCAACGCATGGTCGTGATCGGCGGGCTCGGTCAGCTCGGAGAGCGTTGAATCGCGTTGAAATGTCTCCAACATTGGCTTGTAAAGAGGCAGACTGCCACTGGGCATGTTGCCTGAAACGCTAATACTGCTGGTGCTGCTACTATTGCTGCTGTTGATACTGGGGTTGTTTCGCAGCACGCTCGTCGTCGTCGTGGGTGGAGATTGCTGCGAATGAAGCAACGAGGGCGAAGAGCCAGCCAGACTGCTCGGCAGAAAGCCTGTCGCAGTCACAGAGGTGGATGATTGCATGGCCGTCGACGCCAACGACGAAGACGTGTGGGATCGTGTCAATGAGGAGGTGGACGCCGACATGGCCGTTGGGGTGACGGCCCCGCCCGTCCACCGCGACAGGGCGCCTGGAGGGACGACTGACGACGATGAAGACGACCGCGCGCGACGCCGAATGGTCTGTGTGGCGCTGGACATGGCCAAACTGGGAGGCGACGACGAGGACGACGAACCCTGCGGTTGCGCTGTGGACGATGGCGCGGTGAAGGAGTGGTGTGCTGACGCGGGCGACTGGGCCTGCTGCAGTTGTTGCTGCGAAGGATAGACGTGTGGCGTGTACGCAGCAGGATGCTGCTGATGGAGATGGGAGCCGTGGAACTGCGACGGGACGGCCGGGTACTGTGCTGGGTGGAAGTGACTTGGCAAGGGCGAAGCGCTCGAGTGAAGCGGATGAGACGACGGCTGATGAGAATGCAGCAGCGGCTGGGCATGCGCCGCAGATCCGGGAAGCAACGACGTGGCCTGAAGAAGCGACGACGATGACGACGATAGGGACCCCGTCGACGAGAGCGCCTGCGGTGAAAGGGAGCCTCCAGCCGCAAGCGAAGAGAGCGCGGAAAGCGACAGTGAGGACGGGAGAACCATCGCTCCGCCGCTGCTCCTTCTTCCTGCAGCAGATGCAGCTGCTCCTGCTCCTGCTCCTGCTCCTGGTGCTGAGACGGCCGAGTAGATGCCATTGTCGATACTGGACGCAGCAGGGTTGTTGGTGGCCGGCGACCGCGGGACGGCAGCACCAGATTGGCTGGCTCCGACATGACCGCCGAGAGCGCTTTTGCTGCTGCTGCTGCTGCTGCTGCTGCTGCTCTCGCTATAACTATAACTAACGCTTGGATGGTGACCCACATCAAATTTCCCTCCAGTGTCACTGAAACTGCTACTACTTGCGGCGGCCGTGGTGGTGGGACCGTGGTCGCCGCTGGAACTGTAACTGCCTGCGGCTGTGACACGACCGGCAGGCCCAACCGCCAAGTCCGCAAGCCGCGGAGGCCCGTCCATCATGGGGTGCGGTGCTTGAGTCAAGCACCCTTCTTTCCCCCCTCTTCTGAACTGGTGTTTGGTAGCAAGGCTCCCTTGTGCGTATGGAGAAAGGGCCGCGGGAGGGAGGGGGGTTTGCTTTTGCGACGTATCAAAGCTCGGAGAACGGAGAAAATGAAATCAGAAACAAAAAAAAAAAAAAAAAAAAAAAAAGAATGGTCAGTTGCGGTTGAACATGAAGCCGGGGAAAATGGAATTAAAGAAGAACGATGGAAACACAACTCATGAAAGAGGCATGCGGCACAGAATTGTGGACGTGTTCGGGTCAGCGGAGGGGGAAAGCGAAGCTTGGGGGGACAAGGCAAAAAAAAAAAAAAAAAAAAAAAAAAAAAAAACGCAATATGATCTTGCAATAAGCGTGACCTTTGACAGCTGAACGTGTAGACGAGACCCGCATGGTTGGATGGGGACAAGCACACTTGAAAAGCAACGAAAAGATCCACCTCAAAACGAAAAGGCGAACAAGGAAGTAATTCCCTGAAGTGTCTTCAGGTCGCGTGCGTCAGACAATTCTCCAGCAACCTCAAGCGCTCGGATGGCGTGTTGCGTACATTGGACAGCTTGTTGGGAGTGATGGAACAAGGGAGAACAATCCATCCGGGGTCAAAGAACCTCTGTGCTCGGCGAGGAAGAAAGGGGGCGGTGGCTCTAGCCGCAAGTTTCAGCCCTCACACGATTGGTCAACGCGCCAGTCCCATACATCAAAGCCACACGTCCTTGCACGCTCCTCTCCTCCTCTCCTCGGTCCTTATTTCTTGGCTTCTGTTGAGACAGTCCATCCACTGAGCGATTTTCGGATGGTGTCAACGAGTTTCGGCTCAACTTGAAAGGGGAAAACGAAACACCATCGTGAGGCTTGGTTCCGAAACACACAACAAGAGTTTCTTGCTGTCCCGCTGCTTGATGCGAAAGCTTGACTTCAGTCCTTTCGGAAGAATAGTCGCACATTTCGAGATCTACTGCTTGTTTTGTCTGGCGAGTTCAAAACGATCCACAAGCAATTCACACACAATCCTAATGGTTTCATTGCGCCCTGCCTCGTCCCTTTCCCTCGCGACCTCGTCTCTCATATTGCACCTCCTTTCGCCCTCCTTGACGCTGCTCATTCAACTTTTTCTCTTTTTTTTTCAACTTTGTGTACTGTTTTTTCTTTCGTCTCAAATTTCGGATTTGGTTTCTTTTTTCCCGCCAAACCATCTTGAAAACTGTTTGAAACCAGCCGTTTCGTTTCAGCAATGTCGCCTCCACACTTGACCACCGCTGCCGTGCGCGCAGGCTCTGCAACGCCGGGCTCGATGGACGCGCACCCAAACTTGATGGCGACGGTCGTGTTTGACCAGCTGGAGGCCGGACTGGCAGACAACGGCGAGGAGACGTCGCGCTTTGGCGCTCGCAAGGAAGAAGGCATTGCGCTCTACCGAGTGGACACTATGGCCACAGCTGCCAGCGCGCCGGGCAGTCTCGCGAGTCTGACAGCACAACAACAAGGCGCGCCGCTGTCCTCGCGCAACGAGGCGGACGAGGAAGAGGAGCAGCACAAGGAAAACGGCGACGCCAGCCAAGTCCGTGTTCTTGGCGCGCAAAATCCCGTTTCAAAATCGACCAAACCCGCGTCAACCGCCTCGAGCGGCGCGCCCGCGTTCTTTGCGAGCGCGAGCCCACACGGCATGTGCCTGTGCGTCAACAAGCAAATCCACATCTTTGGCAGCAACTGCGACCAACTGCTCGCCACCGTCAACCTCGACGCCTCTGCCGACGCGGTTGTATGGAGCGATGATGGCGTGTTTCTCGTCATTGCGGACAGCCTGGGCTCGGTGCACTTTCTGCACGTCCCCTCGCAGCTGATGCTGTTTTCGCAGCAGCTGGTGGCTCCGGGCGCTCTGCAAGGCGGCTCAACGCCGAGCGCGAAGCAGTCGTCGTCCGTGTCGTCTCGTGCGCGGCCCACAGCGTTTGCTGCAATGCAATTCATCAAGAGCCTTCGGAACGACGCCGTCTATGAGCTCATTGTCGCATCGGCGCAGGGTCAGCTTTTCCGCTTTTTCGACATTGATCTGTCCGCGCTCGCCCAAGCCATCGTGCAGCGCAACTTGGCCCAGGCGAAACAAATTCAGGCAGCAATCACCATGTCGTGCACAGATCTCCGAACTGTGCATCCCAAGGCCGTCAGCAGCATGGCAGCGTGTGTCTCTGTCGTGCCTGTGACCAGTGGCACTGGCCCCAGCACTGCCGACTCTGCCGACACGTCTGCAACGAGTGGTGGTGCCGTGTTGCGAATGGATCCATCGTCCGCCGTTGTTGTCGCAGTGACTGACAGCGAGAAGGCTGCTGTCTCTCTGTGGGTGGCCAACTACGGCGAAAAGCAATTCCGACAGGTCGATCTGTGTGCGCGAGTGCTGGGCGGCGTGCCAGTTTCGAAAATCCAAGCCATGCCGGATGGAAAGCACTTCCTCACCTGCAACGATGCTGGAAAGCTGGCCTTGTGGCGGTTGCAGCGCGAGTATGGAGCCGTGTCATGCTCCTTTTCGCTTCAATTGCTGCGCGAGTCCGCCGTTGGCTTGGCCTGCAGCGACTTTAGCGTGTTGCCGTTTTGCGAAGAGGACGACGTTCTGGCGACCTTGGGAATGATTCCATCAGAGAGTCACGAATATTCCCAGTCCACCAACACTGGAAAAGTTCCAATGTCGGCCACCGCCGCGTCGACGGTCGCCGCGGCCGCCAAAAGCGTGTCGTGCTCGCAAGGCAAGATTGCCGCAGTGACGCTGGCCTCGGAAACGGGGGCACTGCACGTTGAAATCATGGCATTGCCCTCGTTTGCTCGGCTTTACACGCTCGAAGTTCCCAACAAGACGTGCATCGCCACAATGGAGTTTGGCTATGATTCCGTCGCGTTTGTCGAGTACCGTTCTGGAGAAGAGAACTCGTCCAAGCTGATTGTGCGCCGATTGCAAGAAACTCTGCCAACCAATCGCTTCTACCACCTCCTGCACAAGGGCCACTTTGAGGAGGCCATTCAATTTGCCAAATTGTTCCAAATGGATGTCGAGCTCGTGCACAAGGTGCGCTGCACGCATATCGCCGACGTTGCTATCAAGGGTGGCGTTGGATCTGCCGCTGCGGAAGGCGCAGACAAACAGCTGGTGGATGCGCTCCGCAACGTTAAAGATCTCGACTATGTAATCGAGTTTTGCATCCAGGCGTCGCTTCCCTCGTTGCAAAGCACCGTCGCGTTGCTCGAGTTTGCACAAGCCTCGCTGCTTGCCGACGACAAGAGTGCACAGCAGCGCCTCAGCGTCGGGGATCGCGAGCTTCGGAAGATGGAAGTCGCCGACACGCTTCATCGCTTGTCCACTTTCCACTTGTCGCGCTGCGGTACGATCGCTGGCGGTACTGCAGCAAGCCCTGTGGCATTGCCGTTCGATGGCATTCAGTGGCAACAATTTCGCGTTGCTGACCCCGCCAAAGAGGTGGTGGCCCAGCTCAACAAGGGCAACCTGGGCGCGGCAACCGTGGTCTGGCGTCGCCATGTTCAGGATCTAGACGGATCCCTCAAAGCCCACATCCGTCACATTCTGGCTGCCATTCCGGAGGGCTTTGAGGTGTGTCACCAGCTGGGCAACGGTGTGTCGTCATCCATGGAGGACGGCAATGCAGGCTCGACCATTGTGTCGTCCAGCCACTATTGCGCGTGGTTGAGTGCCGAGCTCATTCCGCATATTGCTTCGCATCGCGATATTGCCTTCTTTGCCTCGTGGCTTGAGCAACGCTCGAGACTGCTGGAGAAGGCTGAGCCTGCAAAGTGGCCTGCCAACGGCATCGCCATGCTCTCCCTCGCCAAGCCCTTGACTGTTGCGTACGCTGTCGAATCAGGATCTGCAGCGGCGGCCAAGGCCAGCGAAGGCTTTGCGGCTACGCCGCTTGATACAATTCGGCGCATGGTGCTGTTTGCTCCTCTGCCAACCTCCAGCCAACCCGACGGCTTGTCGGCGCCCACAGCAGCAGCAGCAGCAGCAGCAGCAGCATCGGACGACGGAGAAGATGACCTTGAGCGCAAGAGCAGCATTCTGGCGGCATCGCAGCACTTTACTGCTTGTCTCACGGCAGTACAAACGCTGCACCGGCAACTGGAAACGCTCGCCTACCTGCGAGAGTTGGACATTAAAATGACGCTCGACCATTTTGTGCAAGAAACGCCTTCGTCCATTTGCCTGTTCTTGCTCGAGCGCGTTGCTGCCGCCGAACTGCTGGCTGGCGTGGTCCAAAATGAGATTCAGCCATTTGCTCAACGCGAATCGTTAAAGTGCGACGACGTTCTGCAGTCGTACTGCAACGAGCTGATGGCTGGCTGCACGGCGTTTGCCTCGGCGTTGTCCGACTCGCCGTGGGAGGCCCGCGTCGTTGCCATCATTCCCTGCATCCAGGGAATTTCCACGCGTGTCGATGTTACTCTGGAAATGATGCGGCATATCGTCGTTCCGTGGAGCACAAGCGTGGAGACAATTGTGCAAAATGCCCTGACCGTTTGGTCGCACGATCGTCAGTCCGAGGTTGGCGAGCAGTACCGCATCATGCACATCCGGAAGGCCCTTTCCCTGTATGGGTTCCGTGCGTTCAACATGTCCGACATGACGCAGGCGCGAGGGTTGGTCTCCGCCATCCTGTCGCGCTTGGACGTGCCCTCGGCTCTCGACGACGCGCTGTCTGTCGTGAAAGCCTACCACCATCTCGAAGAAGCGGACGCCTATGTCATTCGCTTGCAAAATCTATGCCCAGGCTGGCTTCCCACCGATGGCGCGACGATCGAGCCGAGCCGCCTCGAGCAAGCGTGCGTCGAGCGCTCCACGGCAGCGGCGCGCGCCATTGGTTCTCTGACCAGCTCCAAAACGCTCTGCAGCGTCGCGTCGCACTTTCTACAATGGCTCCATGATACCTTGGATGACAATATTCTCCTCCAAGAGTACGATAAGCGTGCTCGTTTGGCCGTCATGGCCTACAGCCAGAGAGTTTTGGAGGCCCTGTTGCTGCAATCCCAGGATTTGGTGCTGCAGTCCGCTGTTGCTTCCGCGTGCTCTGGCCCTCAAGCGGCCGAGCAGGAGGTTGTTGATTCTCGCCTTGTGGCGCTACGAAAGCAGCTGTCGATGGCCATCAAACGCCTTCCAGTTTGTCGGGAGCTGCAAACCGGATTTGGCGAAATTGCGGGGCTCTCTGACTGGCAGACCGATGCTCAGCAGCAAGACATTGTCGCTCGCCTCTTTGCGGCGGAAATGTCGGATGCCTCGCTGGAACGGCTGACTCGTCTTCTCGGCATGGATCATCGCGGAGCCTTGTTGTGTCTTGCTCGTCTGGCGCTCGACAGCGGCAACATTGATCGCTCCCTCTGCTTCTGTGAGGCGGCCCTTGCGTTTGGTGATGCCTTGCATCCTGAATCCCACGACGCTGTGATCACATTCGTCCAGTCGCTTGTCGCAAAGGTGGCCAACGACTTTGCCGAGTACGAGCCCAATCTGAAGCTCATGAAGTGCAAGGTCGTTCCGCGCTGTCTGCGCTTGATCCAACAGTGCGCAGCAGTCTGCAACATCCCGCAGCTTGGGGATGCAGTGGGTGCGTACAAGTACATTGATCTCGCCAGTGCCGTTCTGGAGAACTGCGAGTGCGATCCCTCCTCATCCCCTTCCACCGATCGCGGTGACAGCGCTGCTTCATACGCCCTCATTCACGGCGGCGCGTCCTCTGCAACGTCTGCTTCTGCGACTCGGTTTGTCGAAACCGGCCTGGTCTTGAGCTCCCGCAGCGCCATGCCAGTTGCAGCTCGTCTGGTCGCGCAAGCATCGTCTGGCCCGGCTACCTGTGCACCGCTCGCGACCATCACAAAGTCGGCGCGAGAACTAGTGCAGCTGGCCAAAGACAACAGCCTGTACTCGCTGGCGCTCAGGTATTCGCTTCACTCTCTCGCCACGTGCGTGCTCAAAATGAGCCACAATGCAGAGCTTCCTCTCGATGCATTCCTGCTCCCAGAAGATGCCAATCTTGCAGCGGACGCGAATGACGACGAGCCTGGACTGCGACAGGCCCTGGAGAAATCCAACGAAACAATCCAAACCATGCTTTCTGCCGTGGCCACCCAGTCCTGCTCGGTGATTGATACCCTTGCCTCGCTTCTCACAGGCAAAATTGTCCAAGCGCCGGCTGTGGATGGCTCGCTCGCGATCGGGGCGCTGTTTTCAATGCGACTCGATCATGCATTGGACGCGCTGCACGCTCACATCTCCATTCAAGATGGAGGCCATGCAAGGCTCTCGTCCTTGGCGAGGGTGGGTTCCATCCTGTTGGCGCAAGACCAAAGCAGTGACTCGGTGCTGCAGACCGAGTTCCAGCAACTCGACACGCAAGCCCAATGGTGGAACTATCTCGCTGTGCAAGGGATTGATTTCAACCCCAAGCGCTTCTTGGCCCTGGGTCAGGCCCATGAGCAAGCCAAGGCGGACGGTCTGTTGGCGCAGCCTTCAGAGTTCCAGACCTACGTGGCTGCCCTCTGTCAAAAGCTGGTTGCCAGCTGGTGCGCGGGATTGCGAACGCCTGCAGAAGCATCTGCTGCGGTGCGGTCGGTGCACTTTGAGAACATTGTGCGGTTTGCTGCTTGCTTTGGGGTCGACAGCAAGGTTCCACTCTTGTCCGCGTGCAGGTCGCTGCTGCTGGATTCGACCACTCCCTTGGCCATCTTGAGGATTGTGCTTCCACCGCTGTTGGCGCACACCAATGATCTGGAAGGCATCTTTGAGTGCCTGCTCGACGAGTGTCTTGGAGAGCTGGATGCAACCGACTATCCTCGCATTCGCTTTGTGCTCGCAACATGCCAGCAGGTCGCAGGTGTGCGACGCGCGAGTGTTCCTCTGTCTGTTCAGCAGGGCAGTCTTGTGATTGATGTTCTCGAGCACTTTGATCGCTTCATGGCCGACCAAAAGACTCAAACTACAGCACGGCAGGTCAAATCCGCGACAGCCCGTGTGGAAGGCGAGGCACCCGCACGAATGTCCTTCCATGCTCTGATTTGCCCGCAGACTGCATGGGAGGTCCTCGCTCCGTTCCTGACCATCGAGTCACTTCCCCGTCTCCTGCCTTTGTCCCGCATCCTGCAATTGCCCAGTGACAAGTTCTACGTTGCCGCCATCCAATCCATGCTGGTTCCTTCGACATCCCAAGCCTCGAGTCACTTGGCCAACGCTGAGCAAACCGCGCCCGAGTCGAAAGCGACTGCTGCGAGCCTCATTGAGATGATTGATCGAATTGCTGACATGGATTTTGCGGTGGCAACGGCCGCGTCTGTTGCCGAGCGGCTGCCGCTTGGCGACGACAAGCTGGCGCTGCTGCGACATGCTGTGCAGTTGGTCGAAAAGTGGGGAGCGCAGTTGGCTGCGTCTGGAGGCTCTGCGGCCACCGTGGATCGCGTCAAGAAAGTCAGCGAAACGCTGTCACATCTCAGCAAGCGAACTGCCACGCACGTTGAGCTGCACCGGGCTCAACTGGACCTGCCCGAGCTCCTCGAGCATCTGGACACACCCGCAGAACTTGTTTGCCAGCTGTATTGGAAGGTGGCAGAGCGAAATTCCGCTCCAGCCGCCAAGGGGGCGGCGCCGCAGTCCGAGGGCAAGCACGACATTCATGCACTGGTCAATGGAATTGCGTCGCGATACATGCTCAGCGCAGACAAGATTCGCCGGTATTTGTTGGAGACTTGGATTGCTCAGGTCGAAAAACCAACCGTCGTCCAGGGGTGGCGCGTCGAAGATGCCATTGCCTCCTCCTCGTCCTCTGTGGCGCAACCGAGCGCTTCGACTGCCTCTCGCCCCGGAGCTCGTAGCGGCGGCATGTCCCTGATGAAGTCGCTTCTGCTGAGCGACTCAGATGTCAAACCTGCCGCAACAGCACCGCTGCAGGCTCCGCCCACCAAATCGGCCGAGCACGAGACGGATGCATATGCCCCAGTCATTTCCCCTGTGGACGAAGCCTCGCTGAATCGTGCGATTCTTGTGGCGCGTGCTGACGTGACGAAATCACTGGCCACGTTGTTGCCCATGGTCATGCAAGGCCTGCTTCCTAGTTCGAGCAAAACCTCGCAACCTGCTCAAGCGCCTGCGTCTCAGCAGCAGCAGCAGCAGCAGCGGCTGGCATCGTATGTGCGATATCGAGCCGCACGCGTCACTCTTGCCGTTGCTCCCATCCTCACCATCGAAAAGGCCTTTGCAAGCCCGATTGCCGAGTTTCAAACGCTCGTCCAGCAGCTGCTAATCCATACTGAGCTGGAACGCGTGGGTGTCTCCCAATCCCTGGCAGAACTCGAGTCCTGCAACATGGAGGGCATGATTCGTGCCTTGTGGCGCAATCACAGCGGCAAACCCGCCGCAGTCCGTTTGATTGCCAACCTGTGTCTCGATTATGAGATTTTCGATCCTAGTCTCTGGAGCGGCATTTTACCTCAGCTGGCCAAGTTTGGCATGGTAAGCATGCATGGCTGCTCGTTTCATTAATTTGTGATCAACTCGTTCGCATTGTTTTCTCACATGAAACATTCCAAACGCTTGGTAGATGACGTTCCTTGCGGCAACCTTGACGAGGCTGAGCGGTGTGTCGGAATCGGCTCAAATCCCCTGCCTGCAGTCTGTGTGGCAAAACGTGCTGCTGAGCAAATCGATCGGTATGTCGCTACGTTGTTGCGTTTCATTGATGCATCTCGCAATTTGTCACTGACACTCCGTGATTTCTTTTGTTTTTTCTTTGATGGTTTATACTTGGATTTGCAGCACCGCAAGAAGCCACCTCTCTGTTTGATTGCTTCCCATCTTTGTTTGACCTTCGCTTGGAAGACTTGTTCGCAAGGGCAATGCAAGACGCGAACACTCCTGTTGCTCTTCGTTGTGCCGTCGCGGCCACGGGCGTGACTCGCAGCAAGATGATTAAGGTGGGGGATTTAATGGCTGGGCCGAAAACGCGTGTCTGTGATATTGCAAATCTCTGACAAATATGGCTGCATTGTCATCGAACACAACAGGACTTGCTGGAAGCCAAACTGTACATTGAAGTCCTTGATGGCATCGATCGCATGGCCGCTAGTCCTGCTCTCAAGGTAAGAGCGGGTGCAGGTTACAATTTTTTTTGGCATTGGTAGGTTCATGCCCTGACATATTCTGCAACTTTTATTGTGCAGAACGTCGTGTATGAGTGGGTTGACGCCCGTCAAGACTATGGCACCATTTTGCATTCGACGCATTTCCCTGAGTTTGTGTTGCACATGATTACCAACGATCGCATTGATAGCCTGCTGCGTGCGACCATGTCGGCCAATCGGTAAGCAGGAGGGATGTTCTGTCTGTTTCATGATCGAAGAAAGACGATTCTGACAACTCCTTTGCTCGGACAGATCGAATGAAGCTGTGGCTCTCGTCGAAAGGTATCTGAAGCTACGACCATTTTCTCGTTTTGCCTCTCATTTGGCAGACGTGACTCCGATTCCGTCGGGCATGGCTTTGGTTGAGGTGAGTGTATGCGAATTCCTGAGGTCGTCTTTGGTATGATGAGCACTCTCTGACTTGGATGTCGCATTGAAATCTGCTAGGCTTATTTGAACCGAGCATGAATATTTTTTGAACCGAGCATGAACAGTTTTTGAACCGCGCAAGAACATTTTTTGAAGCGAGTTTGTCGCCCTGTTGATACATAAATTGTAAAACCTGTAAATTGTACTCTTAGTTAAGCTTTCAGTTTTCTGATTTTTTGACGGTCACGAGCGAAACAAACGCATTTCACTCTTCAACTGCATGGTCGGCTCGCACAAAAAATTTCAAACACACAAAAAAACCGCGCGCTACTGCACGGCTGCAGAAGGCGCCTGGCGCCGAAGGCTAGAGTTGGGGCCCCGAGCCAGAGTCAGTGTGCCATTCGGAGAGCCAGGACCTTGAGCAAGCGACCCGGATTTGGCTCGCCTCAACGAGGGATCGGGGCCTCGCGCACAAGAACCGACAGCAGATGCAGCGCTGACCAGATTGCTGGCTGCAATTGTAGCAGTCGTCGCCGCAGTAGAAGAACTGGCACCAGCGGCTTTCGGGGCAGCACTGGTGACAGCAGACGAAGACGAAGCCGGCGCCGCCGAGGCAGGCAACGGACCCAGCAAGGAGTCGAGCATTGGTGTGTATTCAGTATTGGTATACTGGATGGGTTTGTAAACGGTGGGTTGGAAGGTTGACTTGTACGTCGACGCAATACCGGAAGCGGAAGGCTTGTACGATGCGGAAGCGGTCGCGGGGTTGTAGTTTGAGGCAACCTTCGCGGAAGAGGTGGCTGCGGTTTTCGATGCGCCAGCAGCATTCGAACCAGCGCCCTTGCCTTTCTGCTCGGTGGCTTTCTTGGCGGGGGCAGCGGTGGTCGCGCCTCCGACTCCCCCACGAGCAACTTTCTCGGCCGTCATCTTCACAAACGCCTCGACTTGGGCCTTCTTCTGCTCGGCAGAGACTGAAGAAGACGCAGTCGACGTTGAGCCTTGAGAGCGAGCCGTGCCTTTGTTGTTCGATCGGTCGATCAGGTGAGTCGATGAAACCTAGGGACAGCAGCCTGTACAAATAATGAAGGAAGCCACACAACTCACCAGCACTGGATGTTGAGGCCTTGGAAGTCGTCGTTGTTGTTGTCGCGGCAGAGACCTTGGCAGCTTCCTTGGCTGCTGAGATCTCTTTCATGAACGCCGCGAGCTCGGCCTTCTTTTGCTCGGCCGTCTTCTCTGGTGCTTTCCCAGCTGAGTGCGCCGTATTTGACGGGAATAGGCAGAATAAGCGACTGGACACCGAATTTAATACACCTGCACACTTGCGTCTTCTTACCAGCGCCGGAGGCTTTTTTTGGAGTAGCGGACGGCTGCGGAGGAGGCGAAGGAATGCGACTCGTCGTTCTCGCGGTGGTGCTGCCAGGAGCAGGAGGCGGTGCGGGGATGGAGCTCTTCGCCAGTGGTAGCGATGAAGTGCTGGAAGCGGATGAGCGTCTGCTGCCGTCGTCGTCAGAAGACTCAGCATCGAGAAAGCTCGGGTTTGGGAGGATGCTGGAAGAAATTCGCGAAGGGTTGACGGTCTGAACGAACGGCGATGACAAGAACAAGAACAGAAAAAACGGTTGAGAGAGTTGGCACATGTCCTTTTTGCGAAACGAACACTTTCAACCTGAGCGCACGCAATCTGAGCGCAGGCAATCTGAGAGCCGTGTCCAATGAACAAGCAAACACTTACGCCACTCGCTCTCGCTTCTTTGGCCTGTTCGGCCTTCCACTGTGCCATGATTTTCGCGTCATCTCGCGGATCATCCCAAGTTGTTTGCTTCGTGGTGTGGTTCATGTAAAACCTAACCCCAAACCACCAAAGTGAGCCAAAATTCAAAAGCTGCAATGTGAAATTGGTCAACGTTCCCTCTCGTGCTGTCGCGTTGTTTGCCAGCGCCTCACTTCACTGTGATCCTATGCACACACTGTTTGTTCATGTGCCTTTTTGTGTGTTTTTGCTCTTTCCTGCTCGGGCAGAGCGAACGGGTGTTGGCATACCATTTCTTAATGCGAGGATCAAAGCGCGCTTCCCAGAACGGCGGCAGCGGATTGTCGTCGGACTACCACGCCGCGGCAGCAGCGTCATCATCGGAATCGTCGTCAGAATCAGAATGAGAACCAGAATCAGAAGAAGTGGTGGCGGCGCGGACGTCAACGTCGAGAGACAGAGCGGGAATACGTCACAGCAATCACAACAGACACCCGGAACGTCCGTCCGTCAGCCAGCCGGGCAAGACAGCAAAAACCCAGCGCACGGAATGAGAATTGGGATGAGAATGAGATGGACAAGAACGGATGGCACAGAATGAATGAGTCTCACATAGCATTGTAATAGAGCAAAAAGTACAAAAGTGTGAACGAAGAGTTTGTGTTTGCTGCTTTACCGGACCGCCTGCCATTGTCGCTTTGAATGATGATGATGAAGATGAGAGGAGTGATATTAGATGCAGCGATTGAGAGTGATGAGATGACTACGAATTTCTGTGAGTGCAAGATGGTTCCAAAGTCAGAGCAAATGGAAACAAAATCCGTGCTGCTTTGATCTGGGCTGCTTTGAGCTGAGCTGCCAATCTGGTGAATGAATGAATTGCAGCACTGCTCGAGCAAGCAAATCAACGAACAACGGGAAGGGAGCGAGTCGATCTGAGTAAGCTCATCCTTCAATCTCAGTCTTTTTGTTGCATCTGAGCAAAACACCCAAAACCGAATGTCGTCCGTCTACAAGGTGCTTGTTGGATTTTGTTGCAATGGACATGTTGAACAAACTGTCTGTCGCTCACAACCACCAACTCCCCCTTTTTGCTGATCAGACTAACGCGCAGGGCGAGACGGTGATTGCCGCGTCACGGCGCCCAGACGGCACCATGCGCAAGGAGCGACGCGTCAAGGCCGGGTGAGGTTTCGCTGCTTTCCTCCGTTCCCATGCGCGCGCCCCTCTCCCTCCCCCCTCTACAAACAAGAAACAGAGACAGAGCAGAGCCACAAGTCCAAAACTGAATGACACGGGGAATGGAGCATCAGCGTCCGTCCGTCTTGGAACACGAAATCCTCGCTCTCCAGACAGTCCATCGCTCACTTGGAAGTGCCATGTTTGACACAGATACATTCCGCAGGCAGAGCAGCCCAAGTATGTCAATCCGATGCGCGCGGATGAACCTCCTGTGGTGAGTAGTACTCTTTCGATGGTTGGATTGGCTTTTTGAATGAATTTCACGAACGCATACATGCTGCTTTCAACAACACTTCGCTCGAATGACTAGATTCCTGGGCTCAAGCCTGGAATGACGGTCGAAGACATTGCGGCGCAGAATCAACAGGCCATGTCCAAGGCTGCCAAAAAGAATGCCAAACGCAAGGAAAAGAAGAAGCAAGGCCAAGACGGCGAGGGAGACGACGACGAAGATGTCTCGCAAGTTTCAGACCAGGTGCAGCAGATCTCGCTGGCTGAGCAGGCTGAGATTGACAGTCTTCGCGCCGCTGCCTTCCCCGCCGGGTCGATCGGTCGAAAGGCTGCTGATTCGCATCCGGGCGCGTCGTCCTCTGCCGCTGCCGCTGCTGCTGCCGAATCCTCCACAGGTGAAGACCTGTCCGATCCTGCTGCGCAAGCTCGGCACTTGCGAGGGTTGAAGAAGAAGCTGCGACAGATTGTTGAGCTTGAAGAATCGCTCAAGCGCACCCCCGACGCAGCTCCTGATGCCAATCAGCTGGAAAAGCTTTCGCGTCGCCAAGCTATTGAAGAGGAGATTGCTTTGCTTGAGAAGCAAGCATGACATGACATGCGCTTCTCGACAATGATGGGTGCCCGTTTTCAATAACAACAACAACAATAACAAAAAAACAATTGAACAACACATTTTCTTCATTCATTGATCAAACAAAAATACAACACTGCTCACTCAGAAGAGAAGCGGGGATGGGAGCGGGGGGAGGACACCAACCAAAGCGAGGTGCACACAACCAATCAACGAGACCAAGCTAAGGGCCACCCCACAAGGAAAACAAAGCAACCGAAAAAAAAAATACATCCAATCTCGAGCAGTTCTATTCAAAATGCAACACTCAGTTGCGCGGCTTCTTGGAGACGGCCACAGGGTTGGCCTCGTCCTCTGCGTCATCTTCTTCGTGAGGTCGCTTGCTGCGAGAAACAGCCTCAGCCACTGGAGCGGCGGGGGCAACGCTACGAGCAGCCACGCGGCGATACAGGTCGTCGACGCGGGCAGTGACAGCCTCGTCTTGCAGCCAAGGGTGCTCGAGGGCGGCGGCGGCAGTAAGACGCTTGCTGGGGTCGACCTGAATCAGTTGCTTGATCAGGTCGACGGCATCGGGCGACACGTTCTTCCAGTACTCTGGAATAAAGTTCAGAATGCCCTTGGTAATTTGCTCGTGCAGGGTGTGGGTTGTAATCTCCTCCGAGAACGGGGGATAGCCGCAGAGACAGATAAATAGAATGACACCGAGCGACCACATGTCGACAACGTTGCTGTAGGCCTTCTGGCCGGCGCCAATCAAGACCTCGGGTGCGAGATAGTTGGGGGTGCCGCAAAGCGTCTGCATTCTGAATTGGTTGGCATCTCCAACAAGCTTTGCAAGCCCAAAGTCGCTGAGCTTGATCAGAGTGTCGTCGTCCACTTGCGTGATGAGAATGTTTTCGGGCTTTAGATCGCGATGCGCAATGTCGTTGTCGTGCAGCAGCTTGACGGCCAGCAGCATTTGGCGGAAGAGGAACTTGGCCTCGGCGTCCTTGAATTTGCTCTCCTTGACAATGAGATCAAACAGCTCGCCACCGTTCACGAGCTCGAGCACAATGTAGAAAGTGTTGGGTGTCTCGAACATGTCAAACACGCGGATGATGCTGGGATGCGAGATGGTGCTCAAAATGCGGCCCTCAGACAGGACGCTCTCCTTTTGCTTTGGCGTGTTGGCCTTGCTCTTTGGAATGATTTTGACGGCAAACTGCTCGCCCGTCGCGCGGTCGACGGCCAGCTTGACCTCGCCAGACGCGCCGCGCCCAAGCACTTTCCGCAAACCAAAGCGTGCGTTAATCTCATCGCAGTCGGTCAGAGTGTCGCGATCAGCTGCGTTCGAGAGATCGTGGAAGGAATAAATCTTGCGCTTGGGGTGCGCCACGCTAATTTCGTCGCCGTGATTCAAGACCTGGCGCTTGCCCTTGCCCACCTTGCGGTCGTTAATGAACGTTCCGTTCGACGACAGGTCCTCGAGGAAGGCGAGCATGCTCGACCCTTGGTCGTCCATCTCCTGGAAGATTCTGCAGTGCGTGTTGCTCGCCGACGGGTCTTTCAAGAGGAAATCGGACGAAGTGTGACGGCCGAATACGTAGCTGGCAGCGATCAGGTCTGCTCAACATCAAATCAAATCCAATCAACAAAAAAAACGTCAGATCCTTATTGTTGTGCGCACAAAATCTAAGAAGTCAACCTTCTTTTGGAAAAATGTTTTGTTCGGTTGTTGCGTTTGCTGCTTGCACTTTGTTGCTGCTGTGTTTGTTGTGTTTTTTGTATGTTTCGCTCTCAATCAGACAGACAGATGAAGAAAACGAGCTTTTTGGTCTTCAAAGCAGAGGAGATTTCCCGCCAAAAAAAAAAAAAAAAAAAAATTGCAAGATCACCACAAAAAAAAAAAGGCATTGAAAAATGGGGATGAGCGACGGAAGCGAGGGCGGGCGGGCGAGTGAGACAGAATTGACTGAGTGAGTGAATGAGTTGGCGAGTGAGTGAGACGAGGGGTGAGCGATCGAGAAGCCAAACGCAACAGAGCGAGATGAGGGTCAAAGAGCTGAGAAGCAAGCAAGACAGGTTTGCGCGCACAAGAGCGACCGACCCACAGCGGCTGGAGCAAACCCCCCACGTCAGCACAAGCATGAAGGAGAACGAAAGCAAGGCGGTGGATAGGGGGTTACCGATGGAGTGGTAGTCTTGGTGCAGTGGAAGAAGCTGAGCCCAGGGCCGCTCAACCTCATTGATGTCGGCGTCCGGCGGCGAGTGCAGCTCCTGCGTCATGCCAACCTCGGGCGTCGGATTCACTTCCTCAAGCGACGACGACATTTGTTTGTTCTGGACTTGGATGGAAACTGGGGGAATGGAGGGCAATGAGAGATCAACTGGAAGAAAAGAACAAGTGTGATCTCTGCTCCACTCAGAAAATGTCGACTGAAGGGTCAGGGTTTTTTGTAATTACCTGACAGTGGACTCGCTATAACGAAACTTGGATGGAGCCAAGGGAGAGAGAGAGAGAGTTGGAGAGCGAGCGAGATGGAAACTGCATTGCCGACTTGCTTTTGCTTTTGCTGTTTCAATCACGGCACGGTCGGTCGGTCGAGCTCGGTCGTTGTTGTTTTGGATTGCCGTTGCATTGCACTATTTGTTAGATTCAGGGTCACAGTCAACAATCATCCTCCCCTTCCTTGGCATTTACGTTGAAAATGGCTCACAGCCAGATCGTCACCTGCATTGACGAGCTCGAGCAGCACGCGCGCACGCACCTTCCGAAGAACGCCTTCGACTACTACTCGTCTGGCGCCAACGACCAGCGCACACTGGCTGAAAACCGCGCGGCGTTCTACCGGCTGCGATTCCTGCCTCGGATTCTGCGCGACGTGTCGCAAGTGGACCTCGGCGTCTCGCTGCTCAACGGCACCCAGACGCTCGCCTCGCCCATCTGCATTGCTCCGACTGCGATGCAGCGCATGGCTCATCCCGACGGCGAGATTGCCACTGCTCGAGGTGAGAATTTCCGTTGCCCGCTTTTGAGAATCTGGGCCGGCCAAACGGATTGCAACTCACCAATCATTCTGAAACATTGTACTTTGAAAACTCACACAAACAAACATCCGAGCTCAGCCGCTGCTGCTTCAGAGTCGCTCATGATTTTGAGCTCCTGGTCGACGACGTCCATTGAGGACGTGGCCGCTGCGAACGGAAATGCCGGTGCGCGCTGGTTTCAGCTCTATGTCTACCGAGACCGTGCAGTCACCGCCCAGCTCGTCAAGCGCGCCGAGCAGTCTGGATACACTGCACTGGTGCTGACCGTCGATACGCCAATTCTTGGGCGCCGCGAAGCGGATATCCGGAATGGATTCCGCCTCCCTCCACACCTCCGTCTCGCCAATTTTAGCGAGACTGACAGCAAGGCTACGGGAGTGTCGATCACTGACAAGAAGGTAGAAAGTGGGTGGTGATGCGTGTTCATCTCGGCGTGAGCGATTCAGCGCTCACCAGTGTGGATAATTTTGCGCGTTGTTTTTCGTGGAACAATTCTGGCAGGATTCCGGGCTCGCTGCCTACGTCGCGGCGCAGATTGATCAGACTCTGACATGGAAGGATGTCAAGGTAGTGATTGTGTTTGCATTGTGTTTGCATTGTGCCTGTCTTTGCTTCCAGCAGTCCTGTTGAATGTTCACCTTTGGATGTTTGATCTACAATCTCCAAGTGGCTGCAATCCATCACCAAGCTCCCAATCATTCTCAAGGGCGTCTTGTCACCAGAAGACGCGACTCTTGCAGTCGATCACGGCGTGCAAGGCATTCTGGTCTCCAATCACGGAGCACGGCAGCTGGATGGAGTGCCAGCAACCGTAAGCATCCGGGGGCCCCCTGTGTGTCGCCATTGTGTGTCTGTCTCTTGCGCGTTTGTTCAACGGCATTTAATGGATTCGACCTGTGGTTCTTTTTTTTTTTTTTTTTTTTTCCACCTTGGTGCGTGATTAGATTGAGGCGCTCCCTGGCATTGTCGCTGCCGTGGGCTCCCGCTGTGACGTTTATCTGGACGGCGGCGTTCGACGTGGCACTGACGTGCTGATGGCTCTGGCTCTGGGCGCAAAGGCAGTGTTTGTTGGCCGGCCAGTGTTGTGGGGCTTGGCGTACAAGGTATGTGAATGATGCCAACGGTTGATTAAAGGAGGCGCTTTTGCACTTTCATTCCGCGAACTTGCCTTTCACTTTGGACTGTGTTCCATGACAGGGCGAGGAAGGTGTGCAGATCGCCCTGACGCTTTTGCAACAAGAACTCAAGCTCGCAATGCAGCTGGCGGGGTGCTCAAAACTTGCCGACCTCACACCTTCCCTAGTCGTGAGTGCGTCTACTTACACTCATGCCAAGTTGTAGCCTGGATAATTGCAGCATGGATGGTGGTGTTCGGAGTCAGAATTCCCGAAATACAATCGATATTGAAAAGACAAAACTAGTTTCTTCGGTTTCGACTGGGCTTCCGGCGTTCAGAAGAAGGATCGCTTGGAGCGTGTCGGCCGCTTGAGGAAGACTCGCTTGAGGAATGGCGAGCGCTTCTTATTTGCTCATACGCGGTTCTGACAACAAAAACAGCACAATCAGGGTGTCAAAGATTAACATCTTGCTCGCTCCACATTCGACACGGATCGCAGTCTCACTCACTGTATCTTCATGAACTGGTCTGGACATTCTTCGCAGTCTGGATTTCTGTCCGGGTGACTATGTGCATGGTCAAAGGCGTGAGCGTTCGCATGCAAAATAAAGTTCGCTCTAGTCCCCTCCCTCTTCCCTCTTCCCCGCACCCCCATGCTCCCGAAAAATCGGAAGGTTGTGACTTTGATCAAGTTGCAACTTGGCTTACTATTGGAAGACTAACTCGCGGTATGCAGCCTTGATTTCTTCGCGCGTGGCGGTATCCTTGACTCCAATCGTGCGGTAATGCTCTTGCAGCGAGCGATGTCCCGGTACAACATGCCAGTTTGTCCATTCCTGTGCCAACAGTACCAAACAGATCAACTATGGTTCGTACAATCCTTGTATCACATCAGACTGACTGAGAGTTTGCGCCCAAGGCTCAACTAACATGATCGTCGTTGGCGTTCCAGCGAAATGTTTGATCGCCTTGCTGGATCTCAATTGTGCCATACTTGAACACGAGCATGAGGAAGACGAAGAGTAGCGCAATGAGGACGACAAAGCATCCGCAGCAGACGGCTCCGCACTTGCAGCAGCAGCGCAGCTGGCAATCAATGCAGGGACAGATCCAACGGGTGGTGAGCATACCAAAAGCCAATGCCAGGCAATGACATCACATCGAGATTTCGTCCATCACGGCATACGAGTTGACCCAGACAGCTGGATGCCGGCGTGGCTTGGCTGGAGCCCATAGTGCTGCCGCTGTCAGTCGGCGTGGACGTCGTGGTGTCTCCATCTCGACGCCGTTGTCTGAGTTGTTGCTCTGCAGCTAGTGCTTGATTTGCATTATTGGTTGCCATTGATTTGATTGGAAAGCAAACAAGGCTCAGTCTGAGTCGTCAGAATCTCAGCCGCGCGGTTTGCTTTCAGTATGAATGTTAAGGACTGCGTCTCACTCGATCTGATACAGTGATTTGTACTGCACCCTCGCGTTGTACAGTACTACAAAGCAAAGTTGCGAGCTCTCCATCAAAGTGTCTCAATCGAGCAATGGCAAGACTGCTCAGTCTTTGCCTCGATTTGGAATGACGCTCAGATTTCTCGCGCAGAGCGACTACCGGACGATGCCATGGAAGAACGGCCTCGGGACAACCACGGAGCTTGCCGTGTCACCTGCCGGTGCATCCATCGACTCGTTCGTCTGGCGCATCAGCGCTGCGCAAGTCGGCGCCGCTGGACCGTTCTCGTCATTTCCGGGGATCGCACGAACACTCCTTCAAACAAGTGGCACCCCAATGACCATCACATGCACGACCAAGGATGAGGATGCAAGTCTGCCACGCACCATTTGGAACCATACAATGCAACGGCTACAGCCGATCACCTTCCATGGCGAAGAGCAGGTTGGCTGCACTCGTCTCGACGGAGTGGCAACCGATTTCAACGTCATGACACGCCGGGCGCAGTGTCAGTCCACGACGTCCGTTCTGGAGCTCATTTCGGGTGGGTACTTCTCACGAGTCGTCCCAGGTGCCACTACCTGCTTTGTGCACGCTTTGAGTGGCGAGATTGCTGTCCAGGTCGTTTCTTGTTCGGTCGACAACCCACCCAAGCGTGTGCGTCAGGTCTCACGAATCGGCAGTGCTCGAGCCAAGTGCTGGGACGACGAAGGACTCGATCGTGCTCGAAGTGCACTGTGCTCAACATGCGCGCTTCATTCTGGTCGAGCTGACGCCGAGTTCATGAATCCTGTCGCAGAGCGTGAGTGAGCGGTTTTATCAAAGTGTAATGTATCATCCAAGTTAGCAATGCAGATTTCACCATTTCCAAAAGAGTTCGCCGGTGAGCAGTCATTTGTTTTGCTGCATTGATTCAGCGTGCTTCCAAATGCTGTCGTACCAGAATATGACTGAAAAACAGCAACAGTTGTTTGACACGGTCGAGGATGCGAGTCAACTGCTCGAGTAAGCAAAAGCCGAAAATATTGGAAGGTGTACGTTGTGTGTTGACAGAGTGAAGCACAGCCTGTGCAAGAAACAGATTGGCAACGCTGACGCGAAGGCGGTTGCTGAAGCTATCAAAGTGAACACGACAATGACTGAGCTCAAGTAAGGCATCTCATGTTGACCGACACGTGTGAGTGGATGCTTCGTGCTCACTGGTGGAGGGGACGAGCAGGTTAGGTGGCAATCTGATTGCCGATGTTGGAGCGCGGGCGATTGCTGAGGCCGTCAGAGCGAACTGCACTTTAACAGTGGTCGAGTAAGGCATCTGACGTTTACCGATGCATGTGAGTGGACGATTCAGTCGAGGCATTCAGAGTACTCACTTATGGAAGCGACTGGACAGTCTGACAGAGAATCGGATTGGCGATGCTGGAGCGCGCGCATTTGCTGAGACACTCAAAGTGAACAATACTTTGACCAAGCTCGAGTACGTCATCTCTCTTTGACTGGCGCATGTGAATGGAGGATTGAAGCAGAGGGAATTCAGAGTTACTCACTGATCGAGAGGGATGGACAGTCTGGACGAGAATCAGATTGGCGATGCTGGAGCGCAGGCGATCGCTGAGGCACTCAAGGTGAACAAGACGCTGACTACGCTAGGGTAAGACATCTCAGAGCTACTGATGCATGTGAATGGGCAATACAGAGGACGAAAAGTGCTCACTGATGAGAGCAACGAGTAGTCTGTGGCAGAATCAGATTGGCGCTGCTGGAGCGCAGGCGATTGCTGATGCACTCAAGGTGAACACGACGCTGACTGATCTCGCGTACGGCAGTTCACTTTGACTGATGCAAGTGAGGGGTGATTCGGCAGATGGCATTCAGTGCTCATTGAGAGATGGGACTTGGACAGTCTGTACCAGAATAAGATTGGCGATGATGGAGCACAGGCAATTGCTGAGGCACTTGAGGTGAACACCACGCTGACCGAGCTCTAGTAAAGTCGCTCAAACTTACTGATGCATGCAAGTGGGTGGTTTCAGCAGAGACATGCAGAGTGCTCACTGATGGGACGGACAGTCTGTGGGAGAATCAGATTACCTGTACTGGAGCGCAGGCACTTGCTGAAGCACTCAAAGCGAATACGACGGTGACCAAGCTCGAGTAAGTCGCTCGTTTTGACAGAGGCATGTGAGTGGGTGACTTCCAGAGAGTAGATTCAGGGTGCTCACTGATGGATGGGACGAGCAGTCTGGGTTCGAATCAGATTGGCGATGCGGGAGCGCGAGCGATCGCCGAGGCACTCAAAGTGAACGAGACGCTGACTATGCTGTAGTAAGTATTGGGTTGTTTCAATATGCCCTCACAATCGCTAGACTCATGCTACATTCTGCAATGTGACCGACAAACACAGTTTGAACAACAACTTCCTGACAACTGACGGAATCGCTGCATTCAGGCAAACGGGCAATGCCATTTGTGACTTGGAGTAAGGCTTCACTTGCTTTGGCGCCATTGGTTTGTTTTGGTAGCCTTGACGACCAGCGTGCTCCTTCGAATGATGAATTGGCTCAGATTTTTGCTCGTACCAGCGCCGCGATCACTCGGACTACCACCCTTGAGGCCGAGAACCAGAAGGTCCGCTTCGAGCTGGCTGCCAAAGACCAGGAGCTCGCTGCCAAAGATCAGGAGCTGCAACAGCTTCGCTCCGATCTCGCTGCCAAGGATCTTGAACTGAAGTCAGCACTTGATCGGATTGACGTGCTGAAGCGCAACCAACCAGGTGTTGGCTCGGCAGCGAACTTTGACGGACCCATCCCGCGAGTTTCTCTCGCAACGCTTGTCACCGCCACAAACAATTTTGCTGCCAAGTATCTGCTCGGCGAGGGAGCGTTTGGTCGCGTGTACGGCGCCAGTGTGTCGGGCTCTCGTGTCGCCATCAAGAAGTTGTCTGCCGAATCCAAGCAAGGCTCTGCCGAATTCAAGTCGGAACTGCACTCGTTGGCGAAATTCCGCCACCCGAATGTTGTTGCTATTCTGTCGTATGCAGAGGACGGTGACGAGCGATGCCTGGTGTACGAGTTCATGCCCAATGGCTCTGTTCGCGATCGCTTGAATCGCAAAAACAACACTCCTCCGCTGACCTGGTCCCAGCGTCATCGCATTGCGGCTGATGTTGCCCGTGGCATGCACTACATCCAGGGAGCCTTCTCTGACAAGCCACTATTTCACTTCGACCTGAAGACCGACAACGTGCTGCTGGACGCGCATTTCAACGCGAAAGTGTCTGATTTTGGTCTCTTCCGCGCCGCCCAACACCTCGATGAGAAGAGCTACATTTGCACCCAGCTTGTGCAAGGCGCAGTTCCCCAGTTGGTGCAAGGCGCAGCTCCTTACATGTGTCCGGAGTTCTTTGAGGAAGGCCGCATGACCAACAAGACGGCTGTCTACGCGTTTGGCATGATTCTGCTGGAACTGTTGACTGCACTCAAGCCTAGCAATCGCCTGAAAGGAGAAACGCGGAAAGCTGTGAAAAGCCAAAAGTTCCTGGACATGCTGGACTCGGCCCTCAACCTACCCGAGGCAGAACAACCGAGTGTCAGCGAGATTGTCACGCTCGCTCTCGAGTGTCTTGACGATATCATTGATGATCGCCCGTCCTTTGGAAGCATCCTCACTTTGTTGGATTCTTGATGGCAAGCGGGGGTTGCTGTATTCGTGTTTTCGTCCTCGTCCAGGATTAATCCCTTGTAGATGTGATGTTTCGAACGTTCCTTCCTTCTTCATGCATGTCATTTCCGCACTCTTGTACCATGTGCTCTCGGTGAATGTTCTGGCACAGGTCGTGACTGTTGTTTCCTCGCTGTTTCCTGCGCCTGCTTTTTTTCTCTCGGTCAATCAAATGAAGTGTGCAGTCACTTCACATCAACGGTCGCATTTCCAAAATCAATACATGTATTCAAAAACTCGACAATCATGACAAAGTCAGTTTACTCTTCATTCTTTTTGCATCCGAAATAATGCCGAAACCGACCCCAGTCCAAACAACAGACGCGGTAACAAACACACTCTACAATGTGCACGTCCCAGGGCCTCCTCTGCCGCCCCTTCCCTTGCTGCCATGTTGTAGATCGATGTGGCAAGAACTTAATTCCAAACGCGCCGAAAGGTTTATCTCAAGTGGAGATGAAAGCGGCGCTTGGCGTTCATTTTCGGTGCGCTGATCGTTGATATTTGGTTTGGTTTGCTTTCCGTTGATCGCCTGTGCTTCAGCAGCCCACTGCCGCCAGTGCCGCTGCCGACGGCCTCTTCCAGCTCACCAAGCCAGCCGATGTGGATTCCAAAAGCGCCCTGTTGTGTCAGAACTCGAAAGCCGACACCCAATCGTCCGAGGTGGCGCTTGTGCCAGAGTCGGCGCCACGAGCAAATCAGCCGACTTTGCCGCCGCGTGCGCCGACGTCGTCGTTCCCGGTCGCAGCGGCTCCGTGGCCTGCTCTCTATGGCTATCCCGGATCACACCTAATGCCTGCATTCCCTTTTGCCTACGGAATGCCCGGAACGGCTCCGTTCTTTGGGCCCATGATGCCCCCAATGTTCATGATGCCGCCGCTTTGGATGCATTACGCCGCAATGAGCGGCTCCGCTTTTGCAGCCATGCCTCGCGGCCGTGTCTCGATGGGCGACCGGTGCGTACCTGAACCTGCCTTTGGCACAGCGGCTCCGCTGGAGAAGAGGCAGCCCGAGCCCTTCGCGCTGCCCGCTGAAGGCAAAAATCAACGCCAATCCAGCAAAACCCTCAACCCGGATTTGGCAACAGGGCTGGAACGAATGGGTCCGAATGCCCCGCCGTTGCAAGTTCGCAAGCTGTCCAGTGTGTCTGAGTCTACCACCCCGCTCCAACAGAATGAGGTGCTGGCCAAGAACGTGCCAGAACATCCAACATCCCTTGCAGAATCCAAGCCGGAAGACATGCCTGAGCTTGGAGAGCAAACAACGATTCCCGTGGACAATGATATCCGTTTGCAGCAGAGCGACGACACGTGGAGGGCGGACGAGGATGATGGAGATCTCGAGGACGAGTTCATCCAAACGGATGCCGACCGGACAGGCGCTGCCGACATTGTCCCTGGTTGTGCACCAACCGCACTTGACTCGTCGTCCCTATTATGGTCCGGGCAAGCGCCATCCCAAACCATGATGGTGGACTCGTTCCAGCAAGTCAGTCAAGCGCGTCGCTTTGTTGTGCGGCCTCATTCTTCACAAGTTCAACGGCAGCAACCGCCGGTCCCTCGCCCTGCGGGTGGCGTTGCCCGGTCAACGCGATGGCGCACGTCCAGCATTCTGTCCAAGGACACTCAGCTCAAAGTTGCGCGTGTTCTGTTTACCGATCGCGATTCGGCCTCCAGAGCTCCGCTCGCAGCTGAGGATACGCCCGAACGCACGGGTCCACAAAACTCAGATCGTGGTAGTGAAACTGCCAGTGACTCTGATCCACCAATGCGCCTGTCGGTGTCCATGACCAACGGTCACCTCCAGCTTGTTTCCAGGCGAGTGCGCCTCTCGCCGAGCGCCATTCAGTCGTTGGAAGGTTCGAGGCACGCATCGCCGCCCTCCATGTCCGATCCAGCATCAGCGATCCTCCATTGGAACAAGAGGAATCTGCAAGACTTTGCATCCAAGTAGTCAAAGTGCCGTGTCGTCGTTCGACTGATTTTTGTGTTTCTGGTTTTCGTCGTGTAGTTTGCTTCATTGTTTTCAACGAACACGACGCTTGTGATTTCAGATCTGACGTTGCTCCCTGCAGACTTGGTGTTTCAATTCAGTTGTACTTTTTGCCATTGGTTCATTCATTTATTTTGCACCCCCACTCTGATCAAATGAGCCAAGCAGCGTCGGCGCGGAAACGCAGACCGGTCGCGTATGCGACTGGCGACTCGGACAGCGATGGGAGCGTTGCCTTTGAGCCAAGTCCACGACGCCGCACTCACAAGCCCGTGAGTGATGATGATGATGATGATGACGACGACGACGATGACGACGACGACGATGACGCCGCCGCTGAGGAGGACGATGACGAGGATGACAGCGAAGAAGATCGATTTGGCGGGAAATCCAAGCCACAAGTCAAACGCGTCCGCCAGTCGTCTGCCGCTGCTGCTGGTGACGATACCAGCACCAGTGGAGGCAACCGTCGCGGCAAGAAGAAAACCTCTGTGCTGAGCGACGCCGACGAAGACGAGGAGCAGGAGGACGACGACGACGGCGATTTTGACGATTTGCGCGGGAAATCGGCTCGCTCATCTTCCACTCCAAAGACCAAGCGCACTGGTGAAGCGGCGGCTCCGCTTCGGCGCGCTGGCAGCAGTGGTAACACGATGGGTGTCAATTCTGGCACCGTCGCGGTGCTGTCCAAGGCGTCTGTGTCGAAACGCAAGGGGCCGCTCGCCGTGGCTTCAAAAGACGCTGCTGTTGTGCTTCAAGAAGTGAACAAGCTGGCCAAGGCACAGCAGCAATCTGTCAAGCACCGAGCGACGTTGGAGGAGCTTGGAATTTCTGATGGTATGAGAAACGTTTCAAAATTGGTTGGAACGCTCTGAACGCAGCTGCTCACGCAGAATGACGTGCGTCTGCACAGCTCGTGAAGTCGCTGTGATGGATGATGCTGATGTTGCGCAGACAATCGAACGCATTGTGATTCAAGCTGCTCAGTCCATCTTGGCTGGCACAGGTACGCGTTCGCCCTAGCATGTTGAACACTCTTGACTTGCGTACAAAAGTGTTGTTTGGTTCTCATCCGCAAACCTACCACAGGCTTCTCATACGATGTACCTTCTCGCGCCAGCTCCAACCAGCTCTATGTTCCTCAACTGGAACGCATTGTGCTGAAAAGTGCAGTTTCAAACCGCCCGTTCAGCAGCACGGCCACTGTCCGGTGAGGTCACTTTTTGTTTTGGGTTGTTGTTGACTTTGCTTTTTTTTCTCGTCAATGTCTCATTGCTCCCAAGCATCCGCCTTAACTTTTTGACGTGTATCCTGTATCTGGTTGCTTGGTTTTGTTTTTGCGTTTACTTTGGTTTAGCAAAACCGCGATTACAACTCGCGTTCTCTCGCTGGTTCATGAGGTCCTCAACAAACGCATTCACATCACAAAGCGTGATCTGTTCTACACGGACGTCAAACTGTTCGAAAAGCAGAATGATTCCGATGCCGTTCTCGACGATGTTGCCTGCATGATTGGCTGCACTCGTACCAGCTTGAACGGTAGCGCCTTTTGACAGTCTTGTTCTGCTTGTTTCGGGTGGCGTTTTCTCACTCTATGGCTGCTGCTTATGTTGTCCTACTTTTAGTGGTTGCAAGCGAGAAGGGCGTCGTTATTGGTCGAGTGACATTCCGCGATGATGGTACGTGCTGACTACGACGATGGAATTGGGTTTGATGTTGACTGACTTGCCCATGCCACTGTTTTCAGGAGACTTTATCGACTGTACTAAAATGGGCGTTGGCGGCAAGGTAGATAAGTTGACTATGCAAGTTTCGAAAATTGTGTCGCTTTTGACTCACGCGTGTGCTTTTCATCCCCAAGGCCATTCCCTCGCTGATTGACCGCATCACCGATTTGCAAGGCGACGCTCAGTTTGTATTACTAGTCGAGAAAGATGCTGCATTCATGCGTCTCAGCGAGGATCGTTTTTACAATCAATACCCCTGCATCATCATCACTGTGAGCGGTCTGAAAGAGTTGAATTCTCTTGTTGTTCGGCGTTTTCCAATTCGCTCTCCTCATTGAGTGTCGTTTGGTACTTGGTCTGTAGGCACGTGGACAACCTGACGTTTCAACTCGCTTGGTAAGTCGAATGGCAGCACGTTTGTCCGGGGACGCGGGGGGGGTGCGGCGGAAAGATTCATGCTGCATGTGTATACTCACCTTTAGAATGTGACTGTCCCCAGTTTTTGAACATGGTCAAGACGCGCCTCAACATTCCTATCCTTGGGCTCGTTGACAGCGATCCGTACGGCTTGAAAATTTTGTCCGTCTACCTGAGTGGATCCAAGAATATGTCCTACGACAGTGCCAGCTTGACAACGTCAGATATCAAGTGGCTGGGAGTGAGGCCGTCTGATTTGGAGACGTATAATATTCCCAAGGCAAGTCATCCCTGCAAAACAGGTGTCAAACTCTTGCATCGTTCCGTTCACTCACGCGTGTGCGGCTGTTTTTTGCTTTTGTGTATTCTTGCAGGAGTGTCGCCTTGACATGACCGAGTCCGACATCAAGTACGGTCAGGACCTGCTAAAAGAAGACTTTATCAAGGTACCAAAACAGGGTTCTTGCAAAGTACGAGGAAGATGCGGTGCGCAGTTTGTTTCTCACGTGTCGTTCCTGTCATGTCGCGCCACCTCGCTCTAGAACAACCCGGCGTGGATGGCAGAGTTGGAACTCATGCTCAAGACCAAAGAAAAAGCCGAAATTCGTACGTCAATTGCAATTGTGTTACACGCTCTTCTACCATGTGCTCAACAACCCGTCTGTTGTTTGGTGTAGAGGCGTTGAGTAACTTTGGCTTTCAGTATCTCACGCAGACGTACCTGCCGCTCAAGTTGCAGCAAGGCGACTGGATTTGAACGTTGAGCACGCAAATGTGCTTTTCTCGTTTCTATCGTCACAGTTCCAACATGTTCGAGTACAGCAACATTATATAGTAATTCTTGATTCAAAGCTAATCAGACCGACTGGGTACCTACTGGGTGGGGCTTGAGCTGGCGTGTTCAGCGCAATGTTGACTTCGCTTTCACGGCGTCTCACATTGCCGTCCTCCGAGCATCCATGCAGTGTAGTGTTGCGTTTCCGTCTGTAGAGGTCGTGTGCACACCCACCAACGACATGGCTTGTGAATTTCCGGGTTGTCTGAGGTTATTCGCAGATGTTGTCAATTCTCAGCACTTCAGCCCATCGTAAATTCAACAGGTCCTTCGGTCAAAAGTGCGCTCCTCCTAACTCGATAAAGTTCACTCTTTTCGCCTCACAAAACAAAAACCTCCCCCGCAATGTCGTGGCTGTCTGATCTGGCAGGCCGAGCTGAGCGGCTGCTCGACTCTGTTGACCGGCAGGCCAACGAGACGCTCAAGAACAGCGTTCCGCTCTCGCTCGGTCTCAGCACCTCGACCTCTGGCTCTGGCTCTGGTTCTGGATTTGGATCTGTTGGCGATGGCGACGGTGATGGCGATGGCGGGTGGCAGCCTGAGGCCGACGAGAGTGTCCTGCTCGCCGCGCACGGTGACGACGACGCTGCCAACCTCAACCACAGCCACGACCACCACAGTAGCAACAGTGGTAGTAGTAGTAGTAGTGGTAGCAATAGCGTTAGCACAAACCAACCGAGTCGACCAGATGAGCTCGGTGCGCCTGGCTCAATCTTGACTGAAGCAGGCAAGTCAAACGGTTTTTCTGGGTTTGCTTGGAACGACATCACCAAATCAATGTCGGATGATTGCTTCACTGATGTTTTTCATTGAGGTGCTCAATCTGCTTTGTCTTTGGCGTCAATGATGGCGGGTGCGGGGCGGGGGTGCAGGCGCTTTGGTAGGACGAACAGAGTTGGCTGATGCAGACACTGCCACTCACTCGATGGGACATGCTGGTGCATCAAAGCCCAGCCGGGCTGCAGAGCCGACGACAGTAAGGACGGACGCGAGCGCTCATGCGACCACAGGCAGCGGCAGAGTTGCAGTTGCTTGTGTACCAACGCCAGCCCTCGCTGCCTCTGTCGCTCCCGTTGCGCAACGCCAGCCCTCGCTGCCTCTGTCGCTCCCGTTGCGCAGCACCCTGTGGTAGCTAGTGTGCAGTCGAGTGATCATGCTGAGGTTGGCGCGCACTCTGCGGCATCGTTAGCCGCCACGTCTACTCCCGCCAGCCATGCCAGCCACGCTGTCTCGACCGCGGATGAAACTGCAATGCTTCGAAACGAAATCAAGTCGTTGAACGAGGAGATTGCACTGCACGGCCGACGCTCCAAGAACATGCAAATCAATCTTGACGAGGCGCGGAAACAAATCTCTGTTGTGGAACGTCAGGTTGCCGCGAAAGAACAGCAAGTGCGCGAGCAGACATTGCGCGAGGAGCAGTTGCATGGCCAGATCAAAGACCTCGAGCGCCAACAGCAGGCATTGAAGGCACAGCTGCTCGAGTCGGACAAGATTCTTTCGCTGCGGGACAACACCATTACTGATTTGCAAAAAGTCAAGCAAGATGTGCTCCACGATCAAGCCGCAGTTGCAGAGGTTCAGTCGTCTGCGTTTGAATCGTTGAGAGCTCGATTGGTGGAGGCTGAACGCCTTCTGGACGCTGAGACTCAGCTCACAGCCAGCCTCAAGCAGGCCCAAATCAAGACGCGCGCCGAAACCGACGAAGTGCGGCTCGATCTTGAGCGCCAGCTCACCGTTGCACACACAGCAGCACAAGATCAGATGACTCAGCTTGGCCAGTTGAAGCAGACGCTCGCTGCTCAACGGTCGGACAACGATACGATCAAGACGGAGTTTGCAGAATACAAGAATCGCGCCGCCAAGGTTCTTCAGGTATTTTTTTTTTGTTTTTGCACGACGCGCTTGGCATTCTTCGGCGTCTTTGTGTAGTGCTTGTTGTTTGGTACTGCTGCGATCTCATTCATTCTGTGTGCCGCTCCTTCTGCAGACAAAGGAAAAGGTGATTGCTGACATGCGGCTGCTTGCCGAAACATCCTCGACTTTAATGAACTCTGGTCCCGGCGCCGAGGCTGCCCGATCAGAATTGATTGCGGCTCAACGCGAACGCGACCAGCTGTCGGAAGAACTCAATGAAACACGGTTGCAGGTGTCGCAGCTGCGTTCACAGATTCAAGTATGAGACCCAAATGTGACTGCATGGTGCTTTCTCCTTTGAGAGGCCACCTTGCTCAATCCCGTGGGATGGTTTGTTCTGTTGCTCTACACTAGGAACTCGAAACTCAACATCAAGCAGAAACGGACATGCTGCAAGATCATCTTCACGAAATTGAAAACGCTGCGCAAGAAGAAAAGACCAACCACACCAATTTGCTTGCCGATATGCGCGCCCGAGTTGAGGTGAACAAAAAAGCAATGTGGCTGATGTTTTGCTCCGTTGTAAGCGACCCCTGTTCGAAGGCCGCCTAACGTCCTTTGCTTTTGCTTTTTTTTCTTTTTTGTGTGTGTTTTGCCTTCCCCCCCCCCCTTCCCCGCAGGACGCTGACTTTGCTCGCAATGAAGTATTCAAGCAAAAAACGGCATTACAAGCCCAATTGCTGGACCGCGCTGCAGAAATCGAGCGACTCCATGCACAGGTTTGTTTGACGCTGAGAGGTCTCTGTTTTTCGATGTGTACTTTTGATTGTTTGCTTGTGGCTGACTGGCTGGCTGCTTTGAACTTTGAACATTCATTAGCTTTCTACCAGAACCAACAATTCTGTCAATCAGGTTGATCTCGAGAACAGATTGCGCACGTTGACAGAGAATCTCATTCGCAAGCAGACTGAAATCGAGACGTTAATGTCCGAGAAGAACTCATTGCACCTTCAGCTCGAGACGGAACGCAACAAGGTAAAAATGCTTGACTTTGCAGATGATGCTTTTGCGCCAAAAGCTGTGTCAAGGCGGCTTACTCTTCATGAAAATCCTTGTTGCAGCGTGCGAAAGAGGTTCGCTTGCAGATTGATCATCCCCCAGCTGCGAATAGCCTGGAGGAAGACAGTAAGTTCCTCACCCTGTGCCGGTGTCACATTGTCGATTTAGAATGTTCTCGAACGGCACTATTTGTACAGATACCAAGTTGCGGCCCATTTCTTCCATCATCCCTGCTGCAATGGAGGCCAGGCCGAACGCAAACCTCACGCGACGAGTTCGCCAAGCCGCTACTGTGTTGGATACGTTCAGGTTTGTGTATTTTGGTTGACCGATTGGCTGGAGGCGCACAGCTCAGTTTGTTTGTTTGCTTGTTTGCTTGTTTGTTTGGCTCGTTTTGCTTTGCAGCATTCGTCTCGGTCGGTTTTTGCGCATTTATCCCATGGCGCGTGTTTTTGTCATCTTCTACATGGTAAGTTCAACACTTTTACAGAATGTCCGCTGCCAGGATGAGCAAGTCCAACTCTCTGACTTTGCATTCTGTGACTTCGTGTATGAAATTTGCAGCTTCTCTTGCATCTATGGGTGATGATTGTACTATTCACATATTCTCCGGAGCTGCACAGCGCGGGCCATGAGGGTGTTGAACCAATCGACCCCTTCCCTCGATAGTCGACCTGGTCGTGTCATTTGACGTCAGTTGTTTCTTGTATGCGTTGTTTTGTTTTGTGTTTTTTAATTATATATATCTATATTTCTTTTTTCTTTCTTTTCCTGCTCGATGGCAAGCGGAAGGCTAATGTTAGAAAAACGTTCAAACTACTGAGGGTGCATGTACGGGTTCATCATGCTGCCTGGCGGCAGGTACCCGACCGACGGCGGATACATGAGCTGGCCGTTGGTTGGTTGTGGATGGTTTCCTTGAGGATACATTAACGAACCAGCAGTGGCTTGCGGGAGGTTGTGCATTGGATACGGAGCATACGCAAGCGCCATGGGTGCGGAAAAGTATTGTTGCGCCATCATTGGGGGCTGCACGGCACTCGAAAACGCGTAGGCCGCAGGAATTTGCTGTGGCAAAATCGTTGGCTGAGCTTCTGGTGCTAAAGGTTCAACGACAGGTTGGGTTGTAGCCGGGGCGATGGCGACAGGCTGCTGCTGTTTCTTGCGAATTCTCATAACAATTTTCGGTTTGAGACTGAGCGATGTGTCTGGGGCGGCGGCTTCGAAGGATGGACCTGGCTGGGCAATGGATGGTTCGATGGAGGTGTTTTCTGCTGGTGTGTTTGATGCTGGAGTGGCAGCCGTGATTTCTGGGCACATTTCAAGCAACACAAGCAACACAAGCAAAAAAAAAAAAAAAAAAAAAAAGGAAATCAGCATAAACTTGCTTCAAACGACCGACTACATGACAGTCAACAGCATTGGGACAACATGACTTGACTGCATCGAGCGGAAGGCGTACCTTTTTCTCGCTTGGCCATCAAGCGATGTTGGCGGCAGAGCGACTGGTGACTGGCCTTTGAGACGACGGCTGTGCACTGCACTTCGCCGATTCGCTCGCGGCCACGGCCATAGTTGCAATATCGATACCCGGACGTGACATCGAGCGGTGCGTGGTCCAAGCAATACGCGCATGCCACAATCGGCGGTGCGGAGCATTCTGGCAGCGCGCACTTAGCGTCGGCTTGTACTTCGATTTTCGGAGTCGCACGCTTCTTCGAGGAAGGTCCTTCTGCAGCGGCAGCTTTGTCGTCGTCGCTGAGTGACGGCCCGGCTCCATTGCCTGTCGCGGGTGCAGCCGATTTTTTGGTGCGTTTACTTGAGCCGCCCGCCGCGCCAGTGGCTGTCACTGAAGCGGGATTGGGGAGGACTTTTTGTGCAGCAGGAGTTGTTTCCTCCTCGGATGAGAGCAGGGCGTCATCTAGTGCGGTGTCAAACGAGGCGAGCAAGTGAATACGACAAAAAGTTGAAATTGCAACAACATGCTCCAACAGCCATTCCTACCGGATTCTGACGTGCCAATGTCATCATATTGCAGCAACCGGTCTAATACATAACTAAAGTCGGGTACAGACCATAGATGAGCCTCAAGCGGAACCTAATGCCAAAAAACCAAATCGAAAAGCGTTGCGTATCGTACTGTTTCTTTCGCGTGAGGTGTAGAATCTTTCGCTTTTCCTTGCGAAACTCGCGCAGTAGCACTTCTTGCTCCTGCTCGCAATCGAGTGAGTGAAAGCGCTCTACGGTTACAGTATGAGGCTCAAACGCCATCTTCTTACATAGACAAGTCCGCGCAACGCCCGTTTGAGGATGCGATACTTGTGCATTTGTTTCGCTGGAATGTGAAACAACCAAGTCATCGTGATCAATCAGCAAGCAATCGTTGATCATGATGACCGTATGAGTCGACGTTCCGCTTTGGCTGTCGAGTACGATCAAACGACCAATCTCTTTCAGTCAGTCCGGCGTTCACCGCGCCTTACCCATTCGCGCCCGCCGCAGTGCGATCGCGGGATGCTGCCACTCTCCTGGCGTCGACGACGATGGCCCTGTGGTTGTGGTGGCGTCGTTGTCGTCGCGGCGGTGGTCGTCGCCCTCGGCAAGTCGAGCTGCGTCGCTCGCCTCCGTCTGCATTGCCGCTTGCTCCTCTTGCCCAGACGGCTCCTGAGTGACACATTTGGCAATGACAGTGAGTGGCAATGCATTGGGGGGGGTGGGGAACAGTGCTAGTGTAGCAATGTTCAGTGCACCATTACCATGGATCGTCAACAAGACCAAACAAAAAAAAAAAGCGACTGAGAACGATTGGATTTCTCAGACTTTGCTCAGACTTTGCTCAGTCAGTACAGCACGATCTATGCCATCGTATAGATATACGTAGCATAATATTCAGTCGTGCAAAAATGGAGCAGCCTCCTGCAGCAGCAGCAGCAGCAGCAGCAGTGTTGCCAATGGCGCTGACGGAGCGGTTTCCAGTCGCCGTGCGCGAGGACGCAGCGCGAGGGCGGTACATGGTCGCCACACGCGCCATTGCTGCTGGAGAGACGGTCTTTGTGGCACTGCCCTATGCATACGCCGTGTTCACCAACTGCCGCAAGCGCGTGTGTGCGTTCTGCTTGCTGTACGACGAGCAGGGCCGCCTCTTTGAGCACTGCGCCATGTGCGACCAGGTCTACTACTGCAGCGCCCAGTGCCGCCAGCGCGACATGGACATTGGCTTGCATCAGCGACTGTGCCATGCTCTCAAGAAGACGGCCACCATGAAGGACGACCGGCATCTCTCGTCCATTGCCAGGCTCGTCGTCGTCATCCTCCACCGCCGGGCGTCCGCTGCTGACCTGCTCCCGCTCGGTATCGACGGCCGGTACGACACCCCGCCTGCTCATCTTCAGGCACGCGCCATTCGCACGGCGGCCGCTGCACACGCGGCGACTGGCTCAAGCGCGAGTGGTCTCGCTTCTGAAACAGAATCCGACCACAACGATGCTGCTGCTCCAGCAACTCCGACTACAACTCCGTCGACTACTCCTTCTGCTGGCGGCCCTACTGGTTCAGCCGCTTCGGAAGCGCCATCTGCCGCAAGTGTCGGCGATCTGGCCGCTCAAGGTCCGGTCTTGCAGAGAGTGCAAACGCAACCCAATACCGCGTCGTCGTCGAGCTCCGACCCCTCTCCAGCTGCAACGCCAAGCACGGAGCCTCAGCTGTCGCCGGAAGAACGCGCTGCATTGAAGTCGTCCATTGAGGACGTGTCTTCGCTCGTGTCTCATGTTGACAAATGGACGGTGCCGGAAGCGCAGGGATTCAAGTGAGTATTATTGTGAAACCAAACCTGCATGTGTGCTGTTGCGCTGTTGATCTCACTTCTGTTGCAATCTACTCTCCGTCTGCTTGTTTCGCTTTCCTTTTGATCAGGAAATTGCTCCGCTTCCTTGAAAAACATGTCGAAGCCGAGCTCATGGCTGGATTTCCCCTCAAAGATGTGCTGAAACTCGTGTCCCAAATCGAAAGCAATGGCTTTGGTCTGTGGGACGGCAAGGGCGAGTGCTATGCTCGAGGTAGGCGTGCGCAGCATGATTGAGTGACTTTCGACTTGCAAAGCGACCAACCACTTTTATTATTTGTATTGTTTGGGGGTTTGTTTGTTTGGTTGGTTTTTATTTGTGTTTGTTTTGAGCTCAGCGCTCTTCCCAAGTGCTTCCTTCTTCAATCATTCGTGCGATCCAAGCTGTGATCGTTACCAAGACAAGTTTTTGTTGTCGATTGCCACGCGTCGGCCCATTGCAGCAGGTGAGATTTTGCGCTCGTCTGCTTGGTGGTTTTGACTGACGACTCAAACCTGCTCATTGATGGTGCGCGCCTTGATCCCTTCGTTTAGGCGAGGAGCTTTCCATTTCGTACATTGACGTGAACGCACCCTGTCGGACTCGCCAACACGAACTGTTGGACTCGTACCACTTTCAGTGCTCGTGCACTCGTTGTGTCCGTGAGCTCGCGGCGCATTCTGCCGGATCCAAATCAAGAGATAAGGAGGAGCGCGAAAAGATTACCTATTCGAAGAGCGCCAAGCCCGGGAGCGGGACAAAGGGGCGCAACTCGGACAAGGCGAATCAGAAATTGCCCGCAAAAGCAAAACTAGGGATGGCAGGACCATCGACATTAGCGGCCGCACCCGGAGCGTCGTCAAGTAGCACCGGACCGACCAGTTTTATTGCACAGCTCAACCAAATGATGCAGAAAACTGAAATCTCCGATTCTGCTTCAGCGAGCAGTCCCAGATCTCATCCCAACTAGAAAAAGCAAAGCATAAACTTGAGTTGGAAACCAGACCACATCCATAGATTCGACAATACACACATTGAGGACAAATCACGCACGAATCAATGGAGCGCTCAAAAAAAAAGGAAGGGAACAACCAAACAAAAACACTCAAAAAAATCAAACGCAAAACACCAAACAAAGTTTGTTAAAAAAAAAGCGACCTTTGGGGGGGGGGAAAAGGATATGATGGGAGTGAATGGAAAGTATCGGCTCGGACACTGAATCAGCAAGCGCAAGGGGGCTTGGAAGCGCCGCCAGTAACAGCGGGATCGACCGTTCGCTCAGCGTTGCCAAGCGGTGCCTTGACGTTCTTGTTATCGCCATACTGAATGCCAGAGCCCATCTTCTCGGGGTCGAGCTCGCCAGACTCAATCTTGGAAAGGATGTTACGACCGCACTTCATGAAGACCTCGTCGACGTTCTCGCCGGTAAGAGCGGAAGTTTCCAAGAAAAGAATGTCTGGAAGGAATGAAAAGGCAAATGGAGGCAGGAATGAGTCACTTGCGTGTCAATGAAACGACGACAAGCACAGAACAAAAAATCGCGAAAATCGCCAAAATCGCCAGACGTACCGTTCTCTTGAGCAAATCGGCTAGCTTCGAGGAAGGTGACCTCTCGGTCGTCCTCGAGATCCTTCTTGTTGCCAACAAGGATGATAACAATGTCTGGGCTAGCGAGAGTGCGCGCGTCTGTCAGCCAGTTGGCAAGAGCGTTGTAGGACTCGCGGCTGCAAGAACAGGACGAAAAAGCGATGACAGAGCAAAGTTGAGCACACACGAGATGCAGAAAGGTGAGCGAATCGCGACAGGAACCGGACAGACGGTCAAATTCCAAAAAATACAATCAAAACGACAAAGTTTGGTCTTTACTTGGTAATGTCGTAGACGAGCAAAGCGCCAGCAGCGCCGCGGTAGTACGAGCGGGTGACCGAGCGGAAGCGCTCCTGGCCAGCAGTGTCCCAGATCTGAAGCTTGACGGTCTTGCCGCCGAGCTTGGCAATCTTGGAGCCAAACTCGACACCAATGGTGTGCGATGACTCCTACACGCCAAAAACAGAGTCCCATCGGGAATGAGTGACAATTGGAGGAAATGACGCAGCGAGAAACCACACACACACACACACACACACACACACACGCTTGGTCGCACGGACTGCAAACTATCACGACAAGTGAAATACTGATATGCACATCCTCCTCACCTGCTTAAACTTGCCCTCGAGGAAGGAGTGCAGGACGCAAGACTTGCCGACTGTGATGCATCAAACGCAGAACAAGATGGAAACAAAAAAAAACGACACCAATTGAGTGCATGAATGCATGAGCATACAAAAGCCAAGTCAGCACGAAAAGTCAACGAACAACAGCACGAGAGAGATCGCAGATTGGCGACAAGAGGGGGGTGTTGGGATGGCAATGCTAGTGTCTGCAGATGTGACGTGTGTGTGTGTGACGAGTGTCTGTGTTCGCTGACCAAGCACCAAAACGAAACGAAGCAGCGCAGAGGCAAAGACTTTTCGTCACCCCGCCGGAGTGGTGCAATTCGTCGTCATTGGTTTTGCTTTTTTTCTGTTTCTTGGCTCCTATCGCTTGCGTTTGTCACCCATCGCACGACATGACACGAGTCACAAACGAGAATTGGGGGGGGGGAAAAACACAAAACCGCTGCAAAACCGCTGCAATATCAACTCATAGAAGAAGAAAAAACAGGCTTCGTTCGACGTATGTTTGAATTTTTTTTTTTTTTTTTTGTTTCTGTCATTCAACTGCGCCTTTTTGTCGTGCTGCGTGCACGTCACAACGAGACACTTGGAGTTTGCTTGGTCGCAGCGCTTCAGAAAGCGTGAGTGAACACGGATGAGCGTCGGCTTGGGGCAACCCTGCCATCCAACCGAGCGAGCCAACCCCGCATGGAAAAAAAAAAAAAAAAAAAAAAAAAAAAAAGATGGAACTGTTGTGCGAAACAGCCACCGCAGGAACATGCTGACGGGGACAATGTCAGGCAATCAAGCGGGCGCACACGCGAAGGGGAAGGCCCTGTCAAGCGCGAGCGTATGCACACGTTTGCAGCACGCACAGGCGATCGCACCCCCACAAAGCGCCAGCCCCAAAAAAATTCAAAAAAAAAAAAAAGGAACAAAAACCGGTTCATGGCAAGTCCGACGCGATAGGGGGGAAACGGCAGCGTCCGACGCAGTGAGCGCAGTGCCGATGCAGTGCGGTTGCGCAGAGTGTCGCAGTGTGAACACGCTGGGCGACGGCTTGGCGGAGGAGGCGCGGCGCAGGCCACTCAGCGCATTCACAGAAAGAGCCAAGAACTGGTTTGGATTTTTTTTTTTTTTTTTTTTTTGGTTGGGTGTTTCTTACCGCCAGCATTGCCAATCACAAGGAACTTGAACAGATAATCGTAGCCTTCGCTCATTTTTAACTAATATGTTAGTATGAAAAAAAAATAAAACAAGCAATAAATGTAGACTGAGCAAAAAAATTTGATTCTGGCCTTTGCAATGCGCCATGTCACGAGCAAACGCAAAGTGAAACACTGAAAAGCTTGCTACTGGGTGTCAGAGATACAGCAAGCTAGTCATTTGTGAATATGGATGGAACGGAAGGAGAGGAGGGACGCACTTGGCGAGATGGAAATGCGCTTGTCTCAAAACAACGTGCAGTATGTCGCACACAAAGCCTCCAGCTCGATCCATGTAACGTGAGTAGGATGCTGGAGGCGTTTGGTGTATGATTCTTGCGCCTGGGAGTCGATCGGGAGACAGTAGTGTACTCGGCTCAAGCAAACGCGTTTTTTTAGTTGCTGGTTTTTAATTTTCGACTTTAGGCTCGCGTTGCAGTTGAGAAAGGAGCCAACGCCCAAAGCGACACAACAAACATCAGCAGGATATCCACAGAACCATATTTATTCGTATAATTTCCGAATAGACCACCGGATGGATGGAGACACTCACCGTCTCCCGTCCCCGACCGCGTTTCATGCTCCCTTCCCGTCCGCATCGATGTGAGCATGGCAAACAACTGTGAATAGGATTCAAAATCATATTTATCATTGTTCAGATACAAGAAAACGAGCGGTACAGCGGGGTTTCGATCCGAAAAACGCGAACTTCGGAAGGAGGTACATTTTTGAAGCACATTCAATTTTCACAGCCTTTTTCACACACACACACACCGCGGGATCCTGTTGGGCAAGAATCAAACAAAAATACAGTACATCTCAAACGGAACAAACAAGGCAGGAAGCAGCTGGGACTGTAAAATTCGCGGAAAGAGCACGTTGTACGTGCGCGGCAAGTAATTTCCACACAGCTCTCCGACGAAGCGAATTTACCCGCTACAGATTGAAACACGAATACAGCAACCCCCGCTTGCCATCAAGAATCCAACAAAGTGAGGATGCTACCAAAGGACGGGCGTTCGTCACTTTCATCGGCAAGACACTCGAGGGCGAGAGTGACAATCTCGCTGACACTCTGATGATCAGCTTCGGTTGGATTGAGGGTCGAGTCCAGCATGCCAGCGATGGCTTGGTTTGTCACCGCTATGCGCGCCTTTGACTTCAGCCTGGTGCCGGGTTTTTCTGCAGTCAGCAGTTCCAGCAGAATCATGCCAAACGCGTAGACAGCCGTCTTGTTGGTCATGCGGCCTTCCTCAAAGAACTCCGGACACATGTAAGGAGCTGCGCCTTGCACCAGCTGGGGAACTGCGCCTTGCACAAGCTGGGTGAAAATGTAGCTCTTCTCATCGAGGTGTTGGGCGCGGAAGAGACCAAAATCAGACACTTTCGCATTGAAATGCGCGTTTAGCAGCACGTTGTCGGTCTTCAGGTCGAAGTGAAACAGTGGCTTGTCAGAGAAGGCTCCCTGGATGTAGTGCATGCCACGGGCAACATCAGCCGCAATGCGATGACGCTGGGACCAGGTCAGCGGAGGAGTGTTGTTTTTGCGATTCAAGCGATCGCGAACAGAGCCATTGGGCATGAACTCGTACACCAGGCACCGCTCGTCACCGTCTTCTGCATACGACAGAATAGCAACAACATTCGGGTGGCGGAATTTCGCCAACGAGTGCAGTTCCGACTTGAATTCGGCAGAGCCTTGCTTGGATTCGGCAGACAACTTCTTGATGGCGACACGAGAGCCCGACACACTGGCGCCGTACACGCGACCAAATGCTCCCTCGCCGAGCAGATACTTGGCAGCAAAATTGTTTGTGGCGGTGACAAGCGTTGCGAGAGAAACTCGCGGGATGGGTCCGTCAAAGTTCGCTGCCGAGCCAACACCTGGTTGGTTGCGCTTCAGCACGTCAATCCGATCAAGTGCTGACTTCAGTTCAAGATCCTTGGCAGCCAGCCCCTGGTCTTTGGCAGCCAGCTCGAAGCGGACCTTCTGGTTCTCGGCCTCAAGGGTGGTAGCCCGAGTGATCGCGGCGCTGGTACGAGCAAAAATTTGAGCCAATTCATCATTCGAAGGAGCACGCTGGTCGTCAAGGCTACCAAAACAAATCAATGGCGCCAAAGCAAGTGAATGGCTTTGTAGTTTGAAATTTCCTTCACGAAAGAATCCAAGAAACATGCAAAGCCTTACTCCAAGTCACAAATGGCATTGCCCGTTTGCCTGAATGCAGCGATTCCGTCAGTTGTCAGGAAGTTGTTGTTCAAACTGTGTTTGTCGGTCACATTGCAGAATGTAGCATGAGTCTAGCGATTGTGAGGGCATATTGAAACAACCCAATACTTACTACAGCATAGTCAGCGTCTCGTTCACTTTGAGTGCCTCGGCGATCGCTCGCGCTCCCGCATCGCCAATCTGATTCTCACCCAGCCTGTTCGTCCCCTCTATTCGTGAGCACTCTGAATCTACTCTCTGGAAATCATCCACTCACTTGCCTCTGTCAAAGGGAGACGACTTACGTGAGCTCGGTCAGCGTCGTATTCGCTTTGAGTGCTTCAGCAAGTGCCTGCGCTCCAGTACAGGTGATCTGATTCTCCCACAGACTGTCCGTCCCATCAGTGAGCACTCTGCATGTCTCTGCTGAAACCACCCACTTGCATGCATCAGTAAGTTTGAGCTACTTTACTAGAGCTTGGTGAGCGTGGTGTTCACCTCAAGTGCCTCAGCAATTGCCTGTGCTCCATCATCGCCGATCGGATTCTTGTACAGACTGTCCAAGTCCCATCTCTCAATGAGCACTCCGAATAGCCACAGCTAAAGTCACCCCCACACCTGCATCTGCTCAAAGTGAGATGGCTTACTAGAGCTCAGTCAACGTCGTGTTCACCTTGAGTGCATCAGCAATCGCCTGCGCTCCAGCAGCGCCAATCTGATTGTGCCACAGACTACTCGTCGTTCTCATCAGTAAGCACTCCTCGTCCTCTGGACTGCTCATTCACATGCATCCGTAGCTCTGAGATGCTTTACTAGAGCACAGTCAGCGTCTTGTTCACCTTGAGTGCCTCAGCGATCGCCTGCGCTCCAGCATCGCCAATCTGATTCTCATTCAGACTGTCCATCCCTCTCGATCAGTGAGTAACTCTGAATTCCCTCTGCTTCAATCCTCCACTCACATGCGCCAGTCAAAGAGAGATGACGTACTCGAGCTTGGTCAAAGTATTGTTCACTTTGAGTGTCTCAGCAAATGCGCGCGCTCCAGCATCGCCAATCCGATTCTCTGCCAGACTGTCCAGTCGCTTCCATAAGTGAGTACTCTGAATGCCTCGACTGAATCGTCCACTCACATGCATCGGTAAACGTCAGATGCCTTACTCGACCACTGTTAAAGTGCAGTTCGCTCTGACGGCCTCAGCAATCGCCCGCGCTCCAACATCGGCAATCAGATTGCCACCTAACCTGCTCGTCCCCTCCACCAGTGAGCACGAAGCATCCACTCACACGTGTCGGTCAACATGAGATGCCTTACTTGAGCTCAGTCATTGTCGTGTTCACTTTGATAGCTTCAGCAACCGCCTTCGCGTCAGCGTTGCCAATCTGTTTCTTGCACAGGCTGTGCTTCACTCTGTCAACACACAACGTACACCTTCCAATATTTTCGGCTTTTGCTTACTCGAGCAGTTGACTCGCATCCTCGACCATGTCGAACAACTTTTGCTGTTTTTCAGTCATATTCTGGTACGACAGCATTTGGAAAGAACAACAACGGACTGCCCCTTCCTAAAACACCTCAACGTGACTCAATCCTCGGCCCTCCCTATATTCGTGCTCGGCATTCATGTTCAAACTGGACGAGCGAAGTGGCGATAAACATAAACACGAATAGTATTTTTGTGCGCGGAAACACGAAATCACTCCTCAAGGCACTCGAAATCAGTGCATAGAAAGAGATCGATCCATATTCATTACAAGTACTATGTGCATGGGGAGTGCGAGGGGGGCACCGAGGCCTGGTCGTTATGTTACTTTTCGGTCGATTGAGATTTGCAATTCAAGAAGAGGGTTTTCCTTTATGTTGCTTTTGTCTGTCGTTCCAAACCAGTCCTTCAATGTAAGATGGAAAACAAACAAGCGACACACAACAGGGTCCAGCACAAAACAGCAAAACGCAACAAAGAACAATAACAACAAAGAACTATAACAACAACAAACAACAATTAAAAATCGGAAACCCGCCACCCAGGAATCCGCGGGTGAAGACGCGACCCAAACGCGCGCGCCCCTCTCACATGGGACGTAGCGACAAGCGTGAATCTCAAACCACGACGAAGCTGCGTGGAAACACAGCCCTAGACGCGCTGGTTGAGCGCCTTCGCAACGACAGCGTGACAACGTTCAGAAATAGCTCCGTTGGCGAGGATTACGGATCGCTTGGGGGTTTTTTGTTTCTTTTTGGCAATCTCGGATACGAGTGCCCTGCACAGTTCAGTTCATGGGAGAAGCGAGATAGGAACACTGAAGTCACAAGGGGGACGGGGACGGGAACGGTAGAAGCAGGAAGGCGAGGGTGAGGCGCGGGGGCCGTTGCCTTTTGAATTGTTAATTTGCCCTTCAACACAGACGCTGGAGTGTTTGGATTGTGCAGCGCGTTAGGCCGCGTCGACAAGAGCTCACATTCAAGTACAGGAGTGTGTGCTGCTGGAATGGAGCGATAGAGAACGGCGCTGGTGCGGCGGTTGGTGCGGCGGTTGGTGGAACTGCGCGGTCGGAGTTCTTTGCTGCAAATTGAAGTCCGTCACAGAGCCACAGGGGGGGGGGCAATGGGAAGGGGTGATTGACGCCGCCCTCTGCAACATGAGAATGCCAGAGACTGAGTTTGTGAGTGAGTGAATGAGTGAGTGGCTGGGGGTCGGAGAGGAGACGCGACAATGCAATACAATTGGCTGGTTGGGGGAAGTTGGATTTAGGGTACCGCACCATTGTTCTCCTCCGATTTGCCTCACTGTTGCGCCTCTTGAAATTTGGAATTGTTGCTGATGTGCAGAACAAACCCCCGCCTCCTTCTCAAGCATGGTTGTGGTCCCGAATGCAAACTGCTCGGTGCCATACGCCGGCGAGAACTGCGACATGACGTTCGGGCAAGTCCTTGGCGGCCCGTTGATTGCCATTCAAGCCACCCTGGGAACACTTTTCTGCATCGAGCTAGCCATCGGCATCGTGCTGTCGTATCGCCTCACTGTGAAAAATGGCCTGTGCCTGGAGATGAACAATGTCATGATTTACGTGGCAACATTCCTTGCATTCTGGGGCGGCATCCACCAAATCGACAACCGAGGCTGGCACGCCATCTATCCGCTGTGGTTTGCCTCGCTTCTGTATGACATTTGCACATCAGCCTCCTTTACCTGCTGGCTGATTAGCAGCAACGCATGGGCCAAGTTTGTCTGCCGGGCAGTGTTGCAGCGCAACTCTCGCGTCGCTGTGGTGGTGCGACTGGCCTTCCCCGTCACGCTTGCCTTTATTTGGTTTACGCAGCCGTTCGCCACCCTTCTCATGTATGCCATCATCCCGTTTTGGATTGGCAAAATTGTTCGCTACATGTGCGTCTGCGCCGTGTTTGGTGTGTGGGTCGTGGGAAGCTGCTACTTTGCATGGATTATTCGCGGCGTGCTGAAAGCGGCTCAAAAGCGGCACGGAGACTTGTCCTCGCAGGACGAGCCCCAAAGGTCGCAGCACTCTGGATCTTCAGATCACCCAAGCACCTCCAATCATGGAGCAAGCTCGAACAACAAGTCTGGAGGCAACAACAACAACCTTGCCAAACGCCGCCGGCAGCTTGCCTTGCGACGAATCTACCGCTTGAATGGGTACGGCATCATCCTTCAGTTGGCTGGACTCGGTGGCGTTGCGTATAATCTCGCGACATACTTTCGCGAGCGCGATGACCTCCATCCGCCGCACGTGCTGCCAACTCCAAGCCGGGGCGACATGGTCTTTTCCTTCCTCTTTGACGTGGTCCATCTGCTGGTCGCGGCGATGGTATTATGGTTTTTCCGCGGCTCGCGACCGTCAGCCAACACAACCAAAGCAGAGAATCCCGAGAACAACGGCGTTGTTTGGCTTACCGAATCCAAAATCGTCTCGCAGTTTTCAGTGCCTGGAGGCAATGAGCCCGACTCCCCCGACAATAACTTGCCTGAAGTCAATCCTCTATCATCGGCGAGCTCGCAAGGTCCTTTGGACATTGCTGTGACGGTGGATTCCGTACCAGAAGCAGCAGAGTCCGAGTCGCCTCAAAGTTCCGACTGAGTTGCATGTTTTCGCCTTGTTCTCGTTTCTCTGTTTGATTTTTGTTTTGGTTTTACCATGTCGTACTTTGTTTTTCGGTTTGCTATGTATTGTAGAGAGTACACTTCCTTGATGGGATGATGACAAGATAAAGCGAGGGAGGGTTTGTGCTTGTTGGATGAAAATTGCTTGGAGTGGTTTGTTTGAACTATGACATTGCGGGAATCTTTTGACGTCGGGAACGAAGACATCAGCCCGATAGGCTTGTGCGAAACAGACCACCGTCTTCACTTCTCACACACGACTGAGATTGCAAGAGCAATTGGAACGCGTTTTTTATTTACGAATCCTCTTGCGGAGCTTCGCTCAGAGTGGTGTGGCACCAATACACGGCATTGCCAACGGAAGCACAGAAACGATTGAGCGCGGCAGAGTACTTGACCGCCGAGACGGCTGGAGAGCCGATGCATTTGGACGGATCCATGCTCAGATAGGTGAACTCAGATAGGTGAACAGCTGACGCTCCACCTTGTCCTTGGGAAGGGTAGGTGCAAGTGGCTTCTGAGGGTCCGTGCTGGAAGTCGGGGTCGGTTCCGCCTCAGCGACCGTTTGGCCATCCTCGTCAGTCTCGGCGCTCAGCGTGTTGACAGCAATCACTGCATGTTGGATGCGTTTCGAGAGGTCTTCGGGCGGAATGATAAAGACATATGTGGCTTCCGTTGGGGCGTGGAAGGCGTGCACGACGGCCGCAGCAAATCCGAGCTCTTGCAGAGGGCCAGCGTGCGCAGGCGAGGGTGCTTGACTCGCAACGTGCGCTTGTGAGGGTGCTGAGCGGGGCTTTTTGATGACGCGAGGAGGGCTCTCCAGCAAGGCCGCAGGCTCGCTCTGCTCGTCAGCCTCGCTTTCTTGAGCTGATCGCTTCGCTCCGCGCTGCCCGGCAATCGCCTGGCCAATCGCGGTAATGAAGGGCACCATGGCTTCCGGAGTGTAGCTGTGCATAGGTGGCATGAAGGGCGGGTATGGGAAGGGCGGGTAGCCCATGGGAAACGGCGGGCGAGCAACGGCGCCAGGAGTCGCACCTCCAGCGGCAGCGGCTACAGCAGCAGCTGCGGCTGGTGGTGGCGGGACGCCGACCGATTGGGGCGGTGGCATAGGGAAGTACGGCGGCCATCCAGGGAAAGGCGCAACTCCCGGAGGCAATGCAGTCGGGATGGCGGCGATTCCAGGAGGAATAGCAGCTGCGCCGCCTCCTGTGGATGGGGACCCAGTGGCTGGCGGCTTTGCAGCTGCCACAGTTGACGCGCTCTCGGTGGGCGATCGCGTCGGAGCAACTTTGAATGTTCGAGAGGAACTCGCAGGCGCTGCCGACTGAGCTTCGGACGGCGAAGTCCGGCTGGTTGTCGCCGCGACTGATTTGACAGGGCCAGTGCTACCGTCGCCAACGTCAGAGGAAGCTGGGTCCAACGAAGAGTCCGGATCGTTCATACCGGCGGCTGTGACGGCGCGCGCACCCGATCGCTTGAGACTGATCGAGAGTTTCGGCAGACTGGGCGGAGTCGTAGTCGCGGCCTTTTCGTTAGATTCAGAGGAATCGACGTTCGAAGCAGCACCACGGGGCGTGTCTTGCGGTCCCGTGGCGGCGGAGGCGCCAGCTGAGGAGATGGAGCCAGCGTTGGTGGGGCGACCGCCATGTCGGGTGCGAGTCGCAGCAGCGCCCCACGAACCACCTCGTCCGCCCATTCCACCGCGACGCATCAGTTTCTTGCGCTTCATTGATGCTCGGCGCCAGTCCGGATCGTCAGGGTCGAGCCGGAAGCCGGCATCGGGTTGCTCGTCGAGATCGTAATCGTCAATGTCGTCATCCGAGCCCAAATCGTCTTCCTCGCCATAGTAGTAGAACTCGTCGGACAGCGTCACTTGATCTGCATGCGACGCCGCGTGGCGAGGGTCCAACCTGGTTGCAGGGCCAGCAACATGTCGCGATACGGCGACAGAGGTAGTGCCGTTCTCATTTTTGGCCCCGCCCCCACTCGAAATTAAGCGACTCGTCATGATGATGGGGTGACTGCCCGCGACAGAGGGCGACGAAGCGACACCACCTGTCAGCTCCATGGCCGAGTGGTGGTGGTGCTTATTCTCGCCCAAAGCCTCTGCCGTGTTCACCAGTGCTGCATCGTCGTCCATCAAGTCCTCGTCCTCAACCGCGTCGTCGTCGTCGTCGTCAAATTCGCCATGGTCGCTAAAGTCGTCCGCGGGATGCTCTCCTGGATGGGCCTGCTCGCCATGATGCGCAGAAGCGGGGCCAGAAGAGTTGTACGCCATGCCCGGCTTGCTGCTGCTGCTGCTGCTGCTGCTACTGCCAATGCGCTTGCCACCCGCAGCTCCCGCGCCGCGCGGCTGCACACGCTTGGTGCCGAGTGCCTGGCGTGGGGGCGGCGGGGGCAGGTCGGGAAAGACGCCGAGCTGGGACGGGCTTCCGCGCTGGCGCCAGCTGTCCACAAAGGCGTCTTGCCCCTTGAGTGGCCCGTTTCGCCTGCGCACCCAGATGCATTGCGCGTTGGACCACCCCTCGCAGCGTATGAGAAACTTGCGCGTGTCGCGGTTGTAGCCCAGAATGTCGACGATCGGCGGAAAGCGCATCGACTTGAGCGCAGCCGGGGTGAAGTGGGTCGACGAGGCAGCCGAGGCAGGGACGGCGGCAGAAACAGAAACGGGCGACATAGCTCGGCCACCTGCTGCACCACCAGCAGCAGCCTTATCATGGCTGCCACCGCCAGCACCACCACCAGCACCAGCACCACTGCTGCTGCCAGACACAGCCCGAGTCGCAACAGAGAAGGACGAGAAGAGGGTCGATGGCGGGACCGAACGCGCCTCGGACGGCGGCAACGCAGCAGCAGCAGCAGCAGCCGCAGCATCAGGACGCGGCTGGTCTTCCGTGGCAGCGTTATTGGCATTGGTTGCCACCACCGGTGGCGGGCTGGGCACGCCATGACGCTCAACGTTCGCTTCAGCCGCTTCCTGCATTTCGTTCTTCTTTGGTTGAAGTGTTTGAAATGGAAAGGCCAATGCAGTGGATTGAAAAGGGGGAAGGTGTTTGAGGACGTTGACAGCAAAGCAGAGAAAAAAAGAAAAAAAAAAGGAAGGAAGAAAGTGGAAAAAAAAAAAAGGGTCACGTCAAGAAAAGACTGCTAAGGTTGTGATAGTCATGGCTAAGACTCGGAGGTCTGCCATTCTCGGGAGGCAATTGACTGCATCATTACGACACAGCAAAAATATCATCACCATTCGACCATCGAGGCCAAGGGATGGGATGGGATCCGAAAGTTTTTTTCTTTGGTTTTTTTTTTGGTTTTTTTTTTTTGGTAAAAAAGTTGGCAGAAATGATTGCTCGAGCTCGAGCCCTCCAAAAGGATGGCTGATTCAAAAACATTTGCACAACAGGTCTATGCCACATTGAGTTCAAACAAGTCCAGGAAGAGCGTGTCAGGGACATGCTGCAGCTGCAAACGTCAAAGTCTTGAAAAAGCGAACACTTTGTTTTTGAAATGTAACTTTATTCCTTCAACGACTTCACTGTTTAATACCAGGTCGGTGGGGCATCGTGCTCTTGGGCTGGGGTGAAAACACTGGGAAGAGGTGCCTCTGCAGCCTCGTGAGCGCCACCGGCAAACGTTCGGCTGGCATGGCCGCCGCGACCGAGCGCGAGGAAGAAAAAGTCGGCGTCGGCAGAACCACCAATACGATCGACAAGCCGCTCTGCCAGCCGGTTGTATGCCTTGAACAGGGTAAGATTCTGATGAGCAGATATGAGGTAATATGGTTGAGACAAAACAGCGCCCAACAAACCAAAAAACAAAAACAAGAAAACAAAACCAAACCAAACCCCTCGATAACGCAAAAAGCAAAACGCATACCTCTTCCTTCAAGTTCTCATGCAGTGAGCAGGTCTCGAAAATAACGCGCAAGGTGTCAATCAGATTTGCGTCTTCGAACTTGGTGTGTAATGACATGAGCAGCCGAATAATCTACACAGACACGGGCCACACATGTGAGTTTAAAAAAAAAACCGAAACCTTGCGCACGTACAACTTCATCACCACGTACCTGCTGCTGAACAGCCGGAGATGAGGGTGCAAATTTAAGCAAAAAGTCTTCAATCATCGTAAAGCGAATGTCGTTGTCAGTGAAATCCTCCTGCCAAATTGGAACAACCATGAGCGAACGCGAATTTTTTCCGTCGAAAAATAAACCAAAACAAGGCCGGAGCGATTCCAAACTTACCTTGTGACTCAACACCAGAGAAATAAAGGTGCGGAAGAAGGTGGAGTCCGAGTCGGGATTCTGCTCGTCCAAAACCTCAATGGCAGGAATGGTGCGTCGTAGAGCTGTGCCATCTCGTGCTTGAATGCGATCGAGAACGTAGAAGAGCATAAGCTATGCAAGGCCCCCACCACCTCAAACAAGTATGAGTGATTCAGCCAGCCCCAACGCACGACACCCACCGTTTTTTTTTTGTTTGGCGATTTGTCTTACACGACGAGAAAGCGGATCGCTGTTCATCAAATCAATCACCAAGCGTGGCAACTCGTCAAACTCCTCGTCGTTGTTGACTTTTCGAAGCGCATCCTCCACCATGATGAGGGTCAGCAGTGGCAGGAATGTGGTGATGGTTTTGTTGTTCTGAGGCGGCTCCACGAAGGATTGCGTTTGGAGAATGGCATGTGCAGACTGTCCAATTTGAAGGAGATGGAGCAAATACACAAGCCGCGGTTCGTCCTGCATCGACGCGAAAAAAAATAATTTCAACGGGACAAGGAGTGAGCACCAAAATGCAAGCGCAATAAAAAAATGTTGCAAGCATGCATTGGGCTTACGCGAGGCAATGTCTCAGTCTCCACACTCGTCTTAAGACAGTCGATAATGGCCTTGAGAATGGTTCCTGTGGCATACGGATCGTTCAAAATCATGGCGAGTTCTCTATCGCGAGGGAACGGAAATTGACAAGGAAAAAGTGAGCACGCCGCTCAAAAACGAGTCCTCTCCTCGCGACTCACCCAAGAATCGGACTGTTTGGCACAAGGACTGAAAAGCATGACTGGGACTTTTTGATCTGAAGCTGGTCGACCTTCGCGTCACGGATGCATGCATCCCAGCACCACGCAAACTCGTGACACGGATCGATATGGAAAAGCTCAGCGATGCCGGCATCGTGCAGCGCCATCAGCAGTTCGGCACGAAGCATGCAGTAACGGGCGTTGTGAGACTTGATAAACCGGGAGCGAATCAGCGTCAGCGCATAGCGGTACAGGATGATTGATTTATCGACGAGTTGAGCGATTCGATTGACCGCAGTCAGTTCTCGCCTGTGTCAGACAACACACATAGTAGGGTATGGGGAAAAAAGAAACGAAGCAGGGTGAGTGAGATGCGATGTAAAGAGAGGCGTAGTTTTCAAGCATCAGAAGCAGCGGCAGTGACCTTTTTTTCGGCGGATTCGAAGAAATCAGCACATCGTACGGGCTGACAGCCAGGCGCTTATCTTCGACATAATCATTGAAAATGGGGTCGAGCTCGTCTTCAAACAGTTTGTTGTTCGACATCCATATCTGTCGTTTGACGGAGAGCGAGCAGAGCTGCACAGCACCAAAATCACCAACAAACAAAGGTGAGGGACGACCGTTTTCCCGCAGTCGCGATCGGTTTTGAGCGTGCGATCAGTACCTTGTACAGCGTGTCATCTGCTGCCAGACGTGCAACGTAAGCTGGCGGGATGCCCGAGTGGAGTCCCAGCACGGCGAAAACGACCGGCTGAATTTCTGGGACTTGGATGAATGGGAAGGTTCGCTCCAGCAGAGCGTCCAGCCTAGAGCATTGAAAAAGCACAAACACATTGCACCGTGAATGTACATTCATCATAGCATGTTTCAAGTGTGCGCGCGGACGGACTTGTCTTGGGACAGCGACTTGAAGCGCTGGGTGAGCGTGTCGCGGAGCTGCGCGAGCATCGTGTAGTGCACTGTCGCGCGCGGGATCTCGTTCATGTCCAGCAACGGAAGCAGGAAGGCTGCCGAGGGGAGTACTCGGGCGCGACGATGCAGCAGGACGGGAGGCATGAAGGAGGATCAAATGGATCAAATAGATCAAAGTCAGCTGGATACGCACGCCAGAGCACCATTGCGCACAAGGGTAACTTATCATTGAGCTGGTTGTCACGCTGGAACTGTGTGATGAACGTAACGGGGTTGAGATCGCGGCTCAGCGCCTCGCGAATGAACGCGCCGCCGGCCTGGCCAATGTGGCGTCGCGCTTGCTGCTGCTGCTGTTGCTGCTGCTGTTGTTGTGCTGCTTGTTGTTGTGCTGCTTGTTGTTGTGCTTGCTGTGCTGCTTGCTGTTGTTGTGGCGCAGGGGCTGCTACTGCTGCTGCTGCTGGCTGCGATTGAGCTGCTTGCTGCCCTCTCGTCTTTGGCATTTTTGTAAAGACGCTCAGAAACCTAGGTGCTGATACAAATAACCACAAGAGACAAGTATTCACAAATCAGGACTGGATATTGAAAGTGCAGTGCAGCACATTCACGAGAGTTGAAAATCGACCAACGGCGACTTGCGCTTTGACGTTTGTATGGAAATTGCATTGAGTTGTTCTTGTCCTGCGCAAACAAATCCATGCAGCCTCCACTCTTCGTTTTTTTCTCTGTTGGGATTTCATTTTCCAATTGTTCAAGTTTGTTTTGGCAAGTGACCTTTGAGAATTGGGTTTGTTAGTATTGCGAGGTTGAAGTGAAGGTTTTTTTTTCTTTTTTTCTTTCTGTTGGGTGGAATTCTGGCTGGGCGTCATTCTGTCGCTTTCCGCTGCAAGTAGAATGAATGACAGTGTGTGAATTACCACAACGAGAGGGCGACTTGGCCTTGTTCCAAACGGCAGCACTGCAGTTGCGAGGTGGGGGTCGTTGCGTCTCGGTTCTCAGCTGGTGCATTCTGGAGCGAACAATTTGGACCGATTTTCCCGCCTTCGAGGCTTTTGTCGCTGCCTCGTCTCGGCTCGCGACTGTTGCCTTGGCTTTCCATTGCTGCACAAAACCAAACCACTTTGCTTGCAGCAACACAGACAGCAGCAGACAACAGCAGCAACCCCCTTCCATACACCAGCTCCAGCTCACGCTCGCTTCAGTGAAAAAAAAACCAGAGTTTGCGTCACCAGAATTTTTTTGAATGTTGTTTCGTGTGTAGAGTTTTGGTTTTTTGGGGAGCTGGGGAGTTTGAGTTTGGCCGAACTGGTGACTACAATGCGCGAGATTTGAGTTTGGGGGAAGCTGGACTCGAGTTTCGGTGTGAATGGGGGGGGGGGAGAGCGCGCGAGAGCGCGCGTGTCGTTGCTTGGCTGGTGGCGCAGATGCCGTTTGAAGGGCAATTTGTTGAAAAGCCACTCGAGGCTTTGTTCGACGCCGCTCTCTCTCTCATCTTCCCCCAATGCATTCGTCTGTGGAAATGCTTCACTCGTTTGCTGCTCTCGAATGTGCACAAAAAGCAACACAAAAACAACGCTACGCGGCTTTTTGAGAAAAAAAAATATCCAAAATTAGCACCAAAACAAAAACAAAAACAAAAAACCACACACAATTTTTACAATTTCTACCACCACGGCGCTCATCACGAGCGGAAAAAGCGTGTGTGGACACATTCCCCCAGACCTGCTCGATCTTCTGTTGCATGCGCGACTCAAGTGTTATGCGACTGCCACGGTGCATTCAGGGGAGGTGGGGGGGGGCAAAAGCGGCAGCCATGACCGGCTTCCATTTTTGGAGTTGTTGTTGTGGCTGTTTCCGAGTAAGTAAGATTTTTTCAAGTCCACAAAGTCTTACTTCGTTTGTTGCATTTTTTTTTGAATTGGTTGACCAGATTTGCCCTCTCAACAACAAGTGTGGCTTCGACTCTCAGACACAATTGCAGACAACAAAATCTTCAACCATGTCTGACTCCCCGCCCTCGCTCGATTCTCCGAGTGGTCCCACAAGCCCGTCGCCAATGACAGTTTCTAGTACGTCGAAGCGCGGCTGTCTGTCGAGTGATGCTTGCACGAACGTTACAACTGACGATTTCCTTGTTTTTGCCTCATGTCGTCTAGGTTCTTGGTTGGAAATTGTGGACGGTTCTGCCGACGAGTTGGCCACGCTCGGGCAAGATGCAGCCACTGCTTCCATTCTTCTGCAGCGTTCCACAATAGGCACTGCTCGACAAGTTGAAAACTTGCAAACGCGACGTGTCGTGCTCGTTGACGCTAGCCACTACGACGAGCAGGAGCAACAGCCACAGCAACAACAAGAACAGCAAGAACAGCAGGAACAGCTGGAGCAGCACGACGTCGGCGAAACACCCGTTCCGCCTCTTCAACACGAAGAACCTCGCGCCCCTGTTTATCACGAGGAGGTGGTTGGCTCGCTCGTGTTTGATCGCGTCCCGCACGTGCTCCAAGTGCCCACCTTTGCAGCATCCACAACCGAAACCAATCTCAACCCAAGCACGAACGCATCTTTTACCCTCGCCCTAACTGCTGACGGTGGGATGGATGACGCGCAGGACGCAGACGGGGCTGTCGTCGACATGACTCCTCGCACCTTCTCTCCGATGCCGAATCTTGCTGCATCGCACTTTGCCGTCGAATCCTGGGCGCGCTGGTCGTCTGCCGAAACTGACGCTGCTCTGGTCGAAGCGGCTGCAGCTGCCGAAGATTCGGGGGAAGCCGACGTGCTTGCATGCTCCATCGCCGAGGCGTGCGATTCGACCCTGGACTTGCCCACTGCCAGCGCCCTGTTCGCACAACGGCGCTCCGTCAACCTTGCCGACAGCGACGACTTGACTGGAGCACACTCGTCAGCACACCTCTCGCCTGCCTTTGAGATGATTGGCAGCAATGCAAGCGAGTGCTCGTCCTTTGCAGATTTGGACGACTCGAGCTCCCAGCTCGTCACAGAGTCTGCATCGAAACAGGACGGCTCACGGCCAAGCCACGAAGCAACCGGCAGCATTGCCAGTGCATCGACACACGCATCGTCGCAGCAGCTCGATTCAGCCCAAGCCCTACTTCGCAAAAAGTTGTTCGAGTACCATCTGCAACAGCTCGTGGCCCAACAACAACAACAACAACAACAACAGCAGCAGCAGCTCAATGACGGGGCGCTCCCACTTGATGCGTCCTTGCTGATGATCAATGTGACGGATGTTGACGACATTGTCCCTCCGTCGCGCGACGGATCGATTTCACCCGCGAGGCGCGCGCCACTCCCGGATGCGGTGGACGTCCTGGGATCGCTGGCCGCTTCTGCTGCTGCGATCAGCTCGACCACGGACGATGGCCAACCGCAGCAGCAGCAGCAGCAGCAGCAGCAGCAGGCAGGCGCCGCTGGCAGCGAGTCGGTCGCGCTGCAACCGTCTTCCTCGCCGTCCTTGTCCACCGTCTTGATCGGTAGCTCCATCCTGCTTGCTTCGTCGCAATCGAGCTCCCTTATTGTTGGAGCCTCAGCAGCATCATCCTCCACCTGCTCTTCCAACTCTTCGGTTGTCGACTCGCCAGCGTCTGCATCTGTCAACCAGTCTCAGTCGCTTGTGGTGCTCCACGATTCTGTTACTGCCACTGTTCCTGCTACTGCTACTGCTGCTGGCATGACAGCAAGCACGTCTGCAAGTCAAGACACCTCGGGCTCGAGCCCAACTTCTGAGAGCCCGATTCTCAGCCCTAGCCCCACCACAGCCAGCCCTTCCTCCAGCCCGTCGAAGCGTCACCACGCACACCATCACTCGCATCATCACCACAGCAAGAGCCACGGGAGACACCACAAATCCCGCAGCGGCCAACCATCGCCCCCGTCTGGTCATGGGTCGTCGACAACGTCATCGCCGCATGGCCAATCTTCGCGCCATCGGCATCGTCACGCGTCTCCGGACTTGGAAGAGCAGGAGGAGGAGGAAGAAGAAGCCGAGCGCATCATCTTCCCGGGGGATGAACTGATGTCACAATCGCTCTCGACCATCATCCGAACCATGCGCGGACCCACCTTTGGCTCTGGCAGCACCGCCGGAGGACTCCCCGCTGTTCGCCAGCTGTTCCCTACCGCCAAGCACCAGCCCGAGGAAGATGACGGCAACATTTCCGACGACGATGACGACGGCGAGGACGATGACGACACTGCGCCGCTCGATCCTGCCGATGCCGTGCCGACGCCGCTGCAACCATTCATTCGCGCTCCTCAAGCTCGTGCCGCCCGCATCGGAGCGCTGGACGAGGCATTTGCGCAGCTTGGTCTTCGCGACGGACTGTCTGTCGGACGACGCGAGCGCCTGGGCGATAGTGCGCTGATGGCCTCCGCCTTTGCCTCGACCGGGTTTGCCAGCACCACCAGCGACAGCGACTCTGGCACGGCAAGAGGCCCCATCTTTTCGCGAATGGAAGTGATGGACGCCACTCCCGTTGATTCGCAGGGCTCGGAGACGGAAATCCGGGACATGTACGAGTACTCGGACATGCTCTGGACGTGGAACTACCAGCCGACCGACTCTGCCTCGCGTTCTCGTCACGGCTCGTCTCCACACCACCCCAACGATGCGCTTGCTGAGGGTGAAGATGCTTCAGGCCTCAAGCGCCGACGTTTGACCAGGACTCAGCGTGACAAGCGCAAGCAGCTTGCCAATCAACAGCTCGAGCTGCAAGCAATGGCTCGCAAAGGCCGTCTCCGTCGATACGTCGGAGCTTGGGTATGTGTGAGATAGCGATTCAGGAGGAAGCGAGTCATGTCTTTTTTTTTTTTTTTTGGTTGATTGCTCACTTGTGTTTCCTGTTTTCCCCTTTGTGCTCGTAGACGAAGCTTTCCACCTACTTTTTGAACGCGCTCTCACCACCCAACAGCCAGGCAGCGTCCGAATCCGATTCTGCCATGCACTCTGGTTGAAATGTCACCAGCTTCTTGCTTGATTTTTCATTCATCCTTCATGATTGATTTTTTTTTGTGTTTTTGGTTTTCGCTGTTCCAAGCACTTCCTCCCCCCCCCAATGGGCGTGCCAGGACAAGCATGTTTAAATCAGTGTTGTGTCTCTCATACGTAGATGTAGTGGTGTGTACATATCGTTGTGTGTCTTCCTGAATGAAATTAAAAAATTGAATAGTCACAATTTGCCGTATGGCCAACCAGGTTATTACCCGCCACAGCCAGTGCAACCACAATGCACACACTCGACGGCCTTTCCTTCCTCCAAGGATGCTCGCGGGACTCGGCAGATGCAGTTTGCCTGAAAGTTGGTATCTTTTGTTTGGACGCATCGCAAGCAGCACAGGTTTTCGTACCCTTGCTGCAATCAGAATAGCAATCAAAGCCCAGTGAGCAAAAGCCAAATCGAACTACACACACATCGTCCAGTGCCACAAGGAACCTGCCAAAACCATGACTTGTAGGAAGCAGAAGGACAAGGACGCGGGTTGGTTTACCTTCTTCCACTTGGCAATCAGATTGGCGTCGGCATAGTTGTCCTTGAGCAGAAACTCGTACAGCTCCTTGGAGATGACCTTTCGCTTGTAGTACATGTCGTAAATGTACCTTGTGCGCTGGTGGTGGATGCGGAAGATGGGCCAGAGCGACTCGACGCGACGTTTGCCCTCGTGCGGCTCGGCCTCAGCTGTACCCCCAAATGGCATGACGATGCTTGTCAGTGTTAACAGCGTCCACACAGACTGCACACCACTCCAAGCCCAGCTCAAGCGAGGGCATTTCCCTTCTCTGCTCGAACGCTCAGCCAACGACGATGCGCTCTCGTCATCTCCTCATCCCCCCCCCGCATCCCCGATCGACCGTTCCAGCCAGAGTGGCAACACACGCTTTGAGTTACCTTCGCGCATCTTTTGTGCAAAGTCGTTCAGGACGGGCTCAATGTCGTCCCAGCCTTCTGGCGGCGGCTTTGAGCGGTTGTGGCGGATTTTGGGCATTTTCGTTCCAGAAGGACGAAGGAAATAGAGGGACTGCACATAGACAAGTCGAAAACGAGAAAAGACAGCGAATCACGAGCGAATCGACGGATCTCGGAGAAAGTCGTAGCTCAATGGAAATTCAATGTAATGGAAACTCAATGTAATGGAAACTCAATTTAATGGAAACTCAATGGAAAGCTCAGTCATTTCTTCTCGTTTTTTTTTTTTTTTCCCTTTGGCCTCCAACCCCCAAAAACCAAAAAAGAAACTCAAACAACTTGAAATCAGACCACATTACAAACACCCCCCCCCGCTTCCCCTAAATGTCGTTCTTTGCCAAGAAGCGCCTCATTGGCGAAGTGACTGGCTCGATGGACGCGCCGACGCCCGCCTTCCAAGCCCCGACGCCCGCATTCAGTGCGCCCACTCCCGGCGCTTCGCTGGTCGCGCCACCAACACCAGGTGCCGCGCTGGTCGCGCACGCGGGCGCGGACGCCGGCGTGGACGTGGACGACGACCTCGAAGCAGAGCTGCTGCTGCTCGGTGGCGCTGACTCGGGAGACACTGGCCGGTCGTCCAAGCGCCGCCGCATCGATGATGACGACGAGGACGACGAGGACGATGGGGACGATGACGATGGCCGTCGTCGCCGTCGACGGGACAGCGGCAGCGAGAGCGCCAGCGACAGCGACCGAGCTGGCCGCAAAGCATCGTCCAAGTCCGCCTCGTCGTCCAGCAACAAGGCCTCCGCCAACAAGGCCCGTGGCAATGCTGCTGGCGACGACTCTGACTCGGACGACGGCGCGGCGGAACGCAAGTCGCGGCGCTCGACCACCGCGGCCCAAAGCAGCCGCTCCAAGGCGCGAGCCAAAGCGCTGGCCGCCGCAGGAGGCAGCGACAGCAGCGACAGCGAGAGCGAGGACAGCGACGGAGGCCGTGTAAGTGTGCTCACTTGCGAGTAGTCGCAGTCGTAGTCGTAGTCGTAGTCGAAGTCGAAGTGGAGATACACGAAACAGCGAAAACAAAAAAAAAAAAAAAAAAAAGAAAAAAAAAAGGATCTTTGGTTTTTACCGATTTGTTGTTTCGTTTGTTTGAAATTCTCAGATTGTTGATGAACACTGATTTTTTTCGCCTGATTGTTACGGTTTGCTTGCTTGTTCTTGGCTTGTGAACGTTTACTCACACACACAGTGGGGATCGAAATCCAAGGGCGGAAAGCGCGGAAAGCGATCGGGAAAGAAAGGGCAGAAACGCAAGGTCGCCGTCTCAGATGACGAGGGCTCGGATTCGGATGACGCGTCAGACAGCCAGTCGTCGGACGGCTCAAACTCGAGCGACGACGGCAGCGATGCCGGCGACGAATCTGGAGAGGAACTGACTGCAGAGGAGCGAGTGCTGCTGTCATACACGGAGGATCATATGGGCGACGCTGCGGATCGCGAGCGGCTCTTCGCCCTGTCGGAAGTCGATCGCGAGGCGGTGCTGTTCGAGCGCTCTGAGAAGATCCAAGCGCTCAAGGAGCGTCAGATCATTCGACAGCAGTTGCGCGAAAAGGCAGCCCGTGAAGGCAAGGGTCGATCGAACCGAGCGTCATCGTCGCGCTCCAAGGACGGCAAGACGTCTAAAAAGGGACAAAAGTCGTCGTCGTCGTCGTCGTCCAAGAAGAAGGACAAGTCGTCATCGCGCAAATCACGCGGCGGCGACTCGGACGACCAACTCGAGGTCGAGGCATTGGGAGAGCGCGGACGCAACAGCAAATCCGCCGCGCAGCTCGAGCGCGAGCGAGCTCTCAAAGACCTCAGCCTGCGTCGCGCGGCCGGCTCTACATCGCAAGACGCCTTTACCTTTGCAGGCGACCGCCACAGCGACCAGGAGACTGACCGTCAGCGCGACGACGGCGCCACAGCCATGTCGATTGATGACGACCAGCCGCCCGAGGCTCCACTCACTCTGGATGACTTGAACCGCGCTCGGTTGACGCGAAGCAAGCTGGAAAAGTACGTGCACGCTCCGTTCTTTGCCAAGTCCATTCGAAACTGCTACGTGCGCGTGAACATTGGTGTCAGCAACGGCCAGACCACATACCGCCTTGCCAAGGTTGCCGGGGTCGAGGAGGGCAAGAAGGCGTATCAGCTCGGCGCGACGCGCACCAACAAGCTGATTGAGCTGGACTACTGCGGCTCCCATCGCAGCTACCGCCTCGAGTACGTATCAAACACTGACTTTACCGAGTCCGAATTCTACAAGTGGAAGGACGACATGGCGTTCAACCGCATCCCCTTGCCGAGTTTGGACGAGCTGCGACACCGTTCCAAGCAGATTCAAAGCATGTCTCAGCATGTCCGAACGTCCCAAGTCATCGACGCCATGCTGCAAGAGCGAAATCGGTTCCAGAAGGCACCAGAAGGCCTGGCGTATGCCAAGACTTCGCTTGCTCACGAAATCAGCGTTCTCGAGCAGCAGGGCGATCCTCAAGGCTTACTTCCCGGCTTGCGCGAAAAGCTTGCCGAGACAGAGGCCGCCGCCGAAGAGAACAACAAGAAGGCGACTGAAAATCTGAGCTTGGTCTCGCAAATCAATGCCAAGAATCGCCACAAGAATCTCAGCGACTTGGGCCGCAAGGCCTCTGGCGAGAAGGTTGTGTCGAAGCTCGATCCTTTCGAGCGGCGAGCGTGCCGCCCAGTCATGTTCGCCTTCCCGAAGGAGGATCCCAACGCATCGCATGCGACCGCGGCTCCTGCGGCACCCGTTGAAGTGAACACGGCCAAGACCACACATGCAGATGCCCCCAAGCCAGCCTTCGAGGCTCGGTCCTACCAGGTCGATCCTGTTGCTGCACAGAAGGCATTGTTTGGCGCGTCGATTGGCGTTTCTTCGGCCAAGGCACCAGAGAAATCAGCACTCCCGCCCATCCGAGACTTGTTTGCTTCGGCGGATTTGCGTCTCGACATTGATGTGTCAACCAGCGGTATGATCTAGAGCGAAGCTGTCATGTTTAGTTGTTGTTTTTGGGGTTTGTTGTTGTTTTTGGGGTCTTTGCTGTGATGAATGCTGGACTGACCTTTGACCTTGAAATGTTGCATTATCACAGCGCCAGTAACCATGCCAGGTATTACTCCCACAAGCGCAGTCCGGCGTGCAATGCCCGACAACAAGAATCGCACCATCAGTTTTGCAGATTACAAGCAACGAAATGGGTTGTTTTGAAGAATGGTGTTTGTTTTCACACAGAGTTTATGCACAATTACCAAACGCGCCAACAATCAGTTGTGCATAAAGTGCATCATCATGGCTGGGAGGGTATCGCTTTTTTTTTTTTTTTTTTTTTTTTGGGACGTGGGAAATCACCTAAGCAGTCAATTTCGAGGCCAACTCGGAGACATATTGAACAAGCTGCTCTTCCTCTGCAGGCGTGGATTGTGTGCGACAGAGCGACAGATGCTTGGAGGTGACGGCACGATCTAAATCAGAGGCCAAACAACACCAGCAGCGCAAATCATCAGCGCCGCTGCAAAAACTCGTCGTCTTGGCACTCGCAGGCCGCCGTACCTTCAAAAAACTCTCCACTTTGCTCGGGTGTGACACTACCACTGATTGCCAGAAAGACAAGCGTGTCTGCACCCTGCTCTTCGGTTCGCAACTTGTTTTTCCAGAACTTGTGAAAGTCGGGCATCGATTCTCGAACGGCAGGCGTATCTGCCCAGCCAGGGTGCATCGAGTAGAAGGAGATTCCGTCGCTCGCATGCACTTTGGCCCAGTGATCCATGATCACCATCATCTGACGCTGTGGGAGCGGTTGAGTCACAAAACAAACCAACCAAAAACCAAGAAACACATCAACACCCCCTGCATCAACCCGTCACCACACCTTGTTGTGAGCATACGCCATTTGACCATCAAACTTTGTCGGGCGCTCCAGCTGGGGGTCTGTCATGTCAAGTTTCACCAGCAGCATTCCACCGGACGAGACATTCAACTGGTTGTTGTGGCGAGATTTGGTGAGTGCGAACGACGCCACAAGGACCGCAACAATAACCAAGTCTGTTATACTCGCTGGACAACAGAGACGCTTACAACACGAGCGTTTGGTGCCTTGGCAAGAACAGGGATCAGCGCGGTTGTGAGAACGTACGGTCCCAAAGTGTTGGTGGCAAAATTGACTTCGAGGCCCTCGGAAGTCGTCTGCCGCTCGCGCACCATGCATCCAGCGTTGTTAATCTAATCAAAGGAGAGTGTGGAGTCAAGCGATGAAGCCCTTCCAAACGAAGACACTGTACTACAAGAATTAAACGAAATTGGTCCAGGTTTGTTGCTGTGAATACTGACCAACACATGCAACGGCTTGCCGCTGGCGCAGAATTCTTGCGCAAATCGTGCTACATCCTTGATACACGAGATGTCCAAGATGTGCACCTCGACCATGGCAGGTGAGACCTTTGTTTCTTCCAGCAATTTGCGTTGAGCGGCTTCGGCACGTTCAGGATTTCGGCACACCATGTGCAGCACTCCGCCTGCGTTGATCCAAGCACATCATCATTGCCGTCACAATTCAATTCGTGATTGGAACACGAATCATTGTATCCACTGCGTTTATGTTTTTGGGTGTTCCGCGCGATCAACAATTTTGGGCCAAATTTCAACAATGATGGTCATCACTGCTGTCGTCTTCACACCCGGCAAAATCGCAACCAGGAGTGTGGACGTACCGCGCAGGACAATCTCGCGACAGGTTGCGTATCCGATGCCAGAGTTGGCGCCCGTCACCATGAAACTGCGTCCTTCCACGCGAACGGTAACGTCCAAGTCACCTGCGTTGAAGGATGCGGCTGCTCGTTCGTATCCAGCACTGCGCATCCCAGCCACAAGAGAATGAGACAAAATTTACAAAAAGTCAGAATGTGAAGATCCTGGCAAGCCAAGCAGAGACGCTGTCGACCGAGGCGGGGGGGGGGCGGCGGACAGGATGTGCTCGAATGGAAACGCGCCATCTGAAACGCAACGCAACCTGCCGTACTTTGTATATCGCCGAGCTCCACCCCAGAGCCAAGCTGCTGTGCGATATGCTGTCGTGGACATGCTTGTGCGATGAAAAAAAAGGATTTAGTCAACAACCGAGGAGAAGAGCAAAAAGAAAAGTTGGGAACAAAAGTTGTGCCAAGCAAAAACAAAAATGCAGACTGTACTTGTGAGATTTCATGGATTACATGAAACAAAACTCTAATGATGAGCAGCAATAAGCACCCAAGGCGGTTAATGGGTCGAAGGTGCTGCCAGCTCTTCTCGCAATGCGTTGATGAGCGACCGACGGAATGTTCCCAGTTTGTTAAAAGCCACATCCATCAGGTGGTGGCAATCCACCGCCGCAAGCGACGAGTTCTGTGGATGCAAGAGCGTGGCAGTACGACCAGACGTAGAAAAAAGAAGAAAAAAAGTAAGCTCACGCGGAGTTGATGCTCTGCTTGCAATCCCAAAAAACTGCATGCAGCAAAAACCGGCAGTACCTTGACACCATTAAAAAAACTAGCCATGTCTTTAGCTCTCAAAAGTTCTTGGTGATGGATTTGAATGAGAGCAAGGGTGACTCGAAACAAGACCTTGGAGCCTTCGTACAAGAAAGAATCCCAAATGCGCATTGTTGTCTGCGTGACAAAAGGCCAGGTGAGTGAGTTCAGTGGGCATAAACAGACACAAAAAGCTCAAGAAAATCGGCAAAGCCACTTTTCGGACATACTTCTGGTGGAGTGGAGTCAATAAACATGCAGATAAACCACTTGGTGGCAATCAAACTTAACGTCACGCCATTGCGCACAAATAGATCGTGAATCTCCGGATATCGGAGCCGCACTAGCTCTTCCGCGACGGCAAGATCTGTGAGCAGGGGCGCCATCGAAGGGACGTGATACCTCGGAGCCAGATGAGCGTCCTTGCCGATAATTTGTGTTAGGGCGTAAAAGGCGTCGCTCTCGTCCCGCAGCACCAGCAACAACATTGCAGCAATAAAATTGAGGCCTTGGCAATAGCCAATCTCCGGATCGTACGCTGCGTACGCAACCAACACGCGCCGCAGCTTCTGAATGCTCGGCATTGGATCCATCGGCGGGCGGTTCAAAGTGAACGTTCTCGGGAAAAGTGCGGTTAAGATCTGCATGTATGTATGCGTATTGACAAGAGGAAGGTGGCACAGAGCGGACGGCGAAGCAAGCAAGCGAGCGAGGCATGATCGGCGCAAAGATTGACAACTGACAAAGAACCTGCACATACTCCTGCACCATACCTTTTTCAATAACGTCTACGCTGACCGGGTTGGCCTTTGCAGGCGAATCGACCAGCAATTGGGCGTACAAGTTCGGGTTTTGCTGTCGGAAAACGGTAGCGCCGCAAATGTCAAGCCACACCGGCGCTCGCCAGTCGCTCGGAACGCCCTTTCTGCAAAATCGTTTCACTAGATGACACGAGCACACACGGACAGCCCTCAGACGTGAACATCCATGGGTAAAAAAAAAAAAAAACCCACCGCAAAGGTTGGACAAAATCTGCGAACGCAATCATCATCTCACATTGCTTGGATTTGACAAACAGCAAAGCTCGTGTCTGGCCAGGGTGGATGCTGTACAATACTGGCAAATCTCGAACATAGATGTGCATCCAGCGAGACGATCGGTGCATGAGGATTGCGGCGTATTGGTGCGACAGGTACTCTTGGATTGCGTCCCACTTGAGCGGCGACGAAGGGTCGTCTGTGCGGAATCCATACCGGTCTTGGTGCTTGTGGGACCTGCGACATAGACCCAAACCCCCCAACGCGAGCGCGTGAGTGTGGGTGTGACTGTGAGTGTAACTTTTGGCAGGAGCGACAACGAGCCAGAATGGAGACGCCTGTGGTTTCCGCGTACCGCTCGCCCAGCTCGGTTTCGTCATCCATGCTTGCTGTGGCAGTGAAGACAGGCTTGCCTGCGTCGGCTCGTGCGCGCCGGGCGGCTGCGTTTGCCTTGGCCTTGCTCGCGGCAATGTTCTCGTCTGCTTGTTCTGTGCCGGCCCCGCTGTCCTTTGTCGCCCGTCGGCCAAACATTTTTATTGTTGTTTGTTGTAGACTGACTGAATTGCTCTGTTCAACCCCAGTCAATGTTAAGAGGGACTTGAAAAGTGCTCTCAAAGTTGACTTGAAGCACTTAAGTGATTTTCCATTGAGATTCTTCCTCCTTTTTGATACGCATTTCGCTCATTGTCCAAAACCAGCGACGCATCATTTCTCATTCTTTATTGTTGTTATTATTATTCTCGTTCGTCTCGATTCATCTTCATTCATCATGGCGAGCATGCAAGTCGAAGTTCTCGATCCCAGCGGAACTGGTAGTCATTTCGAGGTGAGTCGTCCGTCTGCTCGCCTTTTGCTCGCCTCCGCCCCTCAACCGCCACGGCATTCATGGCATTCATGGCGAAGCAATTCCAGTGTCTTGCTGAACGGGCGAGGGAAGGAAGGGGGGACCACTTGGCTGGTGGGCAAAGGGGAGACTGTCTCACATTCTCTCTGTCTCTCTCTCTCTCTCTCTGTCTCTGTCTCTCGCTGCAGGCTGTCGTGGAAGACATGATGGACTCCAAGGTCTTTGTCAGATTCATCAACGGGTAAGTCGCCACTTTGCCGCGTTTTCACTCATGCACACCAAAGTGTCTTTTTTTTTTTTTTTTTTTTTTTTTCCAATTCAAATGGCTCGCTTTTTGACTGTGGCGCGCGAACAACGCAAACACAACGGAGCGTCAAGTTCCACCCATCGCGCGATGCCCCTTTTTTTCCCACCGAGTAGTAATGCCGTCGTCGTCGTCGTCATTGTCGTCGTCGTTCCAAGTCGGTCTCTGGTGCCAACGGGACGCGGGCAAACCATCGAAACGAAATTGTGATGAGATCACACTTTTGAGCATTATTATTATTATGATTATTTTTTTTATTTTTATTTTTTTTTTTTTTTGGTTTTGCTGAGATTTGGGAGTACTTTCGTTTTCCCACCAAAAACAAAAAAGCAAGTATGAGCGGGATGGGCTGATCATTGATGGAGTACAACAGCTTGGAGTATGTTTGAATTTTGCAAACAATCACCGTTGGAACAGTGACCACTTTGTTTTTGCAACTGTGGCGATTGGGAACATCAGCATCTGTGGTGCGGACAGCTACGCCTTCTCCATGGACACAGCAATCTGCACCATTACCTTGTTTCACTTTTACGAGTGTATCTGGTGGAAAAGAAAAAAAGAAAGTCGTCAATCCTGCTCATTCCTGACTGCTCGCTTCTTGATTCATGTTTGTTCTATCTTTCTGCTCCACCAGTCAAAAGGCGTCCGCTTGGGTGCCAATGGAGCACACTCGACCCGCCGCGGGTGGAGCACCCTCCGATGTGACTGGGGTGCGGTCCGGCTCCAATGCGCCGCACCAAATCCATTTCCACGTCAATGATCGCGTCGAGGTGTACGTCAAGAAGGACATGACCAGCGAGCTGCCAGCCAGTTGGTGGCCCGGAAGCGTGCTGTCGTCCGATGGCGATACGTACCGTGTTCGAGTGAACGGCACTCAACCGTTCACCACACTGTTTCCTCGAGAGATTCTGCGTCGCTCCAACGATTCGTACGTATCTTGCCAAGCACAGCGAGCACATGTTGCTCTTGTTGGAGTTGCCTGAAGCGGTCAAAAACCTGACCCATGCCTTTGAATGTTCATTCTTTCTATCTCACTTTCTGGTTGGACAACCAGGGCGTACTACTCTTCCATCGGCCTTGAGCGCATCGAGTTTATTCCGCCCCCGGAGCGTATTGCCCAGCTCCAGAACGATCGAAACAACTTGGGTAAGACCTCGAGCACCTTACCGTTGTTGCCAAATCGCCGTACATGTCGCTTATTTCTATTCCTCCTTGCTCCTTGGCCTGTGCAGCCTTCACCGAGCACTCGGGCGCAGCCATGGCCAGAATTCGCAACGTCCAAACCGTCCCTAACGCTCCTCCGATGTGGCGTTTTGTCGTTCTGGGCACTGCTGCTGCTATGCGCAAAGCCCGACTTCTCATCGACGAGCATTACCGGTTTTTGAAAGCGCTTGAGGTATCGTTACTTTTTTTTTGTTGTCCTCTGTGCATTTACACGGGCTTGTCTTTTTTCCAAAACTTTGACTTTTCAAACTTGATGGCTTCGTGAACACTTTTACAGGCGCGGAACAACGGAATCCACGACCAGTTCACTGTACCGCGTGACGTTCTGGGATTTGTGATTGGCAAAGAGGGTTCCAATATCGCGCAGGCCTCTCTCATACCCGGCGTGTCCAGCATCGACGTGAACAAGGAGACTGGCGTGGTTTCCATCATCGCTTCGAGTACTGAGGCGATTGAGGAAGCTCGTTCGTTGCTCAACCTTCGCGAGGTGAAAATGTCCATCCCTCTGGCTGACGCAGACCGTGTTTGGAAGCAGCAGGATGACTTGATCTCCAAAGCGTCGCTCCACTCGATGCGAGTCACTCCCCAGGAACACCAGCACCGCGCTGAAGTTTCGCTGAGGGGCACCCCGCAGCATGTCGATGATGCTCAGACCCTTCTCAAGTTCATGCTCGCCGTCGAAGCCCTTCCCGTCAACAACCACAATTGGCGAGCAGGCCGGCGAGGCGAGTTCCGCGAGACGTATCGTCGCCAAGCTCCTAGGGAAAGCGCCAATGACAACCGCCACCCTACGTCCTCAACTGCACACGCGGACAAGGGGAAGCGACCAGAAACGGCAGCACAGCCAGATAATGCTCGCGATCTTGACAACAAGCGAAACCTTGCTGCCAAATCACAGGAAAATGCGTCACGCGCTTCCACTTCTGCTTCTGCTTCCCATTCCCAGGCGTCGCAGAGCGGTCAGGCTTCCCACCGTCAGTCCGATGGGCGAAATTCGCGCCAGGAGCAACAGCAACAGCCAAAGCAGCAGCAACAGCAGCCGAAGCAACAGCAACAGGAGCAGCCGAAGCAGCAGCAGCAGCAACAACAAAAGCAGCAGCAGCAACAGGAGCAGCCGAAGCAACAGCAACAGGAGCAGCCGAAGCAACAGTCGAAGCAGCAGCAACAGCAACAGCCGAAGCAGCAACAACAGCAACAACCAAAGCAGCAGCAACAGCAACAGCAACAGCAACAACAAAAGCAGCAACAGCAACAGCCAAAAGACCAAAAGCAACAACAGCAGCAAGGCGCCCCACAAGAGAAGCCAGATGCAAAGGTGCAAGACGAGGCTGCGCCGCAAAGTTCTCAACCTCAAGAGCAGTCAAAGCAGCGACGACAGCGCGGTGGCCGCCGCGACGAGCGGGGCAAGGAGCGACAGCAGTCCGAGAAACAGCAGCCGGAGCAACAGCAACAGCAACAACCACAGCAAACTGATCAAACGCAGTCGGTGCCGCAATCCGAGCAAAAGCAGTCGGTGCCGCAAACGGCTTCCAAGCATGAGGCAGAGCCGAGCCGAAACCAACCTCAGCCACAGCGAGAGCCGAAGAATCGCGCGCGCCAATCCGCTCAACAGCCGCCTGCAGCATCAGCATCTGCTGCTGCTGATAACTCTGACACGAGTGCAGCTGGCATCCAGCAGCAGCAGCCCGCGACTGCTGAGGGAGACGAGGCGGCGCAGGCGAGTAAACAGGCTGCCGCCCGGCTTGTGCAAGGTCGCAAGACGCCCAACCGCAAGCACCTTGATCAACAGCGCGAGTACAAGGGTGCTCAGTCCGCTGACGCGCCTGCCTCGACCTCGTCCCCTGCCCCCGATTCTGCCGCGATTGATAGTAGCTCGGCAAAGAGTTCTCAGGATACCGCTGCTTCAACCCGCTCGCCCAAAAAGGCCACTGAGCCAAAGCGTCGCGTGAATGGTCATTCAAAGTCGTCCAACGCCTCGGCATCGGCCTCGGCTTCGCAGGCAGCGTCGCCCGCTGCCACCTCGTCCTCCTCCTCGCCCGCGCCCGAGGCTGCTGCCGAATCTGCGCCCGAATCTGCCCCCAAGATCGCGCCCGAGTCCACGCCCGAATCCGCGTCCACCACCAGCCCCGCGCAGGCTTCTGCCCCTGAAAGTGCTGCAGCAGCGGCCGCGAGCGAGTAGTAGCGCTGCTGTGTTTCACATTTCGAATTCAGGACGCTGTGTTTCGTCGCTCTTTTGTGTTTTTGTATGCCACCTTTTGCCAAAGCATTCCGAACAAATCAAGCAAGTTCTCAAACCCGGGTTTTCACAGGTTTTATTTGTTGATGTTTTAAATTTTGAATTTCAACACATTGCTTCTGGAATGTGAACTCTTTTCACACCCGTGTGCTCAGATCTATCCCAAGTTGTGTGTGAAAGGGCAAGCGTCCGACGCTTCCCCTTGGCGCCCCCCCCCCCAACACATTGCCGACTCATCTGCTGGTGATCATCCACAGCCGCTTTGGTCGCCCGCTTGTTGTGCTGCTCCCTCTGCTCCAGTTTGAAATAATAAAAAAAAAAACAAGAGAGGAGTCACTTCTCTTTTTGCACACTATTTTTGGACAAATCGGAGCGCAAGCTCTTGCATTTTTTCTCGTTCGCGCACGTTGAAGCGCTCGATCCCCATTCTACAAAGAGCCCTCCTTGGAGTTTATCGGCTTTTGCGGGGCGTGCCGCACTTCCGCGATTCAAGGCGTGCAACGAACGATATGGGGCGGCTAGCGAATCTCAACGGCAAAGAGGAAGGGGCGAGCTCAGACGCCTGCTTCGAGCAGCTCCCACCGCCACGCCTCGGGCCACAGACCGCTGATGCGCTTGCGGGACGCGGTAGACGTGTCAGTGTCAGGCGCCTGTTGTCGGGGCGACGACCACCACGGAGCTGCGCAATGGCTGCTTCTACAAAACCGCTTTGGGCTTTACTCATACTTCTCGTTCTTCTGTCTGCCTGCGCTGGCTTGTCCGTCGCTGACACGGCCCGACGACGACACGGCAGTGATAGTATCGCACAAGCACGCGGCAGCAGCAGAAGCAGCAGCAACCAGCGGTCGGCAATTCAACGCCGTGTTTCGCCTACCGAGCCTCCAGATTCGTCGACGGCGGTGGTCGCAACGACGGCGTCGGGCCTGCAGACGCTGGTGGACGACCCCGGTGCTGCTGGGTACTGGATTGAGCTTGCTGCCGGCCAGTTTGTGCTCGACCAGGTCGTCCGCGTCCCGGCCAATGCAACCGTTTGGTTGAGGGGTTCGCCGCCGCCGCTGGTCGCCAATCCGCTGTTCACAAGCGCCCGAGCCGAGTTTGCCAGCATCAATGCCACCGTGCTCGACGCCAAGCGCGCCACCTTCCAGTCCACCGTCGTGGGGTACAACGGGCCGCCGTCCCCAACGATCGGCATTGTCGTGGACTCGGGAGCGACGCTGCACATTCAGGGTAACCAAAAAAAAAAAAAAAAAAAAAAAAAAAAAAAAAACCACGTTCAATTACAAGCAAACCCTCTTCAAAAAAAAAAAAAAAAAAAAAAAGTCAGATTTTAACTGTGAATTTTAACATGACGCTACCTTTGGGTGCTCACCCTTTTTTTGTTCTTCTTCTTCTTCTTCTTCTTCTTCTTCTTCTTCTTCTTCTTCTTCTTCTTCTTCTTCTTCTTCTTCTTCTTCTTCTTCTTCTTCTTCTTCTTCTTCTTCTTCTTCTTCTTGTTATACGGATCTGCACTTCACTGAATGGTTTCTCCTTTTGGTTTTTTTTTTTTTTTTTTTTTTTTGCATTGGTTTGCTTTGTCAGACATTGTGTTTACTGGCTTTGTGTCGACAATCGACTCGGTGATCACCTTCTTGGACGCGTCTCATGGCTACTTTACGAACGTCATGTTCTATGGTAAGTGGTTTTGTGAGTGTGGATCCACTTCAAAGGCAGCACTCTTCTGAATCGAACGTGTATTCGCATGGGTTGCGTTCGTATCACAATTGGAACAGAGAATGGGCTCCTCGACGCTGTGGTCCACATTTCGAATGCAGTCGACCCGCCCGTTGACTTGTACTCGAACGGTCAGTGCGTGAGCACTGGCACTGACGTTGTTCTCGGCTTCTCGGACTGCATATTCTTCCAAAACTACGGTGCATTGACGTCCGTGCTATCCATCCAGGCAACAGCCTCAGCAGCGTTTTCTCGCTGCACTTTTATGGGTTAAGTTCGAGTCGTGACCAGTTTTGGATGAGGGGTTGAAACAACAAGTGCATGTTTCGCCTGATTTGATTTTTTTTTTTTGTTTTCCCGCTCCGCCCGAATCCTCGCAGACAACCTCTCGATTCGGACTCAAATCCACTTGATTGGTGAAATCAGCGCGGATTTGACCCTTTCCGTTGATGTCGAGGTGGACAATTCTGTCGCCATCGGCAACTCGGCATTGGGCTTCTTGGACACTTCGCTGCCCGCATCGGGCTTGGTGGTAGGCCAAGGCGCGCACTCAATCTCCATTCTGAACAGTGCTCTTCTCGACAATGTCGGCTTGTCGTCTGGCGTCGTTGACACTTCAACCATCTTTTTCCGCAACATTACGGCTACGCTTGCGGATTCCTTGTTCATTGGTACGTGCATCTGCCAACAAAAACAACAAAAACAACACAAACAAAACAAAAAAAACCAGGTTGATTGATTGGATTCTCACTCGATGTATCACAACTCTCGCCAAGCAGGGAACTCGGCGGACCTCGTCGTCATTCCTCAGTCGTCAGCTGGAGTCTTGAACGCGGTTGGAGGTGGCTCAGCAATAGTTCGGAACTGCGTATTTGAGCGGCAACATTCAATCTCGAATGGTGGCACCATCTCTCTCGACGACCGATTCCACTGCGAAGTCATCAATTGCTCGTTTACCAACAACACTGCAAACACCTACGGCGGAGGCGTGGCGTTGAATGCAGCCGCCTCCATGACCATCGCAAATTCTTCCCTTTTCGGTACGGTCGGCAGACAAGGCTGCTGGTTTGGTAGGGAATCGTGTTTCTCACATTTCTGGCTGTTGTCTTTTTGCTGCTGGTACACAGGCGGTTTTGCGGGTTGCGGTGGAGCAGCAGCCATTCTGGGGAGCTCGGCTCGCTTGAACATTTTGAGCAGCCTCTTCCAAAACAATTCCGGAGTCTGTGCGGGCGCCATTTATATCGTGGACGATGGCCAGCTACTCTTGTCAGACTGCACGTTTCTGTCCAATTCGGCACTGTCGGGTGGTGCCATCGTCGCTGGTGGTTCCGCCGTCATTGACATTTTCCGCTGCATCTTCATGGACTGTCGTGCTGGAGGCAGCGGTGGCGCACTCCACCTGTCGCAAACTTCCCGAACTTTGATTTCCGACACGGTTTTCTTTGGTATGGCGCGTTGCAGTGGCGATTGACTCGACCCCGGATGGTGGTTTAGATTGACTTGTGCGTTTTGTGCTTGGGCGTGTTTTGTTTTTGTTTGTCGATCAGGCAACCGCGCCGCTTCTGGTGGCGTCCTCTGGCTCGCAGATACCAGCAACGCCGTATTGACAAACTGCACTCTCACATCCAACTACGCCGTCCTGAGCGGTGGAGTTGCCGTGGTGGAGGGTTACAGCTCCGTAAATGTGACTCAAAGTCGGATCACTTCAAACGCAGCCTTGTCCAAGCCGGGCGGCGCCTTTCGCTGCGCAAGCGAGGCAGTGCTTGTTTTGACGCAGAGTGTCATTTCAGGTTTGTTTTGAACTTGTCCTTTGTGTTCTTTGCAGAGCGTCGATTTGCGGCTTGCTTTTCGTGTCTCACCCTCGCTGATGGTGTTGACCAATTGCAGGGAATCATGCTGTCGCCGCTGCCGTTGCTGAAATCTCTGACTTGGCCACCTTGGCCATTTACTCGTCGGTCATCTCCAACAACGTTGCCACTGATTCTGGTGGCGTGTTTACGGCTTCCACGGTTGAGCCAAGCATCAGCCCGGATGGCAGCTTTTTGGTCGATTCGGCGCTGCTGGATTTCTCGGAAGGGTTTACTGATCTGTTCTCGCAGCTCGGGTATCGAAAGTTTTCTGCCCGCTCGCCTTATTTCGGCCTGGTGCTGCTGACGGACACGATTTTCCTGAACAACTCGGCGAGGAAGCAGGATGCTGGTGTGGGCAAGTTGTCCAACAGCGAGTTGGTTGTCCGCAACTGTACGTTTGAGGGCAACTCTGCCCCAGCGGGTAGCGGCGGCACGTTGCTATTTATGACGCGCTTTGCGAAAGCCGCTCCTTCCATGCTGGTGGAAAACTCGACTTTTGCGCACAATTCGGCGCAGCTCAACGGAGGAGCCATTTATTTCCCGACTCCCACGATTGCGACGTCGACCAGCACTCCTGCAGTATGGTCGACTGTTCGTGTGCTCAATTCGACATTTTCCGCCAATTCGGCCAGTCAGGGCGGTGCCGTGTTTGCTGAGGTCTCAGCGTCCCTCCCCATCGAGTCCAACAATGTCTTTACCGGGCAATTTGTGCGCCTGTACGGTGAGGATATTGCCACCGTTTGCACGCAGGTCGACTTTACGACGAGCAAACACTACAACGTCACCACTCCTCTGACGCTGCTCGCGGGTCGAGTGATCAATCTCGGCGCAGTCGTTTTGCTGGACGCCTTTGACCAAGTGGTCCTATTCGATGAGGGCTTGCCGGTTACGTTGGAATTTGCTCTCCAATACTGGAACGGGTCTTCCGCCGAACACGCAATACAGGTGCGAGCGTTCGGTCTTGTTTGTTTATTTTTTATTGTTTTGGCTTGCGGATTGGTTGCAGTATGCTCATCTAGTTCGGTTTGTCTCTCTCTCTCCCCCCCCCACCCGCTTCCTCCCACCTCCCCCTACACATGATCGACCAAACAGCTCTGGTCGGCGGAAGATGTGGACGCGCTCACCACGTTTACGTCAATGCCCGTCTTCTCGGGACGCGTTGCATTCCACCCATTGACCGTTTTCGGTACCCCTGGCGCCTACCAGCTCGTCCCCCTGCTTAGCGATGGTCGATCATTGACGCATTTCGCCAACTACTCCATTCGCTTGGTCATTCTCGAGTGTTCGAGCTCGATGGTCATGTTTAATTACAACGGGCATTGGCAATGCATGACAGGTATTGGTTGATTCGTACCATAGTTGTTGCGCTTGTCGTCTGGGCACTAACGTTGCTGAATATGCGCTTTCCAGTCGACTCGCCTGCTTTTGCAGCAACGGCGGTCTTGGCTGGTCTTTCAGCCGTCGTTTTATTGTTTCAAATTGTTGGCGTTGTTGTCATTCGACTTTACCGCGATCATAAAGTTGTGCAAGTTGCCGGTGAAGAGGTAATGCGCCCAATGTCCTCTTGCTTGTGCTTGCTTGGATGTGCGCATTTGGCTGTTTCCGAGCCCTACTCACCTGAGATGAAACGTTTTTTGCTTGTGCGCGCTGCAGTGGTGCTACATGCTGGCCTTCAGTAGCTTCATGTGCTTGTTGCAAATCTTCCTTCACTTGGCTCCTCGCTCGGACGTGGTTTGTGGCTTCATTGTTTGGGATGAGCATGTGTGCTTCATCTTGGCCTTCTCGTACGTGCTTTGCTGGGTTGAGCTTTCTTTGCTGGGTTGAGCTTTGTGTTCACCTGCTTCGCCGGTCTCTCTCTCTCTCTCTCTTGCAACTCACCATTTCATTGCACTGTCATCTTCTTTGGTTTTTGTGATTCGAGAGAGCAGCTTGATTGCCGTCAAGTTACGTACTGGCCATAGCCTTTCGGAAGGAACGGGGTCCCGGAATCTGGAGCTCAAAATCGACCCGCATAAACTTTTCTTCCATTGCGCGATTGCTCTCGGTATCTCGGGTGTACGTGCGATGTGTGCCCCATTTTTTTATTTTGCGAGATTTTGCACTTTGGTCTTGCCCCTCGGCTCTGCAAGTATTGCAACGTTCCTCTCACCCCATCTCTCGACTACCATCGAAACAGTTTATTGTCGCCATCTGGCAGATTGTGAGCCCACCGAAAGCATCACTAAGGTCGGTTTCGTCAACGGAGCTGCAGTACGAATGCGCCACGGAAACAGTCGGATTTTTGTATGCCCTTTACGCTTATGAGGTAAACTAGGAGACTTTTTGTGTCATGTTGCACCTTGGGGTTTGTTTGGTGTGCCGGTGTTTGATTGTTATTCAACTCTTCGTGTTTATTTGGTTGTAAATCGGCTGTTGGTGTTTTTGTTTTGTCCTTTCTCACGTTGTTGTTGGGTCGCTCGCAACACCATCCTCCTTGCAGGTCATCACGCTGATTGCTTGTCACGTGCTGGGCTTCCGAATTCGAAGAGCCACGACCCTGTTCAACGAGGCCAAACTGCTCTCGTGGGTCGTTTGGGTCGTTACTGTCTTTGGCGTCGGCGGTGCCGTTTTGGTTCTTGCTCTGAGCAGCGCCGTATCGGCCACTGGTTTGCAAGTATTTATCAACATTTCTTTCTTTGTCAGCGGTTGCGCGTTGACGTTCATCATCTTCCTGCCCAAGATTTATTCCATCATCTCTGGTACGTCCCCCCCCATACACACACATACACACAGTGGATTTGGTTGCTGCTCAACGCCACTAACAACTCTTCTTTTCACAGGCTCTTGGAAGGCTGGCGGATTGGGCAAGGAAGTGGTGCTGTGCTATACCATCGAGGACAAGTCTTTCATGAAGCGCATTGAAGCCATGCTCACCGAAGCTGGCATTGAAGTGTGGTTTGACGAGCTTCGACAGCATGTAGGTTCTTTATCGGAGCTTTTGCTCTCTCTTACAAGCGCAAACTGGGGTCGGAGGCTTGTTTTTGTGTGTTGCTTTCGCACCCTTTGCAACTCACCTCCTCATCCGTTGGGTGACTTTGCCTGTGCCTTCATTTTTCAGGCTGACAAGACGCGCCGCCGCGAGGTCGCCCAGACGGTGATGGGGTGCCAATCTCTTATTTTTATCGTCTCGGAACACTCTGTCAAGTCGCCGTACTGTCAAACGGAAGTCCAGTTTGCCTTCGATAGTGGAGTCAGAGTGTTTCCAGTCATCATCAGCAACAAGTTTATGGAGGTCATCGATCCTGGTCTGGAAATGCTTTTGAAACGTTTCCAATGGGTTATCTTTGACGAGCCGAACAAGCCCGAGTCAGCGCTGGATGCCAGCTCGGACGATCTGAGCGCGGCCTCTCACAAACAGAAAAAGAACTTGCGCGCCGAACGCATGCTACAACTCAAGAATGCCGTGTCAAATCATTTGAAGATGGTAAGCGCGTGCCCGTTTGTCGTGTTGGCCACCATGTCGTTGAGATATTGAGATGAAGGACGGAGACAACTCACAAATCTTCGTGATCTCACTGTTCTTTCGCCTTGCAGAAGTCCGACCAGCGATCAAAACCCGCTTCTCATGTCGCAGAGGCAGGCAACGCCAACCAGGAAGGATATGCAGGCGCGCCCAGTAAGACTCAGACGCATGCGCAAGCACCTAACACGCCCAACGAGCTGGCTGCAGAGCTCAAGCCGAAAGACCTGTTCATCTCTTGGGCGCACATCGATCACGCGCTGGTTCGCGAGCGCCTTTGGCCCGATCTCGAGGCTCGACATATTGATTGCTGGATTGACGTTTCGGCGCTGGTGGCCGGCGACTTTTGGCGTCGCGCGATTGGCCAGGCCATCAAGCATTGCAAGGTTTTCCTGTTCGTAATGACGCCCGCCTCCATCAAGTCTCAGTACTGTCAAGAAGAGCTGCTGTATGCCGCCTCCTGCAAGAAGCTCATCTACGTCATCCACACCAAGTCCTGCAAGCGGGAGCTGGACGAGTTCCCGGATATTCGTGCCGTCATCGCCGACGCCGTCAAGACCGACTTTTCAGACACGGTTTTGTATCTTTCGCATGTTGACTCGTTAGCCGAGCAAATCGCCAAAGAATTTGCGACCATTCGAGAGCAGGAGCAGGCAGTAGCTCTCAAGAAGCAGCAAGACCGTGAGCAGCAGCAGCTTCGAGCCCGGTCGCGCTTGCCAAACGGCTCTTCGTCCGTTCGCTCTGCAAGTAACACCAAGTGGAAGCCTCTCGCAATCATTTCTTCGGCGCTGAGCAGGACACGCATGCATGGCGTCAATACGACCACAGCCATGCCCGTCCTTAGCGAAGCGCAGGAGGGTGCGCCCACTGGAAGTGGCGTTGTTGGGGCCGAGCAGCCAGAGCCCGCAAGTCCAGTGAAGACCGCCCCGCATGCCGACGAATCAAGTTTCGTTGATGTACACTCTCCAACGACGACAGCAGGCCACGCACTTCACTACGTGCGTGAGGTCGACACGGAAAGCACCGTCAGCGGCATCTCCCTTGACCGTGTTAGTCGCTATTCTTCGGCCAGCTTGACGCCTGGTGATGCTGCGACCTCGTCCTCTCCGATCACCATCGATAGTGAGACTGAGGCAGAAGAGGATGTTGATCTTGTCAAGTTTGGCGCCCAGCTGGCTGCGGCTCGCAAGCAAAGTCGGAAACTCGAGATGAGCTCGTTTTTCCGCCTCGGTGGCATTGGCCAGTTCACTGCTTCCTCCGACAGAACGTCTATTCGAGGTGACGCATCTATGGAATTGCCGGCCGCATCCTCGTCCCTCAGTGACAAGCCTTCCGCTCGCTGGAAACGGGCTGCTGCAGCTGTTCGCCTGGGGACTCGGTTGCGGCCTGAACCCAAATCGCTGCCAGTACCATCGCGAGGCCCTGCCAACACATCTCGCAAGCGCTCCAACTCGATCACGGTTACCGAGCAGCAGCAGACGCCCATCGAAATGACGGAGCGATCGAGCGCGAACAATGCCCACAAGCCCGCTGCGAAAACTAGCAGTTTCGACAGTGCGCTTGGGCTTCGGAGCAAGCGCTTTGCCGCCGCCACCGCCACCGCCTCCTCCAAGGCGCCATCCTCCCCTATTTCAGAGATTTCAACCATACCAATGTTTGACGTCAACCTGGCTGGTCAATCTGGAAGCGGCATCCAAGCCTCCGCATCGAGCAACATTGTGATTGAGCTTGAGCCCGTTGCCTCCTCATCTGCATGCAGCTCGAGCAATTTCGAGAGTCATCCCGTGCACGTTGACCATGGCACTGCGGTGTAATCTCCTTTATTCCGTTAAGATTCATTATCCTCCTTTTTTTTTTCTGTACCATCACCCCCTTTTTGTTTCGATTTCTTTTGCTCGAGTTTGTTGAGTTTGATGCTTTTTATGTGTGTGTTGCGATGTAATATTCATTGACGACTCGTCAGTATTCACCATTCCACAGTCGATGCATGGAAGCGCTGGATTTTGCTGTTCACCGTAGTTTTGTATTGTTTCCCCGAAATCACATGCTCTCTCTCAAGTGGATATTATCTGGGTTACTTTTTACATTTACACTAATTCTCGATCACTGGTTTTTGCTGCAAAGTGTAAATTTTTGCATTTCCATGGAAGGATCATTCCTTTTTCCTATTTCAGGTGCGCTTCGTTCAACCTTTTTTGTCTTACTTGTTCCTGCAGGATTGGTTCTGCGACTTCTCCCATCATCTGTGAGGAGTGTACGGCGAGGCTTTGGGTGGAGGTTCGGGCCGCTTGGAGTGCTTGGCGCGGGGTGACGTAGGAGGGGAGGTGTGGTTTTGCGCGAGTGGTGTCATTTCATCATCCGTTGGAACAAGCTCCAGTGTCATTGCTTCTCGTTTCGCCGTCTGCCTCCGACAGAAGGGGGACTCCAATCGAAAGACCCCACTCTTTGCCTTGCCTTGTCTTGCCCCCCCCCCTTTGAAAGCCAGAGCACCAGGAAGCGGTGCACGCGAACGTGTGACGAAACAGGCCACCCGAAAACATCCCCACAACAACAACAACAACGAAGCGAGTCAGTCAGCTTGCACCCACACACGAATGCCGATGCTTTGGATGTTGCGGTGATGCTTTGGAGATGGAAAATGTCCTCCTGTCATTTGCCAGAGGACTCACCACAGTACCACAATGTTGGTGGTGGTGGTGAATCGGAAAAGCGAATACTCGTCATGCGAAAATTCAACACCAGTGGATCAAAAATTTGAAAAATCCAAAAATGCCTTCGCTTTTCCATGCTCAGTCAGTCCACATTGTTACCGCTTTTTTTTGTTCTTCTTCTTCTTCTTCTTTTTTTTTTTGAAAGTTCCACAGTTTGCATTTCTGCTTGATTCTCAAAAGTGCGGCTCGTGTGTGTGTGTGGATTTGGCTCGAGTTCGGGGGGAAAGTGGGGGTTGGCACTGCGCAGTTCTAATTCGGGCCACTGTGTCATGCTAACTGAGCGTTCTCTCTGTTCTCTCTGTTGTCGACAGCCTCACAGTTTCTGAAACAACTTGCACCCCCCCCATTCCAACTCGTCGTAATCAGCGATCACCATGGACTACAACACGACCCCAGGCACCAACCACGAGCGTCGTGACGACGAGCCGCAGAGAGCGGCAGGCGAAGAAGCAGTCGCGGCGACGGAATTCGTCGCGACCGTCTCTGCTCCTGCTCCTGCTCCTGCTCGTGATGTTCATCCTGCTGATCCTGCAGCTGCTCCTGTGATTGCTGATGACGTGTCGCACGTCTCTACGGCTGCAGCGTTCAATGAGCCTGCGACTCTGCCAGCTCCCACTGCGCCTGCGCCTGCGCCTGCGCCTGCTCCTGCTGTTCCACGCAGCGGATCTGCCCTGTCGTTCGAGGCTGCGGTCCGAGGTGGCCCAACTGTGCTCTTCCGCGACGATGGCTCTGGTAGCGACACCGACCACGACGATGAGACGAGCGGCGCTGGTAAGACCCTGATTTTCGGATGTGCCTCTGCGTCATTCTTGACACACCCACTCGCTCGCTCGCTCTCTCACTCACTCTCGAGATTCCGACCAACATCTCTTTGACATTCTACCCACACACACACACACACACACACACACACACACACACACACACACACACACACACACACACACACACACACACACACACACACACACACACACACACACACACACACACACAGACGCTGCTCAGAAACCGCAGGGAACAGTGACGGCGGCAATGATGATGGCCGGCGCGGTTCCGTCTGCTCTGAGTAGCGGCGACCAGCTCCAGCACCGCTCCTCGGGCGCGTCATCGCCCGTGCATGGATCCGGCCCGTCGTCGCGTCGGCTGACACCTGTTGCATCGTACACGTCATTGATGGCGATGGGAGACACGGTGAAAATGCCGCACGTCACGACAATCGCGTCTCGTAACGCCTTTCACGCGGACGACGAGGAGCTGTGGGATGAGCAAGCCCGCATGATGGCTCAGTTCTATCCTCACGGGCATTCCGCTTCGCATCCTTCCGACCTCCATGATGCAGCTTCATCCCCGGGTTTGATGACTGCGGCGGCGGCGGCGGCGGCAGCAGCAGCAGCTGCAGCAGCTGGTGGCAGTGGTACGCCACGCCCCACCTCTCCGACGCTGCAGGCCAGTGCGAGCATGGCCAGACCCAAGTCGGCCAACCGGCTCGACCAGCTCAAGCACTCGTTTGCCATCAACCAAGTGCCCTCGAGCGGAGAGGTTGCTGGCCTGGCGTCTCCGCCTTCTGCCATGCGGCTGTCGATGCACTCGCACCACCGTGTGACCGCTTTGGCCACTTCGGCATCCTCCGAGCGAGCGAACTTTCTCCGTCAGCGCTCACACTTGCAATTTGAAGTCAACGCTCTTGTGGAGGGCCATTCCATGCATGCAGGCTTTGAAATCCTTCCCGAGGCTGTTCCCGTCGAGCTTGCTACTGCTCAACAACTGGCCTTCACCATGTCCGTCGCCACGGTTGCCGCCTCATTCGAGACCAGTGAGCGCACCAACTTGCTCTTTGGTTGTTGTTTCGCTTGTGGGATGCCGCCATGCGTTTTTCTGATTTGCTGTCGTTGTCCACTCTCTCCATTCATGCTACAGATATCCAGCGCGGATTGACTCGCCAGGAGGCAGAGGATCGATTGGAGCGCTTTGGCTACAACGAGTTGGCCCTCGAGGCTGGCGTGTCTGCTTGGCGCGTGTTTGTCTCGAACCTGATCAATGCCATGAATATGGTCTTGTTGATTGCTGTCGCCGTTAGTGCCGCTGTTCAGGACGTTGTCAACGTTGTGGTTATTCTCATCGTCCTTGTGACGAACACTGGCATTGGCTTTTTCCAAGAGTAGGGTTTCTTGTTTTCCTCTTTTGTGATGTTGCTCGTTCTGCGCTGAACTGACTTCTTGTTCGGGTGTTGTTGTTGTTTTGCTTTCCCCTTTTTCGCAGGTATCGCTCGGAGCGTACAATGGAGGCGCTCCAGAAGCTTTCCGCTCCCACCGCTCGTGTTCTTCGTGACGGCGAACTGTCCGTGGAAGGCTCGGCTTTCGTTGTTCCTGGCGATATTGTCTACCTGGAAGAGGGAGATCAAGTCCCGGCCGACTTGCGTCTTGTGTCTGGCGTGAACCTGGAGATTGACGAGGCGCTGCTGACCGGCGAGCCGCTGCCGGTGCGCAAACACCCCGCGCTCATCAACGATCCCAACATCCCGTTGGGCGACCGCATCAACATGGTGTTCAAAAACACGTTGATTACAAAGGGCCGTGGCGTTGGTATCGCGGTCACGACTGGTTTGGCCACCGAGATTGGCAAAATTGCTCTGATTGTCGCCAACAAGGCGCCGTCGGAGAAGAACAAGCAAGAGACCACTGCCATGCAGGAAGTCACGGTTCGCACGGACGTCGAAACGGAAGAAGAGCGCCTCGACGCTATTGACGACGCCAACACCACACGACTCATTTTGCCACTCCGAGTCATCCGTCGGTTCTGGGACAACACCTTTGGCAAACACTCTGGCAAGTCGCCTCTTCAGCGCCGCCTGGAAAAGCTCATGTTTATTCTGCTTGGAGTGGCGGTCGTGCTCGCCATCATTGTCTTTGCAGCCAATCGTTTCGTTGGCGAGAGTGTCATTGCCTTGTACGCCATCGCTGTTGCTGTAAGTGGTTCGGGCGGGTGGTTGATTCTGCTTTGTGTGGTTTTGTTTGTTTCTGTGGAGACTTTGGTGTCTCACTTCTTTCTTCGCCGTTTGTTGTTTTTTCGTCGTTTTGTTCGCAGATTGCCATCATCCCGGAAGGTCTTCCCGCTGTTATTACAGTCACAATGGCGCTTGGCGTGCGTCGCATGGCGACTCAAAAGGCCGTCGTGCGTAAGATCTCCGCTCTGGAGCAACTTGGCGACACCACCAATATTTGCTCGGACAAGACGGGCACCATTACGGTCGGCAAGATGGTCGTCACCGAAGTCTGGGCGGGCGAGCGCCTGTACCAAGTGCGGGGTAATGGCATTGTTCCCGAAGGCGAGATCGTCGATTCGGACGAACAGGTCGTTGATGTTACCCGGCTTCCGTCTGATTTGTGTAAGAAATTTCGCCATAGTTCTCGACTGGTTTGCCTGCTGATGTTGCTCTTTTTTTCACTAACACTGCTTCATTTCAACACGTGCTCGGCAAAACAGCTGATGCCGCGTTGGTCTGCTCCATGTGCAACGGCTCCCGCATCCAGTTTGTGGACGAGAAATGGTCTGCAACCGGCGATCCAACCGAGGTTGCCTTGCTCGTGTTTGGCTACAAGGCCGACAAGAATCGCGAGGAGCTTGACAAGCAAATGGACACCATCTGCGAGTTGCCCTTCGACTCGGTGGTCAAGCGCATGACGGTCGTGTACCGTCAAAACACGGCGTACCACATCTTCCTCAAGGGTGCTACGGAGAGCGTGTTGGCTTGCTGCGAGGCCTATCAGTGCGGCAATGAGGTCAAGCCGCTCACGCCGGAGATTGTTCAGCACATCATGAGCCAAGTCGACAGTCTCGCGTCGAAAGGCTTGCGTGTTCTCGCTCTGGCGCGCAACACGATGCCTTCCAATCTGCACTCTCCCGCCAACCCGGTCAAAGAGAAGGGAGCGCGTTTCACCGTTGGGCCCAGCACCAATTCGCTTGGACTGTCTGAGGCAGACGAGCACGAGGACGAGCACGACGGTTCGGATGGCGTGCTGTTGGGCGGTGGTCCGACCGGCAAGTACGCGCCTTCGGCATGGACGACCGATTTCCGTGATGAAATCGAGCAGCGCTTGACGTTTGTTGGGCTCGCCGGCATGTTTGACCCGCCGCGCAGCACAACCGCAGGTGCCGTCGTCCAGGCACACGAAGCAGGCATCTCGGTTCACATGGCCACGGGTGATCATCCTGCGACTGCGGCCGCCATCGCCAAAATGGTGGGCATTGTCACTGAGGAGGACATGCGCGCCAATCCCAAGCTGGTGATGGTTGCACGCGATTTCGACGCCATGACCGACGCTGAACTTGATGCTGCCGATGAACTGCCGCGCGTACTGGCTCGCTGCTCTCCTGCCAGCAAAGTCCGCTTGATTCACTGTCTGCATCGTCGCAAGAAGCGTGTCGCCATGACTGGAGACGGTGTCAACGACGCACCGGCTGTCAAGCAGGCCGATGTTGGTACGTTTCCAATGGCATGGCTCGGACATGCTTGTCCTGCCTGAAAAGTTTTTGTTTTTTGTTCTATTCTGTTACTCACTACGTTGGCGACATGTTGTTATGTAACCTAGGCATTGCGATGGGCTTTGGTGGCAGTGATGTGACGAAACAAGCGTCCGATATTGTCTTGACCGACGACAACTTTGCGACCATTCTCGTTGCCATTTCTGAAGGCCGCCGCATTTTCGCCAACATCTCCAAGTTCATTGTTCATTTGATGGCATCGAACTTGGCCGAAATGGTTGTATTGATTATTGGTCTGTGTGTTCAGGATGCGAACAATATTTCCGTCTTCCCGCTGTAAGTTTTTGTTGTTGTTGTTGACACGCCACGCGCATTGACCAGGTGTTTGATGAATTGATGGGCTCATGTTGAAACTGGATTGGGCTTTCACTGACATACAGCTCTCCTCTGCAAATTCTGTGGCTTAACATGATCACTTGTAAGCGATTGGGTTGGCTGATGAACTTGTTGTTGACTTGATGTGTTGACTTTGTGGGTGTGGTTTTTTTTTTTGCCTGGTAGCCTCTCCGCCTGCGCTGGCTCTGGGTGTCGAAGGACCTGCCCCAGACATCATGACGAACAAGCCCCGGCCCAACGACGTTGGCCTTTTCACTCGCGAAGTTGTGGTCGATATGGTGTTTTATGGCTGCGTGATGGGTGTTTTGGGCCTGGTTGCCTTTATCCTGCGCGTTTTTGCGTTCAGCGATGGTATCAACTCGACTGAGTGCAACACGTCGTATTCCGATGCTGTAAGACTTTTTGGGATGTTTGTTCGAACTTTTGGGGTTCTACTTTTAGTAATGGTTTTTGACTCATTGAATATGCCACCTGACCACCAGTGCGAGAACGTCTTCCGCGCTCGCTCCACCGTCTTCCTGATGCTCAACTTTTTCTTCTTGTACATTGCGTACAACTGTCGCCACGCTCGCATGTCGACATTCAAGCTCAAGGTTTTCGGCAACATGGCCATGCTGTACACAATGGCGATTGGCGGCTCTATCACTCTCGCCACAGTGTACATCCCTTACGTGAACACGAGGATTCTGGAGCAAGCGCCCATCTCTTGGGGTATGTTCTCGTTGAGATGTTCAGTGCGTTGTCCGTGTCACATCAGAAGCTGACTTTTCGTGAATTTCTCTTCTTGTGCTGTTTTTGGTGGCGCTTCTTGACAGAGTGGGCCATTATTGCGGTCGGCTGCGTCATTTTCGTTATTTCGACTGAGATCTACAAGTACGGCAAACGTCGTCACTACGCTCAAGTTGATGCTCGCGCTGCTGCGACTCACGCCCCATCCAATCAGCTGGAGATGGTTGCCATCAGCACACACTCTACGTGAAGCTTTGTGCAAAAGCGGCGAAAGTTTGGACGAACTGTTCTCAGATGTTTTCTTTCGGGAGTGTGACAATCGTTAACTCATTTTTTTATGATGGTTTTTTTTTCTTTTCGTTTCAAGGCGTTCTTTCGGTGGTAGTTGTTATGCTTTTTGCAGTGTTTTCTACGTTACATTCAGTGCAAGCAATTGGTATCAAAGTAAATTTGCTCGTTTAATTGCAAACAGGTTTCAACTAAGTCCGCTCGATTACAAACAACACATTTAAATCGACTGCCAATGTCATCACCAGTTGAAAATGTACTCGATAGTCTGCCGGAAAAGAGACGGGTTAACCTTCTGCGGAGCTTTGCTTGTGTAGCCTGTCGAGAATACATCAATGTCTCGTCTTGAGCGCTGGGACGCGTTATGCAACGCTCGGGGAGCGGTCAAGTCTAGTCCCGCGGCAGCAGACTTGTCGCCCGCGAGAACGCCCTAGTTGCCACAATAATAATCAAAAGAGAAAGGGCCAAAACACCACGTTAGAACTGATTTCTCAGCCGTTTACCATTTTCTGCGGCCCACGCAACCAGAATCAAACATCACACGTACCCGATCTTCGCAGGGAGCCACGCCAAGCATGATGGAGCGAGCCACCACTTTGCGGTTGCGACTGATTGCACGCTCGGCTTGGAGATGCGATTTGAACCGAACATGCATCCAGTTGCCGCCGTCCGGGGCCATCATGTGCCGCACAATGTCACCGCACTGCTCCAAGTACGACAAGACCAGCGAAGCGGCTGTTGGTGGGAAGCCAAATACCGTCACCCAAACGTCCAGCGAGTTGTCTCCTTCAGCTGGGGCAATGTCCCTGCACCACCAAAAAAAAAAATCGCAGCGAATCGAAATCAGACACAACAGACGAACGAAACAAACAAAACGTCGGTTCCAGGCGCAATGTCCACAAATGCTGCATTACGAAAGAGCGTCGATCGAGTCGGAAGGCAAATGTGCTGTGCATGCGAGAGAACAAATCATAAATACGTAAGCACGAGGTCAATTTCAAAATCAGCACTGAAGCATTGTTGATTGTTTTTGGCAAACCTGCAAAAGAACGCTCAAATCCAGCTTCCGCCTATATGTACGTAGCACGAAGCAAAAAGTAGCAAGCACAGTGTGGACAAAACGACATGAGCCAAGATGGCGTTCAACCCGCATTGTGGCACAACAAAAAGCAACACGTACCGCGGATGGAGCGGTGAATGGCACGGCAGAGTCGTAATCGTCGTACAATGACTCTAGCGGCGGCGCATATGCAGTATCTTGCATTTGCGCTCGTCTACAATATACACAGGATTGTGAGAAGTTGAAGTAGATGTTTCAAGTTTGAATCCAACAGGATTTGGTTTTTCTTCTGCTTTACCCTGCGCCTGCCGCTCCGTACGGACGTGCCATGCTTCGTGCACCGGTGCCTGGGGGTGCGCGTCCCGTCGCAGGGGTGCTGATGGAATGGCGCGATCGCCCAGCAGTGAGTGGCGTGCCAAAGACCTGCGATGTGGCGCCTGCGTCGGGCGACATGGAGATGGCGCGAGGCGGCCGTTGACTGCTGCGAAACGACGACGACGACGACGACGACGACGACGACGACGAAGACGAGGTGAGTGAAGCACGACTCAAACAAAACACTACTATTATCATTCTGGACGAGTAGTCCGAAGAGAGACAAGGTCGGATGGCCTTTGAGTGGGCAATGCATTGGAAAACCGTTCTAAAGCCCACTCGCCCTCTCTTTGGGTCGAGTCTTATCCCCCACACTCTCTCTCGTGTGAGCCGCCAACGGTCGTTGATACACAATGCACCTTCCGTGTGAGTTGAATCACAACCGGATTGTCACGCTCGAACGCGTGTGTGTCAGGACACAGAAACCAGCAACCATCGCCCCACCATCCACATGCACAGCGCAGTGAAACACGCACCCAAAGTCGCCGCGAGAGCCCATGAAGGAGCTGGAGGCGCCCATGGACGTCGTGGCGGTCGGGCTCTGGCCAGTGTTGGCTTGGCCTGAAAAGTGGGTCGACAGGAAGCGGCCTGGCGTTGCAGACATTGCCTCAGGTTGGATACGCAAAAAACAACAACGACGACTGGATCAACCAATCCAAAAGGCTCAATCTTTGATATGAATCTAAAATGTCATTCAATTGCAGGCATGGGAGGAGGAGGAGGAGAGGAGGAGGAGGAGGAGCGAAAAACAATTGAAAACAACCATGTATTCTGAACAACAACGAAAATCACAGCTCTCGTCTTGATCGCTTCAAATCGTGCTCGGTGGAACTGTCGGCGTCTTCGACGTTGCTGGACAACCGCCGCTTTCGACGAGTTGACACACGCGAGGTGCCTCGAGAGGGGTCGGTTTCTGGAGAAGAGAAATAAGAGCAAAAACCAACAAAAAAAAAAAAAAAAGTCAGAGTGCACCGAGCAAACCCCGTCTCTCCCTCTCCCCCTCTCTGACACCACACTCACCAACTTCGCTTGCACCATCATCGTCCTCAACGTCGCTCAGGGCCAAAGTGCTTGAACTCTGGCTGATGCTGGACAGTGGCTTAATATCAGGCTTTTCGTCGACCAGCTCTTGACCTTGATCACCCGCTCCTGCCGCCGAGTCGGGTTGGTTCGCCGAGTGCGACTGAGAATGGTGACTTGCCGCACCAGTCGCATCAGAAACAGGAACGGTATCGTCCGGGAATTCTTGATCTGGGTGCAATTGCTGGAGCAGAGCGCGTCGCCGATGCTTGAGCAGGTTGACGTCGTATTCACGTGCATCGGTGTGCTAAAACAGACAAACGAGTGAGCAATCAAGATAGTCATCATCGCTCCGACCATGACCACCAAGAAAACAAAATCCACGAAATCTGTCAGTACCTTTTTCAAATCCAACACACCGAGAATTTCTGCACGTAGCTCGTCAAACTCGTCGCAGACGACAAGCGTTGGCATAAACCGCACATTAGCGCCAAGCTCTTCGAGCAGCAGGTCGATACGCTTGGCCGCCTTTGTGCCGATTTGAAGAGGAGCAAAGCGCGAGCTGCGCAGATGCGTGCCGATCGGACGCTCGCGGCGAATGGCCGCGGCTGCTGCTGCAGACGACGAGGCCGGATCGTACGGGCCGGCAACGGCCTCGGGCGCATCCAGAGAGGCGCCAGATGCTCCGGTGGCGGCGGAAGATGCACCGGCCGCCGAAACCGCCGTGGATGATCGCGAGGAGCTGGACTTTTTCTTTTTCTTTTTCGTGGTTTCGCTGACGAGGGGCCCTCGCCCGGCATCGTCGTCTTTCATAATACGAGATGCGCTTTCTCGCTCCTTTTCGCGCTCTCGTCCGCGTGACTCGATTTTTCGCAACTCGCCAATGAGGAATTCTTCTTCGCGGATTTGAGCGTATGTGCGGTGTAGCATCCGCTCGAGCTGCAGCTTGCGTCGAACCTCGTGGTCGGCATCGTAAAAGATCAAATGCACGCCAGGGACGCGGTTGTTCGAGCTAAGAGCATCGGTAGTGGGGGCTAGCGCGGCCGCGCTCGGCGCGGCGCTTTTGAGGGAAGAGGATGGTTTGTTGCTCGAGCTGCTGCGCCGCAAGCCCGCAGAGGATGCACCTGTGCTCGCCGCAGTGTCGTCGCTGGTATCCATGCTGCTGGTGGGCGGCTGCGATGGCTGGTACAAGGCCTGCTGCTGTTCGAGAGGAACATCCGGCAGCATATCTCCTCCATCCGCTCCTCCCTGTGTCAGACCAGATGCAGCCGTTGCAGCCTGTCGGGCCAAGAAGGCCGCCATGCTTTGCGCATCAGTCACTCCAGCGGCGAGCGCAGCGGTGCGTGCACGCGCGATGGCGAGCCGATTGCAAACAGAGTAAAAGCGATCTTTCAGCTCCTCAACCGTGCGTGGGACGGAGCCTTCGTAGCGCCCTGCAATCACAGCAAAGCGTAAATCGAAATCGGCACAGAGAGCGAACAGATGGTCAGTGTCGGGTTTGGTCCAGGCGGCTGCTGCGGCAGGAAGCTGAATGCGGCCTGCCGATGCAGAATCTGACGGTGCGGCCTCGCTCGAAGATGTGCTAGTAGCAAGCGCGCCTGTGCTGCTTGTCGTAGTGCTTGCCGCGTTGGCCGTCGGTGCTTTGGTCGATGGATGAGGCGTATACTTTGGCATAAAGGCTTCAATGCCTGGCTGTGTTGTCTCTATTATCGTTGCGTACTCCTCGTCCGAGTACTCTGGAATGACGATGGCGCGGTTCCACTTGGCAAACTTGTACTCCTTGTCAGCATCTGCCGCCTTGCACCAGTGGCGCAGGACGAGCTCGTCCTGGCGCGCAGGATTGGTGAACTCTGTCATGCGCCACTGCACCGCGCGCCTGTTTCCCAGCCGCGCCTTGTGCTGCACATACCCTTGGCTTGTCGTGTCTGTCGGGACGGCCGACGACCGCGCCAGGTACAGCCGGTAGACCTCCATCGACATTCCCGCGGGCTTTTCGGGTCTGGGCACAGTGCTCCGGTGTCCCCTCGGCGCCTGCAGTTCCCCCGCCCCCCGTGAGTATGCCAAAAGAAGGCACAAACGACAAGGATGGGATGGTGCAGTGGAATCATCAAGCAACAGAACAGACAGGGTGAGTCTCTCTCTTCTCAATGCAGGAGGGAAATTGGCGCGATCTCCCTTCCTTTGTTGCCCCGCTCTCAGTCCCAGTCCCAGTCCACTCTCAGTCCCAGTCCCACTCTCAAGCTTAACGCGTCACAGACCTTGTCGGCAATCAACGAGAGCACTTCTGATTTGCTGCCTTCGAGGTCGAGAATGTTGCGAACGTCGCTCATGTTTGACGCTCAAAGTGTTCAGTATGATTGGAAGGGACTGAGCATTCGTCCATTTGCATTGCAGTTGCATGGAAGCGCAGGAAGGAGGAGGGGAAAACAAGAAACGATCAGATTAGACATTATAAGGGACTTTCAAACTCTAGAGCAAACAACAAAACGGGGAACAAAACAGCGAAACAAACACAAGCATGGATAAGAAAAATGGAGGAGATCAAGACAGCAATGTTGGAAGCAAATCTGCGAGCAATAATCAATGGGGTTTTTTTTTAGTCTTCGTCCTCGCTGCTAGCATCGTGGCCGATGGTCGGGACCTTCCAGATCTGTCAAGTAGCAAGTGACACCCAACACACAGCATTTAGCAACTCGAACGACGTGGGCAAGCACTGTTGCTCCCCTTCATCTCCACACACGGCACCAGCACGGCACCAGCACGGCACCAGCACCAGCCACAGCACACACAGAAACATACCTTGATCAAGCCATTCGTGCCAGCGGTAACGAGCTCTCGTGTTGAGGCCGACCAAACCATATCAGCAACCGCATGCTTGGCGCCATAAGTCTTGCAGTACGGGCGGCGACTGAGACACACGAGAGGGGAGCGGGGGAGAGAAAGAGCAGAGAAGAATGAGCGCAAAACTCGCCAAAATGGAATCTGCAAGCAAAAAAAAAAAAAAAAAAAAAAAAACCGATGCAATGCACCACCAACGTACTCTTTCTCGCCAACCGTTGAGAAACACTCTTGGCAGGTGCGAATGGGAAGCTCAAAGCCCATCTTGGGAAGGGTGGTACGACGCGCCGAGCAGTCGTCGCAAAGTGCCTTACCGCACATGCGGCAGTGGTGCTATCCGAGACCACACACACAGACACACAAAAACGCAAGTGAATACAACACCAAAAGGATCATTTTTGACAGACAAAATCATCAACCAGCCAGAGCAACAGCTGAAACACGTTACCTGTCGCGTAACGTTCAATTTCTTCTTAAAGTTCCAGAAGAATGGAGTTCCACACTTCTGGCAGTCAGGAGCCTCCGCCCACTCGGGTGCTTCGAGGCGTCGCTTCTTCAAGTCCCAGAAGATGAGCTTCTGGTCGTCGCCCGAGGAGACGAGGCGGCGGTCTTCCGGAATGAAAACGACCGATTTGATCTGCAAAAACAAGCAACAAAAGCGAAACGTGCGAGAGTCAGCTTCATGATAGAAGCAAACAACATTCTCATGTTTCAACAAACCGACATGCCACAGAGATCGGCATGACACACAAAAAAAAGGGCACTGTACCTTGGATAGATGCGCATAAAACTCATAAGTAACACCCTTCTGAGATCCAATGTCCCACACAATGATACGCTTGTCAAAGCTGCCCGAGTAGAGACGGCGCTTCTTGCCGTCCCATGCGAGCGAGCGAATACTGCCTTCGTGGCCCTTGAGGGTGGAAACAAGGCTAAGACGGCCATCGTCGACCTTCAGCAGCTCAATGTTGCCGCCGTAGTCGCCGAGGAAGGCAAACTTGGACACGGGGTCAAACTGCAGGCACGAGCACCATGCATCGCTCTGGAAGCAGCCGAGACGGCGACCAGTCTGTGCATCCAGCCACTGGAAGAACTTGTCGCGGCCGACACTGAGAATCCACTCGTGGTCTGGGACAAAGTTGATGGCCGTGACGCGAGCGGTGTGTGCTGTGTTTCAGAGGCCGGGGGGGGGGAAGATGTGATGTGGATGAGACGACAGAATCGCAATGATCGCACGTTCAGTGTTCAGTTCAGCCCCAGACTACTCACCACGATGGTCTTGCTTGATGGCAAGGCGGTTCAAGTCCTCGCTGCACGAATACTCCTGTCAAACCACGCCACAAATCACCGACGAGCAGCAGTGAGTACGTGAGTTGTCATCTTTCATCATGTGGTGGGCAATCACTGTGAACTGAACGATCAAAATTGAAAAAAAAAAAAAAAAAAAAAAAAAAAGAGCCAATCGAGATCGAACGAAGCTGTCTCGTCTGCGAGCGACACAGAGACCAACGCAAGGGCGAATTGTGCTTACAAAGATGTTTCCGAGCTCAACGCCAGCAAACAGACGGCGCGACTTGGCGTCAAAGGCGAGCGCTGAGACGGGTCCCGCGAGTGTCTGGCAGACCGACGGCCACCAGTCGCCATTGTCGCGACGCAGCCACACGCGCAGTGTCCTGTTGGTGATGATGAATGTGCACAGCAGCAGCAGCAGCAGCAGCAGCAGCAGCAGCAGCAGCAGCAGCAGCAGCGTGAGTGGATGAGTGTCCAAACAATCCAGCATTGACAAAGCAAAAAGTCAATGCAAAATAAAATGCATGAGCGCGGCTTTTTTTTTTTTTTTTCGTTTTTTTTTTCTTTTTTTTCTATTGATAGTGATAGTGATTATCACCTTGTGACCCCTTTGATTTCGAGCGAAATGCTTGTCACCAAAATTGAAACTTGTATTTTTATTATTTTGTATTATTTTTTTTTTTTGGGCGTTGCTTTCGTGAACTGAGGCTGCAGATTCAAATGCGTTTGTTGTAGAAGGTGTTGAGGTGTTTGATTGTATTGCTGTTGGGGCGGGCTGTTGTGATGAGGAAGGAAGCGCGCGAAGGAGGGTCGGCGTTGTGTGTGTGCTGCACGTGGATGGGCACTCGATAGGACGTGCAATCCCCTCCCCCCATTGGCGCTGGGAACGGGTCGTCGATGAGACCACCCAGTGGGTGCCGGATGCTTGTCTATGATGATGATAGTGCTCAAGGGGGGGAGGAGCTTGCCATGCTGCAGTGCCAAGCAGAGACAGGCACAAACAACCCCTTCTCCCCCTTCTCCCCCTTTTCCCCTCTCCCTCCCCTTGGACGTTGGGGTGCGTTGTCGTCAGTCCTCACCGATCGTCGGAAGCACTGATCACACACTCCATCTCGGGGAGATACACAATGGCGTTCACAACGTCGACATGGCCGTGAAGCGTGCCAGCCAAAACAGGACCAGAATCGCTCATCGTTCAAAAAACCAGAATAATTATTTTAAAAAACTAAAACTAAAACTGAGCGCCTGCCTGCTTAGAAAAATTGCCCAACAACAAGATACTGTATCGCGAAACAATGAGAAGAGAGCAAAAGAAACAAAGTGTTTATTAGTAAGTGTGGGGATTAACGTTTGGGTTTGTAGAGCAAAGCGAGCGCGAGCCAGTTCATGAGAAAATCAAACAACCAAGTTCAGCTCCGAACGAGAAAAAGAAGAAAAATAACATCTTCCGAGCAACAAGTAAAACATCAAGCATGGAGCAATAAAGAAGAGATAAAAATACAAGATAAGAGTGTTAAAAAAAAAAAGAAGAAAACAAAAAGGGTGGAAGAGAAAACGTTTAACGGAATGCAAATCCGCGACACTGCTGAATCGCGGCCATCAGCTTGCTACGAAGCGCCTCCTTGCTTTCGTACGGAGGAAGAGACAGGTAAAGCGTGCAAGTCGACGAGGAAGGAAGCCGGTCGGGACTGCCGGCTTGTGTGATTGTAAATGGCAGCCGACGACTGTTCATCATGAGAGCAAACGGCTCGGATGCCTGGGTGAGCGAGCCCATGCCGCCGGTCGGCAGACGCGAAAACCCAGTCCAGAAGAGGAGGAGCTGTGCCCGCTCGGCCTGCGACATGGTCTCGACAACTTCCCAGAACCACTGCACCAACGGCGACGACGGGGTCATCGTGGTCGAGTAGCCAGTGCAGGCCTTCCACTCGTTCACGTCGATTGTCGGTTCGCCAGACAGCAGCAAGTCCAGCTCGGTCGCAGTGAGACCCAGACGAGCAAGCACGGGGTCTTGGGTCAGCGGTAGCAGGAATAGGAAGCCGTTCCGCAGCGAGCGCACCCGGCTTTCCACGCCATTCAGCACACGGAACTCGGCCAGATGCCGGATGTACTCGAGCTTGTTTTCAGCGGTGACCACCAGGTCGGCTCCATTGGGAATGATTTCGACATCGACCAACGTCCGAGCGCGCTTGTTGGCGGTGGACGACGAGTCAGGAGCGGCGGCAGCAGCAGCATCGGCTGCCGCCTTCCAGAGAATCGCGTCAAGAGGATGCTCAATCTGCGCATCCGACTCGAGCAACGTACTCAATCCTCGCTTGCCTCGCGAAAGCGGCACGTCAACAACAGCGGAAGCAGAGTCGCCGCCGTCCATCACCATCGCGACAACAGCGTCATCAGCAGCAGCACTGTCAGGCTTTGGAACGGTGTCGTCCAAGAGCGGCTGGTGGCTGTGCCGAGCTGCTTCAGCCAGCGCGCGCGCGGCCGAATCTACCGCTGGCACGCTCTCTGCGCGCGGAGCTGGCAGTTCCACCGTGTGGGTAAAGTTCAAGTCCAACCCCTCCACATTATTGTGAAGGACGTAGAGGAGATGAGACTCGTAGAACTCCCGATCAAAATACGCCAAATCAGAAATGCGCCATGGCCGAGGCGTGTTGTCCGCCACCAACAAAAGCTGCAACAGCGGCCGGGTGAGACGCATGGGAAGGCTAACACCAAGAAGGATGGACAGGCCCAGGAAACGGCCAGCGAGCTCGCACAAGTCGAGCTTCGTGATGGGCCGCGGCGGCGAAGTGGACGAATCCGTCGCCGCAGCTTGTTGTTCAGGAGCGGAAGATGGTGGAGCGTCTTGGGCAGTTGTTGTTGATGTTGTTGTTGTTGTTGTTGTTGTTGTTGTTGTTGCTGCTGTTGTTGTTGTAGGAAGTGTTGCGGGAGGCGGAACAGCCGCGGCCGTGGTTGCCGTAGTGGTGGTCGCTGCCGACGTTGTCGTGTCCATTGGAGTGGCAGTGATGTTGGTCGAAGACGCAGCAACGGGCAAGGACGGGTCTGGAACGACCTCGTCGACCATGAGCTCGTCGTCGCCGTCGAATGCAGGAGCTAAATGGTACGTCAGGCCCTTGTCATACGTGACAAACAGGCCTTGGCGAGGATCCAGGAACGCCTCCGTCATGACGGTGCACCACTCACGCAGCACACCAGGACCGGCGCCGCTTTCGCCAATAAACTCGACATGCAAAGCTCCGGGGAGACCAAGAGTGGCCCAGCGATCGGTCATGAGCAGACTGCGGAAGGCAGACTCGAGCGGCCGACGACGGTCAATGTGCAAATAGGCACGAGGAGGGACGACGCGAGCAAGGTTTCCTGGCGTCACATTCACAGCCATGGCCGCTACCGCTGTAGGCGTTGGTGTGGCTCGGCCAGGCCCTTCCTGCGGCTCGCCGCGCTGGTTTCGCAGAGCCGCTGCCAGCTGGGCCAAGCCACGAACATCGGCATCGCGACCATTGACGACGACGGCTGTTCCGTGTGTAAGACCTTGCATGACAGCAGCCGCGGCAGCAGAAGCCAGCGCGTTTGATCCAGGAAGCACTTGCACATGCATTGTCTCTCGTCCATCGCTGGTGGTGCCGGGCCCAACGAGAACGGCGGATGCGGTAACAGTGGGACCAGTGGGACCAGTGGGACCATTTCCATGCCCGTTGGTCGCATGACCTTGCCCTGGGACGGCGGCCGAAGCGTTGTTGTTGTTGTTGTTCGAGTCGCTGCTGTGGTTGGAGCTGGCGCTCTCACTGGAGGCGGACGACGACAGAGTCCCAACTTCGGCACTCATGCTATCACCGTTTCGCGTACGCGCTGGGCCTCTCGCGACAGCGGTAGAGCCAGGGATTGAATGATGCTCATTCATCGCGGTCGACGATAACTGTGCTGCTACTCGACTGTCCCACGCACGCGTGAAGGCTGACATGACATGCGAAAAAACATCAAACGAGGGGGCGTTCGGCGTTTGTAACAGGGATATGCGTGGGGTAGCGGCGGCGCCGCCGCCATCATCCGCACGAACGGAGTTGTCTGCTGCTGGCGTGCCCGCGACAGCAACAGTCGACGAGGCTGCATCACCCGCAGCCGCAAACGGATCGAACGTGCTGGGATGGAGCGTTGCACCGGCGCCACGCGGAGGTTGTGGAGGAGAAGGCGTGTGCACACCATCAATGGGGATGATAAAGTTTGGTCCGGCCGGCCCAGCAGCAGCAGCAGGGGACGGCGGCCCGGGTGTGTCACCACCACCAACAATCATTGGGCTCGGGAGCGAGGTGATGAGCATCGGCATGGAATGAATGGGAGTGCCAGGTCCCGTCGACGCCAAGGCCTGGGAGGCCACCGCAGTTGAAAGCCAGGGACGCGGCCACGCGCCTCGGCCAGGGCCACGGCGAAGTGGCGGCTCATTGCTGGCGAGGGCAGCAGCACGCACCTCCATCAAAGTAGCGCGGAAGGCAGACGGCGACGACGATCGCGGGGCGGGCAGCACCGTGCGTTGACCCATATTCGATGCAGCGGCTGCGGTAGTAAAAGGCGCCGCCGTCATCGACGACGACATTGATGATGATGATGATGCCGCTGCCGCAACAACACCATCCGCGTTCGTGTTGAGAGCAGGAGCCACAGGCGCTGGCGGAGTTGCAGGGGTCGGCGACCCCATCGCGAAGGGATGGATACTCATGGGCTGCGACTGAGACTGGGATGGAACGGGCGACAGAGACTGGGACAGCGACTGCGAAAACGGATGAGGCGAAGCGCCAGCCCGTTCAGACACGCCGCCAAAGTCCACCTGCCGCCCCATGCGTTGCAAGCGAACCAGGTCGTCATGTGCCTCGAGGCCATCTGCGTTGTCGTCAGCGGGCTCAAGGAGAGAGGCAGCAGTAGCAGCAGCAGGAACAGCAGCAGCAGTAGCAGATCTCACTGTCAAATGTGGGCCGGGTCTGGGTTCTGTATCGGCCGAGGACGATGCTGAACTGGTGTTGGAGGCGGCCGTGGCCGCTATTGTCATCGCCTGTTGCAAGGCTCTCGAATAGGAGCTGGAAGAGCCTGCCAAGGCCCGAACCAAAGTCAGAGGGTCTGTCGCAGTCGCCGTCGAGCCAGCAGCTTGAGCTGCGGTGTGAGCAGCAGCAGCAGCAGTAGTTGCTGCTGTTGACGAAGAGCTGGCAGAAGCTGTCGTGACTCCTGCACCACCACCGGGCGTTGGAACGCCAGGAAGACCCAATCCGCGCACTCGCCCGCCACCACGAACCGCGTCGGCGCCTCCAGCGGCTGCTGTTGTCGTGCCATTCGCGTTCATGTTCGAAGCGCGCAAATGGAATGCGTACAAGTCCGCCTTGTACGCTCGGATCCACAAACGCTTGCTGTCCACTGTGAGCAGCTCTGGGAAGAAGAGCGGGAAGGCCGACAAGCGCGGGAATGGGCGGAAGGTCAGGTGCTTGTCGACGGGCGAATCGTGGAAAATGCCCAACGCAAAGTGGCCACCACGCCGCAGAACGTCGTTAAAAGTCGTGCTCAAGTCGCGTACCAGATCGCGGACGCGCGCATCAGGAGTAAAGTGAGCAATTCTCTGCTTGAACGGAACCATTGCACCATACAGATGAGGCTCGCGTGTCGCTGCCAGCAGAACGGACTGACGCAGTCCACCCGAAGAACGGTTGGCGGAAGAAAAGTCAGTGTCGTTCGCTGGCCGCTTGGGCGAGCCGGCAGCAGATGGTCCAGTGCTGCCACCAGCCGCCGACGAGGCGTCCTTGTTCAAGTGCAAGTGAGCAGCAATGAAGGCCTCGAACAACATGACGCACTTTTTGATAAAAGTGGTCGGGAGGGTGTTCATGTACGCAAGCGAGT